GTTTATTTATTTAAGCAGCAGCGTTTATCTCGTTGCTCTACTTTGTTTAATTTTTGCATTGTAAAATTCCAACGGAATCTTATCGTAAACGCTCGCATATATGTATTTGAACAGCAGAATATTGTAAATTGTTTGGATGGCAGACAAAGCAAAGCAAGAACAGCTGCCAAAATGCGGCAATTGCTGAGAGATAAGTTCGTCGGTTGAATGCCTTGAGACTGGACTTTCCCCAAATATTTGTGCATATTTTGAATAAAAATCATCAACTTTTATTTGCTATGCAAATATTAAGGCAGTTGTTACTTTTTAGTGCTGCTATTTTATTCTGGTCTTTATCTTAAATGGATCAAAAAGCTGAATTTCTAAAGATGAATATGTATTGTTTAAAAGCTGAACCAGAAGCTGTTTTAAATAGTATAGAAAATAGGGTAAAATGTTATTAGCTGTGATATAACTAGCTCCAAATGTGATATCACGATAGGGTTGCGTCTGTCTATTCACTCATTTGTGGGCCCGTCTGTACGAACGTCCAGAACTTTGGAACCCTAGTAGCCAGGAACATCAAAGTAGATACATGGGTAGATTTGTCTTATTTTATAAGAACTGTAGGTTCATAAGTACTGTAAGGTTATAAGAATTATAGAAAAGCGTTATAACAGAAATCATATGAGATAACACTCAAATAAATAAATACAACAAGTAATATAAAAAGAAATCATTGGAGAGTGTCTGACCCGGTGGGGGCTGGGGGCTTGTCAACCAGTCTGGCAAGACCCGACTCACAACGCGGTGGCCAGTAATTTTATCAAAGGTGGCTGAAAAAAGCTGCTGTTAGTTGTGAGTAGAGTTCGGTTGAGAGTAGGTGAGAAAATTAGATGTAACTTGAGCATAAGATCCGAATAGGATTGTGCAGGGTCTGAATCTGTTAAGTAGTAGACGCAAACACGTTCTCTCTTGTTTTTTCTTTGAGAATAAAGACCCGGTGATGTAAAATAAAATCATGAATCACATTTAAAAGACATTGGGCGCATTCAGCAGGTCGTAGCGATTTGCGATTTGTGATCGATCATTACTGATTTCACCGGCTGACCCCTGTGATTTATGATTCGGATAAGTAAAAATGCCAATCGATATCACAAAACAAAACAAAATTAGGAATTATTGATTTACATTTTTCGGTTTTGACACCACATAAACAGAATTTTGCCGAGACCTTTGCGGAAATATACACAAAGGCAAGCTGTGACTTTTTTACCAAAAATACTAAACTCAGAGTATTTTAATAAAACAGTCATCACAAGCGATCGGCAGAGGCAAATCAACAATCGATAAAAATCACAAATAGCAAATCGCTACGACCTGCTGAAGGCGCCAAATGACTTATAAGTGTGATTCATGATTTCATTTTACATCACCAGGTCTAACAAAGAAATAATAATTGTTTCCAAATAAGTAAATGCAACTTAAGCCTGTACGGCTGATGAATTGCTGATACTTTTAACTGTAGAAGAGAATATTATATAGTACATACTCGTATATATGTATTGTCATTACGATCGCTGGTATTTCCGCTGACATCAATGGTTCGTAATGCGTACAAATCATTATTGAGGCATAGCTAATAATCGAGAGCACTGGCACAGTCGAGTTGGCTGCCCATCTGCTATCCTATTGGTCTATTAAACCTACAACTACAGTGTCGAGATGCTGATGCTGACGCTGTAATACAAACGAAATTTCTAAAAATTCAACAATGACTCATTCGCGAAATTCAAATTAATGCCGCTGAGCAAAAACATCAGCACAATTTTTGACATGAGCAACAAAGTGCCAGACTAGCCCAGAGGCCGAAATACAAGTATAATGGCTAGCTAGCCAGTCATCAGCGGGCTGTACGATTTCGTTGTATCTATTATGGGGGCGGTAGCGAGCACATCATTCAAGATCTTCACGATCAAAAGCTGTCTGCGGAGAGTCCCCCCTCCCTTCCCCCTCCCTCTGCCGGCCTTCTGGCCACCCCTTACGTTAACACACAAATTCGTCGCACCTTTTGACGTTGACTTTGCCAGCATCATGGGCATTAGCATTAGCATTTGATTTGCTGATCTGCTGCTTTTGGTTGTTCTATTTTCAGTGTGCCGTGAAAATAATGTGGCTGGGAGGCTTACATTTTACTCAGTTTCCCCATCAATTTCTTTGCCCTTAAATGAGTTCTATGGTGTGTGTGTGTGTGTGTGTGTGTATGTGTGTGTGTGCGTTCTTCTAGATTTTGTAAACTGAAAGCATATGGTTTGGAAAATAAATATAAGCTCTTTTTTCGAAAAATTATGCTTTGTTTACCTTGAAAATTTTCGTTGATTTTCTGTATTTTTAGTGTATGTGCCACACACATACAAGTATGTTCAAATCCCATAACACATATGTATGTATATGTGGACTATATAGCTGTGTTTTGATTTGTTTTAATTAAAAATCGTGCGCCTTTAGCTGCGTGGAACTGTAGGGAGGGTGTTGTGAATTTTTCAACACATTAACGTTGTATTTTTTTTAACAGTTTTATTTATTTTTCTCCTGAGCTGGTTTTTTTTCTCCCCAAATGTGATTTATTGAGCAACGTCGGATTTATGTGTTTGGGTTGACATGCAAACGGATATATGCCTGTGCCATACGTTTTATTGGTTTTGTACGAAACGAGTTTATATTTTTGCAACAATATTGGATTATATTTATTTCACAAAATTTAAAAAATGTATATCTTTTTTAAATTTACGTACTATGTTGTTATTAGGGGTTTTTGAAAACCTTCACAGGAAATTATATAGAAAAGCTTTTTCCAAAAATCACATATGAAAAGTCGCGTCTATAATATAGTAATCACAGATATAGTATATATTTATCAAATTTTAAACAATTCTGATCTTGTATATACTTGTATTATTTACCAAAAAGTAATACATATTCCATGTTGACTTAAGATAGGCTCTTCCAATCTGTGATATCAATATTCTTTCCCTTTATGCCACCATTTCACAAGTACAAGAGCTCTTTTAAAAAGCAAATACATGTGTTTGCTTGCTAACTGAGAATCGTGCCAAGGTCTCAGATTGTATTCTCTATAACTACGTGCCGTTATCGAGCATAATGTTTAGTGCTATACAAGAATTGAAGCAGCAAGCGACCTACTGAGCAAAAGTTTGTTCCAACATTCCGCCTACAAATTGTCGCGCACTTGCCAGCAGTTGGCAGTTGGTTTCGCTTTCAGGTGCAAGGCAATCCAGCAACCGAGCCACCAACGCCACAACAGAAACAAAAAATAAAACAGCAACAACAACAAGAATATCTGACAGCCTAGTAAGCGAAGCAGCCACGTGGGTTTGTTCCACACCCACGCCATTGGGCGGCTGCAGTCCAAGAGGTGGCAAAGGTGAAGGAGGGAGCTGTTGTTTAGCCAGCAAGCTGCACTTTTCATAGCGCATGTCAATGAGTTTGGTTCTATCTGCTCCGCTCACCTTGCTGTGATGGCGACAGGTGCACGGTTGGACCTGGACCCACAGCCAGGAGGGGGAGAATGTGTAAACATTGCCCTAAACTTGTCAACGTCTGCTTGGGTCGTTGGTTCTAGCAACTCATTTTGTCGTCTGCCTTTGCTTATTTGTTGGCTGTCGTGTTAATGGTCAGAGACATCGCCGTCATTTTCTAAGTTGCCATCTCTAGAGATGGGCGTCTAACCTGATTTCTGTTTCGTCATCCGAAATTACAATATCACCAGAACTCTCTACAATATTTGATGTAGACGACACTGCTAAAGTTTCAGCATCAATTGGATAAGAATTTTAGTTATGACCAGTCAGCTGAAATTTAAACAGAAGGCCTAAACAATAAGTGCGTGTTAAACTCTAGCAACTCTAGATGATTTAAAATCATTGAGGAGAAATCAATTACTCGTTCCGCAATTGTTAAATTAACTAGACATTACTATTTTTGTGTTACTTCCTTAAAATTAAATTAGAGTTTAAGCAACATAGAAAGTTTACTGTAGTCTTAAATCTCTGTTTGTTATGTAAACGAGTATTATAGAAATCTCTAACCTATAATACGTCTTGTGTATAGTAAATGAAAGGATAGCTGTACTCACGCACCCATCCGTAATAAGTCTTATAAGAATTTAAGCAACATCGATAGTTTACTGCAGTCATAGATCTCTGTTTGTTATGTGTACGAGTATTATAGAAATCTCTAACCTATGATACGTCTTGTGTATATGTAAATGAAACGATAGCCGGACTCACGACTCACGCACCCATCCGCAGTCTTTGATCTCCGTTTGTTATATGGCCGTTGTGTGTGGCGTGCGGGCAAGCAGTGAGAGCAGCATTCTTTGTGGTTGTCTAAGAGTTTCCACATGGCTGGAACTGCAGCAGTAGCCGAGCTACTGTTACTGCCACAGCCATTGCTGCAACTGCTACCAACTATTGGCCATTGGCAGCTGGCAATGTCGTTTGCTTGACTTTCCTATTTGGTTGGCATGCGTAGCCGACGTCAGCGAGTTGCCGATGTTCATTTTGGGCTTTTGGGTGTTGATTGATTTTTATAAACAAAACTCTCCATGCAGCAAGAGGAGGAACGCTAATGGAAAAGTCTGGTGCAACATTCTTTAGCAGGCTACTGCTGCTTCTATCCATACATACGTACGAGTATATTTCTGTGGTTGCTGCTGCTTTGGTGGCATTAACCGCAATGCCAACATCCAGCCATATATGTATGGATGCGTGTCTACGTCTTCGTTGAGGTCGCGTATTGCTAATATGGAAAATGAAAACAGGAAAAATGCTTTGTGCGTCTTTCGAGTGCATTGCGGGCTTTGAAGTTGCTATGGGGGCCATGGGGCCCCCTTTGGGCAGCGTCCACGACAGAGAGTGTGCATGTGTGGTGTTAAAAGATTTATAGACACGCACTTAAATTTACAAATGTTTTAAAATGTTTGCCATTCTTACTTGCAGATTTTAAAATACAGTAACATCAGCAACAACAACTACCAGAACAGCAATAGGAACAACAACTTCAACAACGAAATAAACGCAACAACAAACAACGACGACCTTAGCACATTTTAATATTATAAAGGGAACATAACTGAAAAATCGTATTATCTTTTTCAACTAAAACGAACTGCATTTTTCGACCAAAATTGTCCAGATTTTGGCCAAAACGAATTGAGGTAAGTTTATGTCACATAATAATCGTTTTAAGTTTATTTTGATATTTAAACGTAAGTCTTAGGGACCTAAGCACATACTTAACTGTTTGACAGCTTTTTTGAGTACGTATTTAGCATAAAAGTGCTGGACTCTAAGCTCGCTAACTGTTCTCATTTAAGCAGCTCTCAGCCAACTTTGCTATAAATTGTTTGTGAGCTTCTTGACTAAATGACGAGCATGTCCTTTTATCTACGAAAAACATCTTTATGTGTTCAACTTGCTTATGTACCTATTAAGCTATCTGCCCAACTACCTAAAAGATAAAAATCATCAAGTAGACAACATATGTATTTATGTGCTCTACAGTATATTTCAAGATTTTTAATTATTATGAAATACAATCTTTAAGTGGTAAATTATAGTGTTCAGAGTGCAGAGGCAGTATAATGATAATAGGCTTCTTTTTCGTTTTTTTTTTTTTACACTTGCAAAGAGAATATTACGTACTTAAACGATCAACCTAATGAGCCGGGTCGTAATAGGTCCACAAATGTAGGCTCGACATATATGACAAAATACAGACGTTTAATTACAGCTAAAAAGCATAAAAATTGATTATCTAACCATTATCCATCTACCAGTATCGTCGTATAGCTACTATACGAATGATATCGCTAAAAAACAATTTTAAAAGGTAGTGGAGTTTGTTTTCCGAATATTGTATTGCCAGTTAAATTGTGCAAGTTTTTAGAAAGAAAGAAATTTGTTTCAAACTAGCACGATAATGTGTATATTTTATAATAGTTACTTGAAGGCACTCCACATATAGTAAGGATCTTTCTTCAGGCTATTGTTTGAGCTGGAATTGAATCTCTGAGTGCTACATTAGCTTTCATTTTTAATTAATTTAATTGAATTTAAATTGTTTGCTTTAAAACACAGAAAGCAAAAGAATCAGAATTATATTTCTGTATTACAAGAACTGATCTTAAGAAACAACAAAATAAATAATTATTTGCTAAATTGTAGAATGTTAACCAGCAATTATTATTTGTAGTCTTTGAACAGCTTTTCGTATTTTCCAATTGAACAATTAAATTGAGATAAGTCTTTAATATAATTACGCAAAGCTCATAGGTCAAAAGATTTTTTTTTTTTTTTGAGTGTAGGGTTGCAAAAGTATCAGCAAAGCCGTTGCCTTGGCCTTTAGCACTTACATAAATATCTATTTGTGCAGAAAACACAAATAAAAATTGTGAAAATTACATAAAAGGCTCCACATTGGCGCAGCGTCATGACATTGTGTTATCCTTGCCCCCCACACACACACATGCATGCTCGCTTTTGGACCAATTCAGCATCAGCAGCAGAAAAAGCAAAAGCAATCAGAAAAATATCCCTTCAAGCTTGCTGAAAGAGTAAACGTGGCCAAGACAAGTCCAACTGTGTACAGATAGCTATACCCATAGCTATAGCCCATAGCTAGACTCCTACGCAGTCACACGCGCTGACACGCACACACACTTGCACGTTTATATGGCCAGACAAAAAGGACGAATTGGCGCCACAAAGTCGCGCCAGTTGAGTTTTTCATGGCGGCAGCGGCTTCGATGGCTGCCTGGATGCTGTGGCCCCTGGGTGGGAGAGAGGAGCTGCGGCTGCCGTTTATTTTGCCAACCGTATTTTTCTGCTATTCTAGGAGGAATAGCTACAAGAGAAAATGGCTACAGTCGAGTCAACCCGACAGTGAAATACTCTGTTTCACGCCCATAGCAGAGGATGACCGAAAACGCTATTGCAGTTTTGGTGTAGAATCCCGAAACTGAATTGGTTTTATCCTATAAAAATAGAGAATTACATTTAAAAGCATAATTTTAGTGTCTATTGATTAGGACAGTCTACATACTACGTGTAGTTGCTGTAGACTCAAACATTTCCGAAATCGAGACGATCATACAGACGGACATGTTTGTTAACAATATGTGTGTGAAGTCTGCATATTACATACATTTCCATCAAGCCTAATATACCCTCCTTGCTCTTCGTTTAGAGAGTATGGAAAGAAGAAATCGCCAGCATTATAGCGTTTTATGTTAGTTGCCCGGATACAGTTACTATTTGTACAAAATGTCAAGCCACAGAGAAAATAAAAATAAAATGGAAGGCGACTGTTCGTTTGCCTACTTTTAGGGGCAGGGCGTCAATACGGCGTATGCTTAATCTGGCCGTCTTGAGTCATAAAGGAAAGACTATATGGGGATTTGTCACTACACACAACTACGATTAATCAAACGCTAATTGCTATGCCTCCTCCATTGAATGAATTGATAAATTCTGTGCTATTCTTGCTAATTAAAAGTTCAAGTCATTTTTATGCAAAAGGCGACGTCCCATGGTTCGAACAAGATTTTTTCGTTAAGGTCGTTATTCATTTTGCATGCAGTTGTGCTTATTTTTTTTTTTTTTGTTTTTTCTTCGTTGCTCTTGGGTTTTTTGGTGTGGCCGATGTGGGCTTAAAAAAAGAAAGCAAAAAAAAGCACAATCACAATTTATACAACTTAGCCAAACAAACAGCCAGAGGAAGAACAACAAGAACAACAACAACAACAATGGTGACAACGACAGTTTCGCTGCTGATGGGGCGAGAAGCGTGTTGTTGTACATAAGCATCAACAACGACGCACCCATTGGTGGTCCCGGACACCCAAGGGGCGCACAGTTGGTGGTGGTTTCTGGCGCGCAGGGGGTTGTCAAAAGCCAAAGTGCTGTGCGAAAAGAAAGAAAGAAAAAAACCACACACCACCCAATGCCGCTGTCGACGTCGCTGCCACACAGCATCCCCCAAACTCCACCACCTCTATAAGGCGCAGGCAGTGTCTATTTATTTTTTTGTTTTTAACGATCTACGCGCGCACACCTACTCACATCCTTTTTGCGCGCCCATTCTTCAGGACCGCATCGTGCCGTTTCAGCTCAACGCACACAGCAGACGCTGCCAATGATGACGCTGCTGTTGTGGCTGCTGCGGCTGCTGCGGCCGCTGCGGCCGCTGTCGATGCTGTCGACGCTGCCCAGCTTCCGTTGGAGCATGCGCGCATCTTTGGCCGCCAATGTGACGCCAGTTGATTTTCACATCGCTTACGACTTGTGGAATGAATGATGTTTGCGTCAGAAGCGCACGATGTGTCGCCGGCGCAGCACATCATTCTAGGCCTAGCCGCAGATCGGGCAGGACACGCAGCAGCCGGGCAGCGCAACGCTGACATCATCATTGGCGGCGTCACAAATTCGTTAAAGCAAATTTTATAGAGCTCGAGTGAAAGAAAAGTGTCTTGAATCAAATACGCGTTCAATTCTGAAAACCGTTTGTGCCTCGTTTAAGCCATTGCTCAGTTACATCGTTACATCCAATTGTTGTGTTAAGTTTTTTATTATCGTCGTCCTCGTCGTCGTCGTCATTGTCTCAAAGAATCAACTCGGCAAGCACCTTTCAGTTCTCTCGCTTCGCGTTGCAGTTCAAGTGCCTTAAAGAACAAACATTTTGCGTTAGATTTTAATTGCTAAATTGTTATTGTCCTCGTCGTGTGCCTTAGAAGTATTTTAAAGAAATATTGAACACATTTTTAACATCGCCAAGTAGTAGCCTTAAATAGTCGCGTCTCTTTTAGCCCTAGGCTCCCACGCGTCTTCTGCCATTCATTTGCCTTGAAATAAAAAACTTGTTACAAGTTGTACACATTTTTTAAAAAAAATATTATATATACCTTATACCCCATATACGGTACGTTTTTAGAACTAGAGATTTTAAGCATTAGCCTGTTACATGTTAAAGAATTTACGTTACGTATACGCGTTTTAAAACCTTTTAATCGAAAAGTAAAGACAAACTTCTTCAAATTGTTAGTACGTCGTTTTGTTCTCTCCGTTTTTATTATATTTGCCTTTCGGTTCTGTAAAATTTATAAATTTAAAACGAAAACAAAAATTAACTTTTGTATAAACGTTGTCGCCTACAAAACGCGTTGCGGCCATCGCGAGTCGGACGCGTTCTGTGCCGCCGTTTCCACACCACAAACGTGCCTCAGCTCGACGGTCAGCCGAAGACGGGCTCTCGTGGCCATCTTCATCCCAAAAGAGTGCGCCACAGTCCGGTGCTGGCGTCGTAGTCAACGATTTTTAAAATCCCTTCACCCCGTACGCCTTCGAAGTCAACTATTTAAAATGTACACTTTTAAAACCTAAACTAATACACTTAACCAAACAACACCAACACGAAAATACAACAACAACAACACACACCAATACACACACACAATACTACACGTACACGTAAATCCCGAGCGTGCCTTTCGCCATGTGCCTTTGCGTTTTTGAAAAACCGAAACGTTATTTTAAAACCTATTCGATGAGCTTTAAAATGTGTACGAAAAGTAAGTAAATATTTAAATCAGCTATTTATCTATCCGATCTGTGTTTCAATATCCTAACCGGGAATTAGTACTGGTTGAACATAAATTGAGTGCCCAAAAAAGTACTCATATACTATATTTCTTCTATGTTTCAAAATTGAAAACGCGTATTCTTTCCCATCGAACGACTGTTTTGCGTTCTTAGTCAGTTCTTACTTCAAGGTAGCAATAATAATTAGTTAATAACATTAGCTTAATTCAATAAAAAGCTGTACAAGTTAGTCGAATAACTCACTATTTATTATGTATTTATTTTGGTTAGCTGGAAGGTTTTTGATACGCAAATTTTATTTTAGTACTAAGATTAAAAGACTATCAACAAAAATTAAAAATGTATGTTTGTGTTAAAACACTTTTAAAAAGACGAGAAAATTATCACTAGAATACTAGTTACTATATCTTTGATTGAAGAAGAAAATATAGAAATATTTGTAGAGGTCTTTGAAAAAAAACATAAGTTTTAGAGTTATGGTTTTAGTCTCTATTAAAAAAATTATAAAAGCTTATAATTAAATTTAAATACTCTTATATATACACCCTAAACAAAGTAGAAAATCGAGAAAAACGGGAGAAGAGATATTTTTATTTATGCTAACAAAAAGAAAGACAGTAACTTTTTAAAAATAATTAACTTTCGCCATAGACTTTTTTTTCTTTTTGTTATGACGAGTATTCTTTTTGGAAAACCCATGTTGAAGTTTTTTTTTTAAATACATGTTATCATGTTATTTGACAATAGGATGCAGTCAGTAATAAAACATGCGTATACATATTAGAAAAAAAAAACTATTACACAATTGTCCAATCGCGGTTAATAATTATGTGTCGGATTGTTCTCAAGTTGAGAAATTGTAGGTTTCATGCCTTAGATTATCTGGTCAAGACAAGATAATGCCAAAATTCAAATTCCATATTAATTTGCTGATCTGATTGTCCATTAGGACAGATTGCAAAAATATAAAACATGTGTTACAAAAGACATGATATTATAGATATTATATTAAATACTTAATGTTATATATTTAAAATGATTGGTTATTATATTGCTTTATTTATATTCAGCTCACAACATAAATACGATGTGATTTGCGCCAGCAATTTTTACTTATATTTTATTTTTTTATCGACTTAACTTACTTTAACGTTTATGGGGAAATTATTGCCAATGACAACAATAACTCACTTCACTCTGTTCTCGTTCCGACCTTTGGAAAAACTAGCTGCAAATCAAATTGCAACCTAGATATGAGCACCTTTGTAGCGATCACTACGATTCCAATTCAGCTATCAACCTAGTTATTGTCAACTTTCACACTAGCGGTCCATTAGCATCTGTAGGCAATTAATTAGTTAGGCACATAGTAGATGCGTACTAGTGGCAGAAAAAGTTTTTGTGTCCGTAAATTACATCCATTAGCAACACAGTGTGACTTCTGAGTGAAAAGTGGGAGCCAATTAGTGAGGAGAGAGGAGAACTCCCCATTTGCATTTGGGTGCAGTTAAGTTTGGCTCCCACTGTGAGAATTCGCCGCATATTGTTGGCTCGTTTGGTGTGCTTTTAGAGCCATCGTAAATAACAAGCCGGCTATTTTATTTGCACTAAAATTAACGAATATGTTTCTCTCACTTTTCGATGTTTTATTGCTCATCAGCGTGGCATAAATGCCAGACACTCTGCTGCTGTGTGGAGTTTGAAATGCGATATGTACAAGTATTTGTGATGGAACTGTTGGTTGGCCCACTTGCAGCAGAGTTCCTATTTTAGTTTTCCTTTTATTGAGCAATGTGCGAAATGTTTGTTTTCATGTTGAATGAAATCCATCTGCATTGGATCCAGTCTTGCCCCGCACTCTGGCACATATATATTTATATATACATATATATATATCATTCGTTCTGACACTGACAGTTTGTCGACTGCTTTTGTCTTTCTGTTTGCTTTGAGGTTATGCTTGTGGGGTTGCTTGCTCTAGTGGCTGCAGGGGCCCAGTTAATTGAATTAATGTAGGGTATTGGATTACATGCTGCCGAGCCAGGCAATGCAGCCAAAGATGCGCCAACTTGGGAGAGCGTGCGTGTAATTAGAATAGTTTATTGGCTGCTGAAAGATGACTTACATGTCCAAAGACTTGTTTTTATAAATTCTCTCTGAAAGGAAATTAATTATTTTGGTTTGCGCTTTAATACTCATTTGTGTTTTTTGCTCCTTTTTGTTAAATTTAAATTCGATGTTTAAACTGATTTTAAACTTGAAGTAAAAAATCAACAAACAATTAGCAAACCAGCTAAGTAATTTTCATTTTCTAATCATCAATTTTCTTGATTTTATTTGGAGAGTGTGTTTATAGTAAATATAGTAATTTATTTATCTTTCTGAAAATTAAAAATGTTATATATGGTTACACGACATTATTCCATATGATTGATGTCTTTTTTTACACGGTTAAAACAAAATTAGGCGTAATAAATAATATATTTACTTAATAGCACAAATTATTTCCCATCAATTTCATGTTGCTCTCAACCATGTTACCTTAAAACCAGGCTTTCTGGCCTCTGAAATTTCGACTCAAGCAGCTCCAATTTCGCGCATCGTTTAAGCTGCGCAAAACACTTGGCCACTTGCTTTTTCGGCGCCAGTTGGCTGAAGTCAAGTTGCTGGACAACACCGAAAAAGTCTACACGAACAACTCTACAACGATAAAGAGGGTTGCTTCTGCGGCTGCTGCTGCACCCTTTAAGACAATGGCTCTCTTTTTCTCTCTCTCGCTCTTTCTCCCACATCACCAAGACATTGCGCAAGTTCCGCGCTCAGTTGCTCGCCCGGCCGCCCTTTCAACGTCGCCGTCGCTGTCGCCGCCGCAACCCCCATCACCAAAGGCAACAACAGTGGTAGCGGTGGCGGTGGCGGCGAACAGACAAGAAAAAATCCGGTTAGTAGTGGCGCAGCATCCCTTAGGCCGTTAAGTGGGCTTCTTAGGCGCAAACATATTCAGTTACGTGTCAGATTTTGTGCTCACTGGACGTGCCATTCTGGCTAGCGGCGTTTTCGAGCCAAGAAAATAAAACTTTGTACAAAAAATTGTAAATCGCCGCCACCATATGGAGAAGGCGACGTGGCATTTCATAAAAATGGCAAAAAGTAAATTAAATGCAGATACTCGTATGCCGTTACAATTGCTTTTGTGTATGTGCTTACGGCACTTGTTCATATGTGTGTTTGTGTGTCTGTGTGTGCGAGTGTGTGAGTGCGGCAGTTTTTGCCGGAAATTTCAAGTGTTTCCGCGTGTCTGTGCTGGCAACATTGCCGGGCTGTTTCCGAAAAATGCCGTGCAGTGAAAAAAAAGTAGAAATGAAAGCAAGAAAAGTTAAAAGAAAAATTCAGCAAAAATGCCAGAAAATTATCGATTTTTACATAATAATGCGGAGCGGGCAGCAACAACAAAAGTCGTCGCTGTCGTCGCTATCGCGCCGCTTAGGTTGTGGCTGCTGTGGCTCTGTGGCTTTGGCTGCCCCATGCACTTTGACACACTTAGTTGGGCAGCCAAACGCGGGCGACAGAAAATCAATTATGCTGTCGGTCGTGGTCTGGAGTGGGGGAGGAAAAAGAAAAGATAGGCAGAGAGAGATAGAGAGAGAGAGAGAGAGGGTATTAAGTGAATTTAGAAAAAATCCAGGCATTAATACAGCTTACTTCATGCCTAAAACGGCAGTCAGAAAAATCCGCGAGGCCTAGACAAAACAAAGAGAGGGAGGGAGACTGTGAAGAGCGAGAGAGGCATTATTTGTTGATGATGACGATGATAATGATAATGTTGGAAGCGCCCAAAAGTATACGGTAAAAGAATGGGAAGGGGAGTAAGGGGTTCAGGTCCGCTTTACCAAAACGTGCCAAGTCACCCCAAACTGCCTCTGCTGTCGTTGCCGTCGTTGCCTTTGGCTTTGATTTGAAGAGAATGTATGAGTGTGAGAGTTTGTGTGTGTGTGTGTGTGTCTGTGTCTGTTTTCGCGCAGGATATTCATCAGTGGCAGGCAGGAACGGTAGCAGAAAAGGCGGCTGACAGTCAGTTTCCTTTTACTTTATATGTGTGTCCACAATTTGTTGTTTTTGGGTGGTGGCTGCTTACTTATCTGTTTTTATACCCTCTCTCTTCAATGGGTAAAAAGGGTATATTAGTTTTATGCAAATGCTTGGAAGAGGCAGACCTTACTTTATTGAGCAGCGTGATAAGCCAAATCGTCCGTTTGTTCGTCTGTATGAACGCCTAGAATTGGAACTCGAGTTTGCATTTTTTCAAAGCTAGATCGACTACCTATCTATTTCAAATTGCATCCAAAATAGTGCTAAGTTGGCCCTAAGCAACGCTACTAGTCGCTCAAACTAGCGAAGCATGTTTTATTTCAGCTACAGGGCATTTGACTGTCTGACTTGCTCGACTGCAACATTCTCTCTTGTTACTTTTCCGTGCCTCCCTTTTTTGGGGGGGATGATGGCGACCATGACTACAACTTTGTTGCTCTCCATGCTATTTCTAACACTTAAGCAGTCATTTATTTTCATGTTTTTAATGTTCGCCATTACTTTTTGGAATATTTTGCAGTGTCTTTTGAAATTTCTACACCTTATATAGTAAGCACCAACAGTAGTTGCTGTAACAGACGCAACCAACGAGAAGAACGACGACGACGCGGACGACAGAAAGTGTTTGACCAAAATGTCCACATTGTCGCTGCGCATACAACTGGAAGGGGGTCGAGTTACGAAGACCATACAATTTCAGCCCAATACAACAGTCTTCGATGCCTGCAAAATCATACGGGACAAATTCGCCGAGGCAGTGCAGGGACAACGTGAGTTCATCATTCAATTATAAACAATAGATGGCAATGCGAGTTAATTGTTTTAATTTAATTAATAGCCAGCGAATATGGTCTGTTTATTTCGGATGAGCAGAACCAGCAGGGCGTCTGGCTAGAGGCCGGACGTTCCTTGGGCTATTATATACTCCACAATGGCGACACATTGGAGTATCGACGCAAGCTGCGCACATTGCGAGTGCGAATGTTGGATGGCGCAGTGAAGACCATTCTGGTAGATGACTCCCAGCCGGTGGTGCAACTTATGGTGGTCATATGCACCAAAATCGGCATTACCAACCACGAGGAGTATGGGTTGGTGCGTGAGGATACCGAAGCGCAGAATGAAAACTTGCCGGATAATAAATTTGGCACGCTTACCTTAAAGCGGAAGTTCACCGAAAAGGAGCGTGACGCCAAAATGGAGAGTTTGCGGAAGAAATTGAAGACGGACGATGAGAGTGAGTAGAGAGTGGCTGAAAATTCGCAGAGATCCTCTAACAATGAACTTAATTCGCAGTGAACTGGGTGGATGTGAGTCGCACGTTGCGGGAACAGGGCATCGATGAATCGGAGACTGTGTTGCTGCGGCGGCGCTTCTTCTTCTCAGATCAAAACATTGATTCGCGAGATCCCGTGCAATTGAATTTATTGTATGTACAGGCTCGAGATGCCATTCTAGACGGCACACATCCAGTTACCCAGGAGAAAGGTAAGATAGCTTTTAAAATAAGAGTTTAGAGTTTCTCATAAACCTTCATGTATCCTCCCGCAGCCTGCGAATTCGCTGGCATACAGGTGCACATACAATTCGGACCACACAACGAGGCCAAACATAAGCCTGGCTTTCTAGAGTAAGTCTTGACACTGAATGTTTGTGAAAAGAATTCCTATCATGATTTCCTCTTCCATGTGCAGCTTGAAGGATTTTCTGCCGCAGTCTTATGTGCGCGTCAAGAGCATTGAGAAGAAAGTCTTTGCCGAGCATAAAAAGCATGTCGATCTATCTGAAATCGATGCCAAAGTCCTGTATACCAAGACAGCACGCGAGCTGCCGACCTATGGCGTTACCTTCTTTCTGGTGAAGGAGAAAATGAACGGAAAGAACAAATTGGTGCCACGTCTATTGGGTGTGACTAAAGACTCGGTGTTGCGTCTCGATGAACGCACCAAAGAGATTTTAGTCTCTTGGCCCCTGACGACAGTGCGTCGTTGGGGCGCCTCCCCCAATACATTCACCCTAGATTTTGGCGATTATGCCAATCAATATTATTCGGTGCAAACAACAGAAGCGGAACAAATAGTACAGCTTATTGCTGGATATATTGATATTATTTTGAAGAAGAAACAGACAAAGGATCATTTCGGCATTGAGGGAGATGAGGGTTCTACGATGGTAGAGGAATCAGTGGCGCCTTCCAAGTAAGATCAAAACTTAACACTATATATAGAGTACAAATTAATTGATATGTTTGTTCCCATCAGAGCAACCTTTTTACAACACGAAACCAATCGCGTGGAGAAGTTGAATTTGGAATCGTTGGCCCATCCAGGCGTTATGCGTCCCTATGACGGTAAGTCCGACTTGTATTCAATTTTAAGCACCAAGCACAGCATATAGCTTTTTATCTTCTATGATATTATAGCAGAATTTTTTATTTAGTTGTTGCGTTTTATATATTTAAGTGTTTGTAGGAATAGGAAAAAATTGTTTTTTTTTGAGGTAATTATTTGGAGGTTATGGCTTAGAAAATTATATCTTTAATGCTATAACCAAGTTACAAAGTTCGGGATCAAATGGGAGAAGATACAATGTTGCTAGACCGCAATGTTGCCTCAACCGTTTCAAAGCGTCATTGTTAGATAGTTGCATTTAAGTGTTGGAAAGCGCGTCGCAGTCATTCACAAGCCAACAAATACTATTCGCGTTAACCAAATTTTTAGCACCTTTAGTGATTTGAAAGAAAACAAGATAAAGGTATTTTTTAAATAATTAATTTACTTTTACGTTTACTTTTTGCGTATATTTGAATAATTTTTGATTATTGGTTATACACACAACCCATTGCCTTCGAATGCAGGCGAGCGCACCTTCACGCAGAACGAAGTCCAGACGGTGCAATATGGCGCCTTTGTGGGTCAAGTCAATCATGCGCATCAGCCGCCAACGGTAAGTAGAGGCCAAGCATCCTTTCCCTTTTCATTTTCAACTTTCATTTCACTCTGCGCTTCTCTATAAGTTGCCAACGCTTCCGATCTGCACCCATTCACACAACCCTTCCCAACGAAACTAATTAATGCTAAATCATTTCATTTTGCGCGCCACTAACTCGAACAAATTCTCTATTCTCTACTGACATGCTGCTCATAAAACAGAAAATGGTTATTCAAAGTTTCACAAAGTAGGTGCATCTACTTTCTGGATTCTATGACCGTTCTTAATATACTAATTGTTTTTATTTACACCCACCTGCAGACTAAGGAGGTTCGCATTAGTTCTGTGAATCTGACGGAACCGCAACGCGCTCTGCTCGGCTATATTTCGGCTGGCCAAGATGTCTTGTTACGCGCCGACGAGGAGCTGCGCACAAAGGTGAGTTGGTTGGAAAATTTGAGGGTTTATTGTTAGCCATGCTTATTGATGCACTATTATTGATTTGCAGGCACCTATTCAAGAGCTGGGAAGTGACTTGCGTTCGATTGAGTGGCGCGAGAATACACTGGACACGTCTAAACAGGCGGTTACCTCCCATGTGGCTACAATGAGTGCTGCCACAGCCCAAATCATTACTGCTTCGCATCCTGATGAGGTTGATACGGAGGCCATTTCGGCATCGGTTTCGCAAATTGCCCAAACCATACCCGAAGTGACAAAGGAGGTGCGTCTGATTGCTGCCCTCATGGAGGATGACACCAACGGGGACAAGTTGCTGGAGGCAGCGCGTAATCTTTGCAATGCTTTTAGTGATCTGCTAAAGGCCGCCGAACCGGAAAGCAAGGAACCACCGCAGAACCTAATAAATGCGGCGAACCGTGTGGGCGAGGCAACAACGCATGTTCTCAGCACCATTGCCGAGGAGGAGGTTCCGGAGAACCGGGACTTGCACGACATGCTTTTGGCTCTGGCCAAGGCAGTGGCCAATACGACGGCGGCTTTGGTGCTGCGAGCCAAGCACATTGCAGCCAGTTGCGAGGATGAGGAGGCACGCAATCGTGTGATCGGCGCGGCTAGTCAGTGCGCTTTGGCCACCAGCCAGTTGGTAGCCTGCGCCAAAGTGGTGGCACCCACGCTTCATAATGCCGCTTGTCGGGAGCAGCTCGAAGCTGCGGCACGCAATGTAGCACGAGCGGTGAATGCGCTCTGCGAAGTGTGCAACGAGGCCACCAACGATCCCAAGCTAAAGGATGATCTTATTAATGCCGCACGTGATGTCTCGAAGAGTCTGCAGGACATGCTAGAGCACGTGAAGCTGAGCTCTCGCGAATATGCGAATCGCACTAGTCAAGAGCTGAGTCCCGTCGAGAATGTCATAATTGGCACAGACATATTGGTCTCATCCAACGATCCCCAAGAAATGGTGCGTCACGCTCGCACTTTGGGACAAACAACGGCCCAATTGATTCAAAGCATCAAAGGTGAAGCGGATCAGCAGCAGGATGCAGACATGCAGAGGCGTTTGTTGTCTGCGGCCAAGCAATTGGCCGATGCCACTGCCAGATTGGTCGAGGCAGCGCGTCTATGCTCCAGTAATCCGCATGATAGTGACAACCAGAATGCCCTGCGTCGCGCGGCCGAGGAATTGCGTGAGATCACGACAACCACCGCCAACACGCCGGCCATGAAGCGCAATTTGATTCAGCGTCTGGAATACTGTTCCAAGCAGGCTGCCTCAGCGGCCACGCAATGCATATCGGCGGCACAAAATGCCGTGCAGCACAGCGACGATCACCAGACTAAGGAGAGTCTACTGCAGGATTGCAAGGGTGTAGCAGACACAATTCCGAGATTGGTTACCTCTGTGAAAACCACACGGGCCCAACCCGATGATGCCAATGCCCAATTGAATTTAATTGAGGCGGCCGAGCAGTTTATTATGCCGGCCCTGCAAGTGTCCAAATCGTCGCGGGCTCTGCAACCCACTGTGACGGATATACCGTCGGCAGCGCAACTGTCCAAGAGCGCTCTCTACTTGGGTCAGACCGTATCGGAGCTCCATTCGGTGGCACAGCGGGCTCGCGATGCCTGTGGCGGTCAGGAGCTGGAGTCCGCACTAGAGGCCGTCCGCAATCTGCACAATGTGCTCGATGATACGCGTAACGCGGCCCAGACGGGCAACCTACGTCCGTTGCCGGGCGAGACAGTGGAGAACACAGCTAATGAGCTGCGCAGGTCGGCCAAGAATGTTGGTATCGCTCTTAGACAGCTGCTCTCATCGGTGATGCACGGACAGCGCAATTACGTGGGAGTTGGAGGACGGGATACAGCGCTGGCGCTCGGCGACTTTACCAAGAGCGTGCATGGGGTGGCGGCGACAACACAAAACCCGGCCATCATTGATTGCGCTGATGATGTAGTAACCATATCGGCCCATCTTATCGAGGAGGCTCAGCGCACGCTGCACAATGCGGGCGATCGTAATGCGCTCATTCAGGCCGGTCGCGATGTCACTAACGCGCTGTCGCGCACCGTAGACTGCATTCCCGGTCAACGGGAGGTGGACGTCGCTTTGCGTAATGTGAGCGATCTCAGCGAGATTTTGTCTATGAGCGAATTCCCGCCATCGACGCGCACCTACAAAATCCTGCAGTCGGAGCTGAAACAAGTTGCCGAGGATTTGAGTATAGCTGGCGGCCAGATTGTACAGTCTTATGCCAGTCCCGCCCAGCTGGCCGAAACCAGCCAGCATTTTGGGGCAAACTACCGTGATTTGTTGTCGGTGTCGATGGAAATGGCAGGCCAGACCCAGGACGAAGTCGTGCGATCGCAAATGATTGAATGTCTACGCAATCTGTCCACACAATCGTGCTCGCTTCTTTCCACAGCCAAGTCTGTTGCCGCCGATCCGGGCCAACCCAATGCCAAGAATCTGTTGCACGCTGCCGCCCGTAGTGTAACGGAAAGTATTAATCAGTTGGTTGATGCCAGCATCCAATCGGCGCCGGGACAGAAGGAATGCGACAATGCTATACGCAACATGGACGCATTGCGTGTTATGATCGACTATCCGCATGAGCCAATCAACGAGCAGGGCTACTTCGATTGTGTGGAGAATGCAACGGCCAAGTCAAGGAATCTGGGCTATTCCATATCTGAGATGATTAACAATGCCAAGCAGTCGAATCATGTTGAGTTTAGCAAGTCCGTGAACAATGTGGACGAGTCAATCCAGGGACTAATCGAGTCATCATCGCAGGCAGCCTATCTCATTGGTGTCTCGCATCCCAGCAGTGTGGCCGGTCGTCCCGGCATCATTGATCAGGCCCAATTAACTTGGGCATATCAGGGCATAAGTCAGCACTGTGACATCGTGAGCAGCCCACAGTCCACCAAGCCGCAAATGATCTCGGCCCTGACTGTCATTGCCAAGCACACTAGCTATTTGTGTTCCATTTGCCGTCAGGCTAGTATGAATACCAATAATCCGGTGGCCAAGAACGAATTCATTGTGCTGGCCAAGCAGGTCGCTACAGCCACTTCGGATCTAGTGCAGGACATCAAGGCCATTGAGGAGACTCAGGAAACCACAAATCGGGAGCGACTTGTGGAGCCTCTGCTAGATGCTGTCAAGGCCGTGCGCCAGTATGCCTCAAGTCCGGAGTTTATTTCCATACCTGCCAAGATTTCGGCGGAGGGTCGCAAGGCCCAGGAGCCTGTCATAAACGCTGGACGTGGCGTCATCGATGGTGTTGTGGAAATGGTGAAGGCAGCCAAATCGTTAGCTCTTTCCCCAGACAATCCGCCCGTTTGGCAGCAATTGTCCATGCACTCTACCCCCGTGTCGGAGTCCGTGAAGCGTTTGGTCGATAACATTCGCGATAAAGCCCCGGGGCAGGCTCAATGCGAGCAGGTCCTACACACCCTGGGCACCTGCACACGAGAGCTGGACAGCTGTGCGCTTGCCGTTAGCGCCCAGGGTCTGAGTCAACGGCGGGACAACAACCTGCATGGCTTTAGTGGCCAGACTCTGAACTCCGCTGCCGAGCTGATTGACAAACTGGAACCCATACGCATGGCGGGCAAGAACAATGCCGAGCAATTGGGCCATGCCGTCGGCGAAATCTCACGCTACATTGTGCCGATGGTGAATGGAGCCATCGGAGCTTGCACTCACATTGTGCACACCAATCAGCAGATGTCGCTGATCAATCAGACCAAGTCGGTGGTGGAGAGTGCCATCACATTGGTGCAAGCGGCCAAGGACTCGGCTGGGAATCCACGCGCCACTCACGCCCATCCGCGTCTGGACGACGCCATTGATAGCACTGGCGAGGCGATTCGGGAGTTGCAGCAAACTGTTGAGAAAATCAATGCCGAGACTGGCGTACTTACGAGCCTTATGGAGCAGGTTAATCGTGCCATAACACGCCTTACGGACAAACGCCAATCGCTGCTCAGTGCCTCATACTCTGACTCATTTGTCACCTATCAGACCCGCATGGTGCAGACGGCGAAGGAGATTGCACGTCTGGCCAATGAGATCAATGCGAAGAGCAGTGTGGAGCCGCAACTGCTGCCTCAGCTGGCGGTGGACATGGCCCAGCATTATCAGCAGCTCACACAGGACTCTGTGGGTGCTTCCACGACCACCACATCCCCCGATGTGGCCATGAGGATTCGCAGCACAGTCATCGACTTGGGTCGCTCCGTTAGCTCGATGATTTCCTCATCAGCAGGAGGCGCGCGTCCCAACGATGTGAGCACCCAAAAAGAAATCTCGCGCAACGCGCGCGATGTCTCTGAGAAGGTGGCCCAAGTACTCGCTGCTCTTCAGGCCGGTTCCAGAGGCACCCAGGCCTGCATTAATGCTGCCCACACGGTGTCGGGCATTATTGGAGATCTGGATACCACCATTATGTTCGCTACTGCGGGCACTTTGCACTCCGATGGAGATGGCAGCTTTGCCGATCATCGCGAGCACATTCTACAAACAGCAAAAGCATTGGTGGAGGACACCAAGGTATTGGTTACAGGCGCCGCTGGCACGCAGGATCAGCTCGCTACAGCCGCACAGAATGCAGTGTCCACTATAAGTGAGTAATACAAAGTCCATGCAACTTTTTACGAGCGTTACTAAATTATATATTTTCACTCTTCAGCACAATTGGCAGAGGCCGTTAAACGTGGCGCCTGCTCTCTGGGCTCTTCACAGCCCGATTCACAGGTTATGGTCATCAATGCTGTTAAGGATGTCGCCTCGGCTTTGGGCGATCTAATAAACTGCACCAAGCTCGCTTCGGGCAAGCCTATTCATGATCCATCCATGCAAGATCTGAAAGAGAGTGCTAGGGTAAGTCATATTTTTTACAAGAATTCTCCATTAGTAGTGTTTATTTTTTTTTTTTTTTTAATAAAATTCCTTCACATTTAAATTCAATTTTTGTATACTCGCTATAAAGCTTTTGTTGTTGTGGCTTTAAGTATTATTTTATAAATATTTCTACCGTACTTACAAAATTGTAACTTACTTCCATGTGGTTATGGCTTTAATAGTTTAGGTTTTAGGGTTCATAGGAAATCGTTAGTCTGTCTGTGTGTAAGAGTCGAAGCTCATTATATTTAATTGAAATGAATCATTAATTTCTGAATAACCCAATACTCGTTATATAAATAAATAAATAAATGGATCAGAAAATTATAATAAATTTTTATATAAGTACATACTTTATTTTTAAAGTTGAAAGTGGTTGAGCAATATGTTTATTTTTAATAAAAACTTTGTCCGAAATTGTACCTTATAGGGAACATCTTTATCTCTTTATGCCACAAATTTATTTAAATACAAATATTACGAGTTCTTATTTGAGCCGGACTTAGCTTCTATTATTGCTTTAAGTGAATATAGGATTCGTAACATCTACACGTAGTATAAAAATAATGATTAAAATAATTAATTACCTTGGATTGTTGACTTAATTGTTCGAATTCTGCTTTATTAATTCGATGTTTGTACAGATTTCGGCCTGCCGGAATGTATAGGCTGCTCTACCTCTCCTTACTTTACACCCCCAAAGAACACATCTAAATACATACATACATACATACATACATAAATGTTGTTTGTGGCATCCAAAAATAAAACCGATATACATATGTATATACTATAAATATATACAAAAATATACATAAATATAATATATGGCTTTGGCACCACTACTCCACATCTTTATAGGTTCAAAGAGCATATGTTAACCAACTTTATCCCACTCGCTGTTATTGTAACTGACCACAAAACTGAAAACAGAAAACTAGATGAACGCTTCAGCCGAAATAGAGGCGTATTTCTCTCCACCCGCTCTTTCTGCGCTCGCTCTTCTTATTGTCACTCTCCTTTTAGCTTTGGCTGATGTTATTCCTGTTATTATTGCGCCTTATGTTTTGAATGTTTAACCAAACACCACACCGTCACAAAAGAGCTTCTAAATTCTCTCCACACTCACCACCCTTAGCAGCATAATTCTCTCACCCCACTCGCTCTAACCGTAACCGTTATTTATTTTTGTTTGGCACATCCACCACCCGCCGCCCACCCACCTAACTTTTGTCTGCCGCTCTGCATGCGTACGTTCTGCCGCGCTCTTTGGATATCCAATTAAACCAACCACCTCTCCAATTTTCTATTCACTCTTGTATAAATTGAAAATCAAAAAAGAAAACCATAACTTTTGTTTTGTTTTATTTTTCGTTTTGCTAATTCGTGTGCTCGACGTCTCTGCTCTTCTCGTTTCCCAAAAACAACAACAACACATGTACTGACCCAAAAAACAAAAACAACATGAAATCATGTTCTGTACAAAAAAAAAACCAAAAAATTAAAAACAAAATCACACGCTCCTGCCTCTCTCGCTCTCTTCATGCGCTGCGCTCGCTGTGGAATATGCAACGGCCTACGAGCATCTGTCAATCGAATCGCAATCGTTATCAAAATAAAAATAAAAATCAAACTCGAATCAAACATTCACCATCATCATCCATAAACTGTACAACAGGCGCTTAAAGATGTTTGCCAAACAGCTACTGCCGGCGTCCTCCATTCAGAAACTAACACTCCCAGAAATACGCCATCGCCAATGCCTCTACTGCGAATGGTGGCATCATCTGCAGATACAGCCGCCAGCAATGGAATCATGACTCATTAGTGGTCAGGGGTCGCCGGGGGGACAGGGTCACCCACCAGTGGTCACAACACCACCTACAAATTTATTCCCCTTTACATACAGCACAACATTTAAAATCTTTTATCCCATCTAATTCGAATATTTTGTAAGAATTTGTGAATGCGAAATAAAGGCGGAGGTCGAAGGCCTGAAACTAAATTAGAAGAAAAGAAATTATCGAATACCCTTTGCAGCATTCACAAGTTCCCCACCCCCAACACATTTGTCATTGTCTTTTGTCCTTTATCGCATAATAAATAATCGAATTCCAAGTTCCAATTGAGTTTTAATTTCTAGCATACATTTTTTTCATTATTTTGTATTGAACAGTGTGCCAAAGCCATAGAAAGTAGTTAAATTTGAACTCGTATTGCGGTCACAGTGGTAGTCATCGTAGTTAATTAGTGGTAGCTGTAGCTCATATCTATTCCTAAGTCCATTCGCATATTTAATTATTTTCTCCAACATTAATGACACAATTTCTGCTCTGCTTCATTTCTTAATCATTCAAAAAAAAAAAAAAAAAACATTCAACAACAATAATAGGTTATGGTGCTGAATGTCTCCTCGCTGCTAAAGACTGTCAAGGCTGTTGAGGATGAACATACACGGGGAACACGGGCCATGGAGGCCACTGTGGAGGCCATATCACAGGAAATACGGGTAAGTCAACAAAATGTCCCTTTTAGTGCACAAACTAGTGGCGAAATCTTGTTATTATATTGCCAGCTGAATATGGTCATCGTACTATTAGTACCATAATAGTTGTTAAAAATTTCTAATACTATTTCGTTGCTTAATACAATAGTTTTAAAGTTGAAACACTTAATCAAACACCCAACAAGGACTGCCCCGGTTTCGAAAATCCATGTAGTTATCCATGTAACCCCGAACAAAGATTGTTTATGCTTTCTTAAAGTTATAAAGTTATTATAATCGCAATATTTTCATTCGGGGAGTTAATATTAGCAGGATGGTTGGATATAAACCTAATTCTGTTTTTACACGGTTTGAAAATTAAAAATTATATAAAAATAAATAAATAAGATTTAAAATAACATATGACTAATGGCTATTTTACACTGTTTTGTTACACGACTTTTTCTGGAACCAATTTACCGTGTAAAAACAGAATTACATGTGCAATGATTTTGATATGACCTAAGGAAATAAGAAATTATATACTCGTATAAAGCAGACTGCCAATTTCTACACTCCTCCCTTCCTCGGACATCTTGGAATCTCAAATATTACAGACGTTTATCCTACATGCCAGTTAGAACGCTGAACGCAGCTTTAATAGATCTAATCCTTCCGCTCAGAAGACTTAGTAGAGCCGGTCTAGCTAACCCCCCTTTATTAGGTTCTATGATGTTTCATGAAAGACGAAGAACATTTCGTCACTAGTCTGCATTCTTGATATCATCATTTTAGCATAAAATATGTATTTACTTTAAATTCCTTTCAGGCCATGCACACCCCACCACCAGTGGGTAGCCCCCAGGTCGGCCCCGAGGATCTTATACGCGTTACCATGAATGTGACAGCAGCTACGGCGAAGGCTGTGGCCGCTGGTGCCTCAAATTTGCAGACAGACATTGTGGCTGCTGCCAATTTGGGACGTCGTGCCATTTCGGATATGCTGATTGTGTGCCGTTCCGTAGCTTGGAACTGTGCCGAGACCGAGGAGTTGCGGTCACGTACTCTCGAAGCCGGCACCGCTGTGGGCGAGTCATATCGGGACCTCTTGAATGGCATTCTGCATAATTGCAGTGCCGATGATCGCATGCATTTGTCGCGTCGAGTGGCGAAATGTGTGACCGATTTAGTAGCTATGGCCCGACTTCTAAAGGGCTCCGATTGGATAGATCCCGAGGATCCTACGGTTATAGCCGAGAATGAGCTGTTGGGTGCAGCGGCTTCGATTGATGCGGCTGCCAAGAAACTGGCCTCGCTGAGACCGCGTCGACAGGCCGATGTGAAGGTGGGTCCGACTATATTTTAAGGAATCATCTAGTATTATAATTAATGGTGAATGTGCCCGTTCAATCACGTCTAACCTTAGAGCTTAAAACCTATAACTTAGCTTGTAAGCGGTGCTTGTGTCTAAAATTGCTTAACTACCAACCCCTCATCTGCTCCAAAACTGCACAAACTAATGATTCCAGTGAGATATGTTTGATATTCTTGGTTGTTACATTCAAAAGTTCACCCAGGAATCAAACATATTATTACTGTGATTGTTGAAACTCTACTAAAAACTTAAACTAAAAATCCATTTAAACTAAACTCTATAATATGGTGTCAGATCTATCACTTTATCTGCTTAGAAATCCTTCTAATCTTCTGCTTTCTGATTTACCATCCCTTCAGATCGAACTGGATGAGAACATGAAGTTCGATGAAATGATATTGGAGGCTGCCAAGGGAATTATGGCCGCATCGGCCGCTTTGGTGCGCGCCGCGAATGCCGCACAACGTGAACTGATCGATCAGGGCAAGGTGGCTCGTCGGCCACTCACTTCCTCCGATGATGGACAATGGTCTGAGGGCCTAATATCGGCCGCACGTCTAGTGGCTGCAGCCACGCACAGCCTGGTGGAGGCGGCACAGAATCTGGTGCGTGGTGCCGGCACTGAGGAAATGCTCATTTCGACGGCCAAGCAGGTGGCCGCCTCAACGGCCCAACTGCTGATTGCCTGCAAGGTGAAGTCGAATCCCAACTCCGAGGCTGGTCGACGTCTGCAAGCGGCTGGCAATGCTGTCATCAAATCCACCGACAATCTGGTCCACGCCGCCCAACAGGGTCTTGAGGCGGAGGAGGAACACTCCTTGAAGATCAACACATCGATGGTGGATGGCATGGCCCAAGAAATTAATGCCCGATCCGCTGTGCTGCGCAAGGAGAAAGAGTTGGAGGAGGCACGCCAACGTCTCAAGCACGTCCGTCAGGCCCAACGTTATGCGAAAAACGCTCAGGGATTCACCACCGATGAGAGCGATACGGAATATGCTTACGGAACGGTCAACAAGAGCCAGAACAATGTATGATTGCATTCCAAGTTTTCAAGTTTGTATATAGATTTTAGAGTAGTCGATTTTCCTTAAGTTGTTCTCCACCTCACACTTGGCATAGAGGTGCACCACGAAGAGCTATCCCATGGTTGGGACTCTAAATAAGAAGTGTAGTCTTGATTTTTTGTTGCTTAGTTCTAACTTTGGGAGTGGGTTAGCGGTTCGATTACTAATTACGTCTAACCAACCAAATTTTTCTCTCTTCTCTAACTCTAACACACACATAGACACTAAATCGAAGCGGTTACTACGGGCATTCCGGCGAGATTCCCAGCTCGCCAAGCCACAACACCCAACAGTCGCCACTGGTTCAGTCGCAGAAACGTCACTACAACTATCCACCTCCGCAGCATTTCCACCATCCTGGCGCCGTTTCCCCACCACCCGCCAATTATGTCGAGGAGACAAATGGAGATTTTCCGCCGCCACCACCGCCACTGTCCCAAACCATTTCTAACATGCAAACCGCCACATCGCATAGTTTCCGTTCTAATCCCAAGCTAACAGCCAATGCGGTGCCACGCCCATATCCCGGTAGTCCGGGGGCGGGCAGTGGCTCTCTGCTTGGCACTAACGGTCTGGCCACCATCTCAACAAGCACCACCACAACACCACCACCAGCAACAACAACAAACAGTAGTAGATTATCACAGCCCAGCACACCGACTAAAGCCAACAACAACTACCAGCATAGCTTTGAGTCGTCCACCATTAAAACAAACGACTCCCAATTTTTACCGCCGTATTCTGTGCCGCACATTTCGCCGTTAGTGCAGAAACCCAACTTGGCGGAATGCGTTCAGGATTTACACGACAAGACTTTCGGACAAGGCGGCGTCGTTCAGTTAACCGGCGGCAGTACCTATCCTGGCCAAAACTACGAGGGCTACACATCAAGGTGGGTGTCAAATAATTTATTCAGCTAATTCCATCTTAAAGGGTTTCACAATCATAGCAATAGAAATCAATCAAGAATTAAAACAATTCCGTTTCGTTTTTTTTTTATTTTTCCGATTAGTTCCTTAGGTTTATTTATTGAAAAAGTTCAACTCTACTTTTAGTTTTGAAAATTCTTTTGCTGGATGCTCAGAACTAATTTCTTATTTAAATGAGGAATAATTTTTGGAATCTTTCATTCATATTCACAATTAAGTGGGTTCTCAATATTTCTTTAAATACGGAAAGGTCATATCTGTAACTGTAATTGTTTAGAAGTCATTTTCGTATGGATTTCATTTCAAATCACTAATCATTATAAATTAAATGTCAACAGAACTAGAGAACTAGATTTCTAGAATAAATATCTCGAGTTATTGGTCTACTTGTCGTATATGCAACAGCACTTTTAAATCCTTGCATTTTTTAAATACAAAATACATATACTACAGTTCATAAGCAATTCGTGAGTTAAAGCCAAATTTGATAAATCAATCATTTTGCCGATTTGAGAATCGAATTATAAAATCAGGAAAAAAAAAACACAAACTCGTCCTTTCTCGGACATGAGAGAGTCTAGTTACCAAATTTGGTTATTCTAGCTCTTATACTTTCTGTACGAACGGAGAGACGGACATGGCTATATTGACTCGTCGTGACATCCTGATCAAGAATATATATACCACACCATTTTGTAGTTTTAAATTTCGTTTACAAAAAAAAAAAGAAGCTATTTACTAATTTGGTAATTTCTTGTTTAGTAGATACGAAACGCGCAACTTTGACAAGGCAAATGACAGCATTAGCAGCGACCAAGGCACGATTAAGCCACTCGAGACAAACTTCTCGCAGATGACACTCAATACGGATGGCGGCAAAATCAGCATTGTGGATCAGGGATCGGAGCGGCTCACATCGATGACACAGCGTGTTATGGAGCGGAAATCATTTACGACAACGACAGAATCGCGATCCGAGACAAAAACGGAAAAGCATAGTTTTCGCTTGGAATGAGGAGGAGAGTGATGGTTTTAGATTTAAGTGAACGCTTGCTTATGGCGCTGACTGTTTATTTGATTGCCCGATGCTTTAATGCCTCCACTAACTAAATGGAAAAAGCAAAAGCAGCCATCTAGCCAGCTTGATGACGTTGATAATGTTTGCCAAAAGTGCTTTTAACAAACATACTAATAGAAATAATTTAATCTTAAATATTTTAATTAGCCACTAGCTAAACTACATATATAGTATACCGATACGCTAAATATACATACATACACTAACATTAACCCAATAATCTAATCGTCTGTAAACTTTTTGATGCATATTTACAAAAGTGTTTTTGATACTACACATATTGTATACCAGTTTCTATAATTTTGTACCACAACAATACTATCTACGACCTATTTGCTGTGGTATACCACCACCATATTCTGCCAACTTATTGCCAATTATACGAATACTAAATATGTGTAATATCGTCGCTTACAACCAACGTACTATTTGCATGACCATATTTAAACAATATATAAATACTAACCCAATCAAACAAACCTAAGCAAAGTCAGGTAAATTTTCTTTAACAAATACACTTTCTTGGTTCTTTAATTGTTGTTATAATAGATCAATGCAATTCATTACTGTGCACTAAAACGATAGTAACAAAAACAAAAAAAAAGTTTATATTAATTAATTGTATGCCAACACTTTGTTGTTTACATAACACTTAGCGTTATAATTAAGTTCTAATTGTAATTTTTAAATGCCCGCATTCAGTTTAAACTTCGTTCTTTGTGTGTCAAAAGCAAATGAGATTTCTTTGCGTTGTAATAATTATTTTATTTGTCTGCTGTCTTTTGTATATACGTCCTGTGTATACATATATACATACATAATTGTATATGTTTAATTATGTATTTTTTGTAAATTAATAAAATATTTTAACAAACGAATGTTTCTTCCTTATTGGTTGGTTTGACTCACTACCGTTTAAGCGGCAGCTCCCTCCTTCGATAGGAAGCAAAATAGAATGCTATACTCGAACAAGACAGATAGTGGAATACCCTGAACCCAAACAAACTTAAATCGCTGTGTTAAATGCGCCTATAGCAGAATTTAAAAAAGGACGTAGTGCTGGAATAATATTGTTTCGCTTATAACTTCAAATCGAGTGATTTGAAAAAATTCATAAATACTTTATACACCGATCGAATGTTTTAGAAAAAGTGTCCGCCATAAAAGAAGTGTCCATTAAAGGAGTTAATACTGTAATTGCGAAATACACCTAATTCTATTTTTACACGGTCTTTTTTTACACGATTTTATTAACACGGTTTGAAAATTAAAAATTGCTTATATTTTTCTTTAGAGATAAGGAACCAATCACCTATTTTTGCATATGATCAGTGTATTTTTTTAAACGGTTGTTTCTGGAACCAATCTACGGTGTAAAAACAGAATTAGGTGTATATACTTTGTGGGGTCTGACACGCCTCCTTCTACCTGTTACATTTTTCAGCTCCCGCAAATCTAATATACTGTTGTACATTTCATGTACAGAGTATACAAATTGTATATGTATGTATGTACATATGTATATGGTTGCACGACTTTATTCCATTTAGCACGATTCAAAATAACATGATTAATGTCTTTTTTACAATGTTTTTTTACACGACTTTTTCTGGAACCAATCTACCGTGTAAAAAGAGAATATATGTACATACATACATATGTACATACATTTGTAGATCTTATAGAGAGCCAGACATGGCTAGATCAATTCGTCACCCAAAGATAATTAGGAATATGTGTACACTTTAATGAGTTTTTGCACGGTCTTTTTTACACGCTTTTGATTTAACACGGTTTGAAAACAACAAATTTAAAATTTTTTTACACGATATCATTCCATTTAGCACGATTCAAAATAACAACACAAATAAATAAAAACACATACAGCTCACAAACAGCGAGAAAGCATATGAAAAGAAGAAAGAGCACAAAGAGAATATGTACACATTTGTTTCTCTTTCGTTTTTTTCATGCCCTCTACCCAAAGGGTAGGACGGTATACTAGTTTTGTGCGAATGTATGTAACACAGACAAGGAGGCATGGCAGCTATTTTTTGTTGCTGCTTTGACTTATTTTTTTACTGCACACATACACGCGCATATTTACGATTCTGATTTTAAAATATTGAACAAATATGTTGTTTCTATTCGTGGGAGTGGGTACAGGGTATTTTACTGTCGGGTTTGCTCGGCTGTAGCGTTCTCTCTTGTTTTGTGTATGTGTGCATACATACAAGAAAATTTACTCACAGCGATTGAAATGTGTTAGTATTCTGTGAGCTATCAATGCAATCAGACGTGTTTGGTAAAGCAATTATTTATGGGCAGATTTGTTTTTCCAACGTTACATGTAATTTAATTTTAACGCATTAAGATAAAAGGTAAGACAAAAAATATGTTATATTCATTCAGTTATTTATGTATATATTTTTAATTTTGTTAAATATTTTATGTATCCCTAAGAGAAAATGTCGGAAACTCCAAATATAAAACTAAGACGTAAAGTCATTTCTTTGGAAACAAAAATTGAAATTTTAGATCGCCTTCGAAATGGAGAAGGCTCAACATTTCTTGGCAAAATGTTTGGTTTAAACGAAGCCACAGTAAGAACTATAAAAAAAAATGAAACTTCAATTAGAGAATCGGTGATTTCTGGAACGAAACTATCTGCTAAGTCTTCATCATACACTAGAGATGCTACTAAAGTAAAAATGGAAAAAGCACTCATGCTATGGCTTGAGGACAATGCACAAAAACGGATTCCCGTGGACGGAAACAATATCAAACAACAAGCATTAAGGTTTTATAAAATGATAAAAGACGAACAACCGTCTACCTCTACACAACCAACTCCTGAGAAGACCTACTTATTTTCTGCAAGCACAGGATGGCTGACAGGATTTCTCCAAAGACATGCGCTTCATAACATTAAAATCAAGGGCGAGATTGCTTCTGCGGATCAGAAAGCTGCCAAAGAATTTTCACAAAAGTTTAAGGAAATAATTGCCGATGGCGCATACAGTCCAAATCAGTTTTTTAATTCCGACGAAACTGCTCTTTTTCGGAAAAAAATTCCGAGAAGAACATATGTTGCCAAATCGCAAAAGAGTGCTGACATTCATGAAATGCTGGCTGATAAAGTTCATAGCGAAGACGATATTTTACATGCTTCAGAGAATGCGGATTCTATAGAAAGCAGTTATAGTGAAGATCCTTTTAAGCTTGATGTAAATTTAATTCAAGAAGGACTTCAGCTAGCAAATAAATTAGAATACCATTTCGTCACAAACGATCCCAATGTCGAAAGAGCTGCACAATTCCAACGTGAACTGAATTCTTGTATGGGTCGTTACAAAGAATTATACAATGAGGTAGCAACAATTGGCCAACAACGGCCAACTGTTACAAATGTAGAAGCTGAACAAGCAAGGGAAAGTCCAGTTCAAAATTATTCCAGAGATGATAGTGATTTTAAACGTAAGCGAATTCGAGTAACTGATGATGTCAGCAATTAAATTTATATTTCTGTATTTATGAATATCTTTTTAATTAAAAAAAAAAGTGTTACCTTTTAAATTGAATTACCTATTCTTCGTGCTAACAATATAGTGATTTAACATACACACATACACGTACATAAATGTTTTTAGTTCCTGAACTTGTCATCCATTTAATTTACATTACTTTTAAGCATAGAGTTCATTTTTTTTTTCTTTAATAACTATACTTGTGTAAATGCACATTATACATATTTACATGTATGTGATTTAATAAAATAAACATGAATACTTGTTCTCAAAAAAATCCTTGCTTTTTCAGTAATTTGAATAGGTTTTAGAGATAAGGAACTATACGTTAAATGTCTTTACACGTTTTTTTTTGGAACCAATTTACCGTTTAAAAACAGAATTAGGTGTACATACTTGTACCTTATGCGGTCGGGAATGCTTCCTTCTTTTTGTCTGTTAAAATTTTGTCACCACGCATACCAGGCGAAAATAAATAAACAACAAGTAAACGAATTGCTGATAAAAGTTCAGTTTTTAACTTTGCAAGTACATATGTATGTACATTTAATCAACCATTGCTGACGTAAGCAAACCCGATATGCCAACGGCGCATGCAAAACTGCAGCTGTTTATCCCCATTTGTTTACGTTTAACATTTGAACTTGTCTGTAATTTTCTGCTGAACTACTTATACGTATATGTGTGTTGGTATGTGTATATTTGGTAGGCTCGTAGTTTACGTACATACCTTTTCTGGAACTTCGTGTTGCGTTGTCGGTGAATTTGCAAACGACGAACCCAGTCTGGCAGCAACTGGTTCCGCATCATATAAGCTGGAGTACTAGGCGAACATAACCTCGTAGCAAGGCAACCAACTGCCGGAAAGGCTGATAACTCATCGCACAGAACTACAGCTGATATAAGTAAACTTGAAAGCTTGCAAAACTTCTACTGCCTTTTTATGCACGTTTTGATTATGATTGCCTGAAACTTTTTGGTATTGACAACCTCGACTTCCTTAAGAATAAAGACCGACTTGTTTCTTCTCAACGCGACTGGAACTGGCTTCTAATTACCAGACACGCATAAGTAAATAGCGACGGAATAAGCGAAAACGAGCGAAAGAACAGCTGATATTTCCATTAGATGGGAACCACTTTATAACGGATCATACTTCAGTTGTTATGTTTTAGTTTTGCTCATTTAATTTGATTTCCGCTTCTGCTTTTTGGTTGCGTCATTCTGAGGGAAAAAAACATATTTTCAGTGCTAATATTTAATAACAACATTATACGAGTATAAAACAATTATGAATATACATGTATATCAACCTTTGATAAAATTAATAAATGCAACAATTAAGTCTGTTTGGTTCAGTTAGTTCACAATATTGCAACCATTTCCATGTTCATTGATTGGAGAGTTCCCTATTTATATTCCTGATTCAGCTGACGACCGATCAGCCAACGTCTGATCTCTGATGTGCCAGCGCCAATCTCATACAGCTTGGCATCGCGCATGATGCGTCCAGTTGCATTCTCGTTGATGTAGCCATTGCCGCCCAAGATTTGTATGGCATCCAAGGCTACTTGTGTAGCCTTTTCGGCACTATACAGAATAACGCCGGCACAATCTTTGGGACTGCGAATACCTGCATCGCATGCTCTCGCCACGGAATACAAATAGGTGCGGCAGGCGCTCAAAGTCGTATACATATCGGCCATTTTTCCCTGCAAAAGTTGGAACTCGCCGATCAATTTGTTCATTTGCTTGCGCTGATGCGCATAGTCGAAGGCCACATCGCAGGCAGCCTGCATGAGGCCCACTGGCCCAGCGGCCAACACCAGGCGTTCATAATCCAAGCCAGACATTAAGACATAGACGCCTTTATTTTCTTGGCCCAGCACATTCTTGGCAGGCACTTTTAAGTCCTGAAAGACAAGTTCACAGGTGCTGCTGCCTCTCATGCCCAGCTTGTCAAGCTTCTGGGCCACACTGAAACCCTCCGAAGCAGTCTCCACAATGAACGCAGTAATGCTGTGTTTGTCGGGCACACCAGCAGCTCCAGTCTTGGCATAGACAATTAAAGTGTCGGCATCGGAGCCATTAGTGATCCAAAACTTGGTACCATTCAGCACATAGTAATCACCCTTGCGCTCTGCACGCAATTTCATGGAGACAACATCAGAACCGGCACCAGGTTCGGACATGGCCAAACCACCAATGTGTTCTCCGCTGCACAACTTGGGCAGATATTTCTCCTTCTGATCTGGCGTGCCATTTTTGGTGAGCTGATTAATGCACAGATTAGAGTGGGCGCCATATGACAACGCAACGCCACCGGCTGCCCTTGAGATTTCCTCCATGATAATGCAGTGATCCAGATAGCTGCCGCCTGTTCCGCCATATTGAGGCTCCGCCGTAATACCATGGAAGCCCAAATCACCCATCTTTTTCCAGAAGACGCGCAGATCTCTGAAATAAATAAATCAATTATAATGTAACATTCTTCTAACTTAATTACTCACTTAAAGTGGTCCTGCTTGTCTATCTCCTTGGCAAAGGGGGCCAATTCCTTTTGAAAGAAATTGAAGGCAGCTTCGCGTAGTTTCTGCTGCTCTTCATTTAAGCCGAACAGGGCATCGTTGATGGGATAATGCGCTAGTGTGCGACTGTAGGTTGTACATCTGCTACATTGTTGCAGCAAAGTGTTGCAGGTTTTGGACACAAAACGCAGTGCCATTATTTAGCGATTGTTGTTAATCCCTAAATGCAAAAAATATGGGCAAATAAAGGTTATCTAACCTTTGATCAGCTGCGTGTGCCAGGCAGTGTTACCCCAACAAGAATGAGGGAAAATTGAAAGCAACAAGTAGTAGCAGGTTGCAGCGTACACGAGATCGCTGTGTTTAGTGTAGAGGAGCGCGATAAACACAGCTGTGCTTTATTTGAATTTGAAAAACTGTGAAATAATTGATTTGCTTGTGCTCATGGCTTTATGTGAAGATTTCGGCCTGAATAGGAAAATAATGTTCAACATGCTATTAGACAAAATATGTATTGTATTAGATTGTATTAATTTTTATTTTCCCAAAAAGCGCCAACGTATATTTCATCAATAAGATGCACATCTTTGTGGTTACATTTGAAACCCATGTTTTTGATTGTTTATTAAATTTAACTTAAATTTTACTAAAAACATTTATTTGAACTGATACAGCCAAATAAAATATTTTTATTGCATATTTATGATATATTTAAACTAATTAATTAATAAATATTTGCACTGATTCCTTAAAAGTCAAATAAATATTGAATTAATAAAAATGTAATTATTAAAATCACTTACCATTTTGTAACATTGAATTCATTTTTATATACAATCGCATTCAAAGTATACCTTCAGTAATTAATTCAATTTTTCAGTAAATGCATAAGCAAAATTTTAATAGCACTTTAGATACATTATATGTCAGATCTTAAATCAAAACGACCGTTGCATCCATTTTTGGTCACTATATAGTAATTACACCAATTGATGAATTTGCAATGCGCATGACTCTACAATTGTAAGAAAAGCGTCGTTGGTTGCAAGTTTCATTGCTACAGCAATATTGTTGTTGCTTTTGCCGCATGCGACGCATTCTGGCGACGAAAAATGCCGACATCAACAACAACAGTGGAAACAGTAACAACAATAACAACAACAACAGCAAACGCAAAGCAGTGATAAACAAAAACAGCGCCACTCGCAAGGACCTTCCGCAAATGGAATTAAAAGGCAGTCAGACACAACAACATCCAATCAGTCATATAGTTGGCGCTGCTGGCGTTACGCGTTGCCAGCGGAGTGTTCCAATATAAATATAATATCTATAATCTAGTGCTCATACATATTACGTACATATCTATGTTGTATTGTGCGTGTCTTTAGGAATCAAACCAAAAGTGTTCAAAGTTTGCTTTTGTGTCAAGGAAAATAAATGAAATCAATTATTTATTGATGGTCAGCATTCAGTATGCAATGCATTAATACCCTTAAAAATGTGTAGTAATGAAATGGTTAAAATCAATTGCCGAAAAGCATTAAATATGCAAAGCCCATTCGTATAATTCGGCAGGCAAATCGATAAAAGTGTAACGGTAGTGTGGTAAATAGAAGAAGAAACAGAAAGAAAGGAATAGAAAAAGTTTTGCCGCTGCTGCGTTTCCGGTGCCGTCGCTCACGTGTGCGTTTATGATTAATGGGCATGGCCCCACCCATACCCATACCCACACCAAAGGCGTCCTCACCACTTCCCGCCAACATCATGCCCAACTGTCTATACTTACACATATATCCTGTCAATCAACTTTAGCTACAATTCAATGAGGACGCATTTCGTATTGTAGGTATCGCACAAACAAATTTACAATGCGATGTTATGTTATTGTGTCACGTTCCTTGTGTGTGCTATTGTCATAGAGTAGTTGACATTGTTGTTGTTGCTATTGTCGTTATTTTTGTTATTATGGCTGTTGTTGCTCTTCGTATAATCAAACGCTTTAGATGTCTGCGTACATGTGTACAGTAAAAACTTGTAAGTTAGTCGCACTTTAAAGCTCAGAAATATAAAACTAAATAAGATACTGCACAACATGGCCACACGCTTCTTAATTATTTGCAATGTAAAAAGTGAAAACATTTGATGTTTAATATTAAATTATTAACTAAAGCGTACGTGTATGTACAAAAAAATCAATGGAAGATATGCCGGGACCGAAACTAATTAAAAACAATTAGTTACAATTCCGGCCAACCCGTAGTATGTTTTAATATTGTGTTAAAAACTAAAATACTTATGTTCTCTAAGCGCTTGAACTATAGCGTTTTAATTCATAATTCTCTATAATTCATCGGACTTTAAGTATTCTGTACGCAAGCTTTAGTTGGTATGCAAGGAGTTTCCCATTATCTTAAGTAATTATTTATTTTCATATTGATTTGCATTTGCTTAATTGCTGCTAGAAAATTGATTGAATGTATATTTATAAGTTATCCGCCATTTTTGAAAACCATTAGCAGTTCTGCGTGTTTTCTAGTGTTCTATTATTAAAAGAATAACACCGAAAATACAACATTTAAATATCGTAAAATTCGATTTTGCCCTACAATTCAATATTCTATAGATTACAACAAGAGTTAAAAAAGCGAACTTAGGCAGAGTCCGCTGTTGAAATATACTAGTAGTTATGTAGTATGTACTTATGTTGGCTCTGCCGCTTTCCATAATTACAGAGCACAGGCGTTGCACTAACTACTGACAAAAATACGTACCTACATATGTACTAAGAACACGCAACATGCCATCAAAGGTCAAATATCAATGTCTCGGCTGGCTTATTGAATTACTGCAGCCTGTGGGGGCAGGCCAGTGTTTTGTTGCACGTTCTATCGTATGTTAAATTAATTGAAAGTATTGCTTTATTAATGAACGCCACAGGGGAAAAGGCCTGGCAAAAATGTCGTTCACTCTTTTCATTTCCTTTAAAGCTCTGTAGGCCAGAAATAGCGCGTACTAACCTTGCCTGAAGGTCGGGGCCCACAGTATGCACGCGCAACTGTTTCCAAATTTCCAAACACCTCCTTGAATAGTAAAAGAAGAGGAAAAAACAAGAACGAGGTCAATGCAAATGTGGGTGAAATAATTTGGTAGCCAGTAAAATTTATGGATATAGCAAGTCATGTCCAAGTGCCAACAGCAGTTGTGGCCAATGAGGCGTATGAATAATGTTGCCAGTGTATGTGCAAGATGTGGCAACGCTGTTTGGTTTGCAACATATTTATTACTCAATTAGCAAATGCCGCGCTCGTCTATTTAAAACGGTGAACCCTACATTCTTCGGATTTTTGTTGCCGCCGTTGTCGCTGCTTAATGCCAAGTGGAATGAACTTGAGAGCGGGCAACAACAACAAGAATGACAACAACAATGAAGACACCACAACTTGCTTGCGCCTCGCTGACGGCTGCCACTCGTTCGCTGCCGTTACAAGTGCAACAGGGAACAGCAACAGCAGCAACAACAACACAAAAGGCAACTGATGAGCCTGCTGCCTACAAGCGCCGATGTAGTGCGGCAATTGAACTTTGCTGACTGGCAAGTTGTTGTCGTTGTTGAGGCCGTGAGGGACGCGGCACACTTATAAACATGTCTGCTCAGTCATGTTGGAAATGCAAAACAGAAAATAGAAAAAAGTTCTCTAAGCGGCAACAACTTAAGCCTGCTGGAAAACTTAAGCTCAGGCAACTGACTGACACACGAGAACTGCCAGCAGAGAATGCAATCAACTGCTGCGGAAAAGTTCAAGTTTGTGCGTGCATGCAACCAGTGTTTGGAAATGCCAAAATCCCCCACTATATCACATGCTTTTATATTTTACGAGTATGTTATTTTTCTTTACGCTGTTAGGATAAAAAGTTTTAGCTAAAATGAAATCGACTCAAAGGCAAAAGTTGTTAAAAGAACACATTTCACTAAAGTTGGGCATACTTGTTAAATTTGTTTTATAAAATTCTCATATACTACTACTATACATAGGCGATATGAAAAACTAATTTGAGAATAGTTCTGGTTATTTATTCATATTTTTCAATGCCTTTATTTGTTTGTTTTTTAAAAAATGGTAGTTAAACAATTGAGGGTAAAGCTTGTGCTAACTGCTTTTTGTTTATTTATATTCTGTGCTGATAATATTGATAATATTTATTAAAATATTTAGTTTGTACAGCAAGCTCGCGGTCGATGGATTAAAGAAGATTTTTGTTTTAAAATTTAAATTCCATATGCCTTTTATTATTTACCTTTTTGTAAAGTTTTCATTATTTAGCTCGACTGTGTACGATTTCTTTATAACAATACATATACGAACAAATAAGGAAAATTTGTTTAAGAAATTAAGAGCGGCATAAACGATCACTGTAAAACGATGAGGATTGGTTTGATAACAAGTTTTCTCGTTTTACCAGCGGCTCTATAGCGGTTCTTAAGATTCAGTTCAACTTTTCAACTAATGAAGCAGAGCTAAGGCTGATCATGGCAGCATTAAAAACTCGTTTTTTTGACCAGCGGAGTTCAGTAAATGTTATAATAATTTAAAAATCCTTTAAACAAATACTGGTCTGATTTCTATTCCCTATTCTGTATTTGCCTAAAAATCATAAGTTTTTAAATGCAAAAAGATTTGTTCTCCCATGGCTGGCGTATAATTTTTAACAATTGTTAATGTGCTGCACATTTCTAAACTAATTGGGCTTTCAATACAATAGCAAACTTGACCAATTATTATAATTGCCTTAAAAAAACGTTAATATTTGCAAATGATACGAGTTAAGCCTTATTTCTTGTCAAACAACATCGATACACATTAGAAAGCCATAAAGTGGCATGAAATTCTTTATCCACAACATGCTGTTTGCATCTCATTAGCTTTAAAAATTGTGCATCGCAAAGATGCCGTGCCTGTTAGCTGAGATAATGCAAATTAGCACACATTATATCTAAATACATAGCGGAAGATTGTTAAAAAATGAGTACAAATTAGTTTCAAATATAGAGAGAGATTTATAAAATTTTATTAAAATCATATGCTTGCATTAGAAAATAGTTAATGAAATGTTTTTTTTTTTTTTTTTACAGATCATGAATATATGCATGAGCATTTATTGAATAGCCATGTAGTTGTTAATTATTAATTGATTATAAATAATTTATTCTGCTGTATTTGATTGATTTAGTATTATTTTTCGAATCATTGTACAAAACACTCGCGAAAACAATAAATGTTGAGTAAAAGTTAATTAAGATTTACCGCGCTTAGCATTTATTTCTAATTAATCATATTAGTGGTTTTAAAAACAATTACTATATAGGCTTATGGGTATTGAGATAAAAACAACTCTTTAGAAATCGAATGTTATTCAACATTCAAAATTCCAAATCGTATCTCCTGATCTGAAGAAGTAAAAAAATTTAGCCCAATAAGTTGTAGTTCCTATGGCAGCTATATTAATATTAAAAATTATAAGGCTTGTAAAAAACTCGAGCTACTATATCTGATCATGAGCAATTTAAATCCCAACTATGAAGTCTCTACTTTTAGAATAAGACATACTGCGGATCTTATAGATATTCGGCAACTGGTTGCATTAAATCCTTTCATCAAGATGATCAAAAAATATGTTAGTTTTTAAAATACTTTTACGCTTTTATAAGAGATTTCCATATCATAAGCTGGAGGACATTATATGCCAGATTGAAGCCCTTAAACATACTTATATTGAGGATCATATAGACGAGCAATATGCTGATTAAAATATAAAAAATAGATTTAGATTTTCCTGAACTGCATAAATAACACAAATTTCCATTTCGGAAAATAAAATATATTTTCCAAAGGAGCAAGCCCTTGTGCCTTTTCAAAGATTGTTACTTCAATTTAATGGCAAATTGGTCGCCATTATAATTAATTTATTTCGCTGTTTTGGCAACGAACCAACGAAAAACACACTCATCAGTTGAGTTTTTTTATATTTTTAATGCAACAACATAGATGTATCTATAAATAAACAGATTCAGATGCAGTTGTGATAAGCTAATGGATGGCGACTGCAAAGAAAAAACGCATTTACTGCACATCTCAATTGGCAGCGAAGGAAGACGTGCGCAAGTTTTTAGCAGAGTGCGAAAAGCGTTTTGCGCTTTTCCAAAATAGAAAAGCGCGCAGTGCGCAGTGCACCGTTACTCCATTTTGTGGATAGGTGCGATAGTACGAGTGCATATAGTATATGAAAATAAAAGTCAATTACAACGACAATAACAACAACGCCAACGATAGCGACAGAGACGATGGCGACTACAAAAATATTCAAACGGGCGCTGACGTGCGACCTCTATGTGTGTGTGTGTGTGTGTGTGTGTTTGAAATTGTGTGAAAATGTGTGAAAACTTGTGAGTGTTTGTGTGTGACAGTCCAAAAAGTAAAAGCTCGCGACGCTGACGATGACGATGATGAGCAGGCAGCGACCACAACCACATTTAGTCGAGCGCGCTGCGGTTGTGGAACGGCTCGGCAGATCAGAAAATAGTTCAGTGCATAGAAGAGTTAAACGATCGACGACGCATGGACGGACAGTCGTGCGCGATTTTCATTCAGTTTCCCAAACTCACTTGAGTTCTAAACATACATACACATACACACACACACACAATACATACATACATACATAGAAAACGAACTTACGACTATAAAACGACGACTGCGCCAAGTTAGGCCAAATTCCAAACCCGGGCCAGGCCGAGCAAACAGTTGACGAACAGCAGCAGCCAACGACTGTAGGCAGTAGCAGCTGTTGGCGGCTTCTGAATAACAAAAGTTAGTAGTTAACCACAAATGAAAATAAAAGATAAACGTTAAATTGAAATGTCGCGCTTCAATTTCAAACGAGCAATGGAAAGAAAATAATGTAAAAATAATGAAAAGTGACACGCAAATGAGATTAAACATAATTTCATAAGCACTTGTGTATACGCGTATAAAAGCAAAGCCATATATCTATCTATATACATACATATACATATACTCGTATGCATATATGTATAGTTTTTGAAATCATTTTCCAAAACGCGCCATTAAAAATTTCGCAAGTAAAAAAAAAAGTGTTCGAGTGTGTGTGTCAAAGCGAAAAGTGTAAAAGCAAAAGGCACACGAAATTAAATCACCGCATTAAAAATAACTTGAGAAAATGTTAAATTTAAAATATATTTTGTGTGCGCACATATAAGCCTTATTTTTTTCTTTCTTTTTCGTCTTTTTACCCGCAAAGTAAATTACGTGTGTGTATATGTGTGTGTTTGCAAATGTCGCCAACAACATACACATACACATATATGTATATACATACATAAAACATATGTATATACACAAAAAATATATAATTTTAATTTACGCGCGTGTTCTAGCCAAAAAGAAAATTCAGCTCCACAAACTGGCCACATGGAGTCCACCAACAGCAACAGCAATAACAAAAATGGCGGTGGGAAAAACAACAAAAAAGGTCGCAAAACGCGTGCCCCACAAAACCAACAGCAACAAGAAAAGCCGCAACCGCCACAACAACATCATCCATGGGACGAAGGTAGATATCTGAGAATGCGCCTCTGGCACTCATTATGAAGATTCAGTTGATGACGATAGCTAAAACGATGATTATGAAGATGATGAGTTGATGCAAAGGCATATATCTTTAAAAAAATCGAAATTACTACTATTAGTGGCCCCCACTGTCAAATTGGCATTACGCATACGTCGAGTGGGCGGATTGGCGTGCATCGCCAAAGCCAATTCAGAGAAAACTATACGACATACAATTCGTACAAAATATATAACATATAGCATACACTATTCATCAAAATCTGGGGAACGTCTTTTGATTTTAAAATTGACATAAACAATTTTTAATTTTTGCTTTGAAGTTGCAGTTTTGAGCAATCCAAAAATGTTGGTTCTTATTTTTTCAAACATTTTAAAATAAACTAGAAACAACATAGGCGAGATCATTTGGCCCTTTTAAATTGTTTTGTGGTCAGCAATTTATGAGCAAACATTCAATTCAAATAATCTGATTATGATTAATTTTTCCCTTTAAAGAACAACAATAATTCAAATATAGTATTTATATTTGTTTTAGAAATTTAAAATTAATTAATTTTAGAAAACAAAATGATAAAAGAAGCTTCTGGTTTTCAGTTTCATTCAAATAAAAAATCACAATAGCGCGGCAGTCAATTTCGTTAAGTTCTCAACATTTGTTTTTTTTTTAAATAGTGCTTTCACTTTTTCGTTCCCACATTTTGGCTTTATATTGAACTTGGCCAGCCGTCTTGGTATTTGAACAGCGGCCAAAATCTATAGACTGGATGCGTTTTATTGGCGCCGCACATGAATTCGATGCCATAATGTGTGACCACAGCCGCTTTTTTTATGAAATGCATATTTAAACACTGCTAGCTGTTGGTAGTTCTCAACCAAGGAAATTGACAATCAAATGCAGTATTCGTAGATGACGCGACTATCGCACAATTGTCTTTTTCATTTGAGGGGCTTATGAATAGCTTGGCATTTAGATAGCATCATCCGTATAATCTTTAAGCACAATGGACTGAAGTATGTCGTCTGTCTGTCTGTCTGTCTCGCTGTCTATATCTCCAATGGTCGTGTGTGAGAATTAACAAACAGGTTTCATTGTCGTCAGCAGCTTTTTGAAATACCGTTGCGAGGCCCGCGCCGATTCAAAAACAGTTACATCAATCAAAATTCAAATGAGCTCGGAAAATAATTGTGTTCTGTATGTGTGCATCTGTTTGTTTGTTTATATTTTAAATGCGATGCGTTTGAAATCTATGCATCCAAAAATTTGAATCGCCATATGTGGGCACAATAAATGTGAAAAGCTAAAGTCGCTTCTTAAATCCCTATAATTTGTAATTGCATTGTTTGGATTGTCCTAAAAACACATTAGAATGGGTCTATTTACATGAATTTTTCATAATATTGCGGTATTTCTGCACCTGTCACCCCCTACCCTGGCACAGTACTTTGTTATTTCTATGCACTCCCCAAAGCACGTAGGCCATTACTGGCGTCATATGAGGCAGCAAACAAATGGCTTTTTATCTTATCGGGCGCGCCAAAAACATTTGGACTGCAAAGAAATAAAGGCGGCAAGCGTACCGCAATTGAAATAAGCTGAAGCACCAAGCACTAGCAGCCATTCCAAGGTTTATCTTTAAGTGATAAGCTATATCACATTTTTTGTTCTACCAGCCGTCAATCGAGTCTACGTTTGGTTGCATCATTTATACTATGCTAATGGTTAATTTTTATTTTTGGCATAAACACAATCACGCATTTAGGAACGTGGGAAATTTATTGAACCCTAAATAGAATTTCATGCTGCGTTTCGATTTCGAGTAAGCCAAAGTCATGAAGAGTCGGCAGTGTTCTTAGTTTCGTCCCTATTAAAATATCTAATAGGGAATTACATGAGAGCGTATTTTTATACCCTTCACTGAAAAGAAGGAGGATATATCATATAGCTGTTATACAAGCAGTATTATTTAGACACCGTTTTTCCGAGGAATAGTTTTAATTGCGAATGCTATTGAAATTAAACTTAATATTGATAATATGGTTGTTGCACAAAACTTAGGTAAAAACGCTTGATAAGTAATAAGATAGTAAGGATATATAGGATTATTTCGAAATTAGAGCCCCTTAAAATCAATCATTTCCTAAAACAAATGGAGACGGCAGCACAAATCAATGTCACTTGTTTTTATTTATATATAAATAGTTCTGATATATTTAAGGCAATTAAAAATGGCCCCATCTGGCTATCATTTTTAAATAGCTTTGGTTTTAATAAGTAGGTAGATATTTATTAATTTACTGTCATCCGTATAATCTTTACGCACATATTCAACGAACACAATTTAAAGCTGAGGTGTAAATTAATTTAAAAGCCTGTTTTTAATTATAACAAAAATTTGTAATTCTAGTTTCATTATTCTATTTAAAATACATAGCTTCAGGCAGTCGGATAAATAAGTACAAGTATATGAAATTTATTTGTATGTCTTGAAACCTTTCTTCGAAAATTAAATATAAATAATCAGTGTGAGAATGTGAGTTTGTTTCTTCTGTTCCGCTTTGATTTGTAATGCAGATTAGCTGGTACAGATAATAATTCCTTCTATCTTCAAATAAATATCAAGCATTTCTTAAAACGACGCTTAAGTCACGCTCTCTCCACAAAGCAACGAACTTTATTGACAGTTTAAAATATTTATTATGTTCCAACCACCTGCCAACCACAGCTTTCAGTCACAATTTAAATAGCAAACTCATTTCGAGAATGTGACTCAGAAGAGGTGCAATATTTACGGCCAAAAAATATTATACATACATTAAAACTTTGCCGCCAACTAGTATGATCAATAAAAAAATAGCTAATGGGGGTTTGATTGATTTTCAATTAGCAGCACTCGTTTACGCAAAGTCGCTGACGCACAAAAAAAATTGTTGGCCATATCATGTGAGCGACCACACCAGTGAACCATTCTTCAACCCAACATTTTTTTTTTCACAAGTAAAGCCTTTTTAACGCACAATTTGAATTACTTGCAGGCAATACAGGCAGTCGTCGAACTGGGGCGACAGTTACGGGCACAGCGTTGACACGATTCTTGGTTTGCATGGCACCCGTGATTGGTAAACAGCTCTTCAAATTCAAATTCCAATTCAACAAACATCTCTTGTGTTCTCATTCATAAAAGCTAGTTTGGCAACATTCTGCCAAGATGTTTGCAACATTCCGGCAACATTTTGGTTGTCGCCTTAGCAACATTCAAATGCAAACATTTTTCATAGAAAAATCTCATATAAAAAGCATTTTAAAATGTGTTTACGTCAATTTCACTTGGCCACTTGTTCGCTGTCACATCAACGGTTTATGTCTTTCGCATTATAATTGTTCTTGTTGTTGTTCTACATGTTGCTAGCGTTGGCTTCATACATAAACATATATGTAGGTATTTGTATATATAGCCTATGTACAAATATGTCGCCGCCATATAAACATATATTTTATTTATATTCTCATACACAGACATGACTGTGTCGTCTATGGCAAATAAAACCTAAAACAGTTTCTCAGTTTGTGCCGTAATTTTCATCTATATGCTACATATTGTACGTATACGTGATTTTTTGTGGGTGTTTGATTTTCTTTGCATCTCTCCGATTTTCTGTCGTCTTGGCTTTTTTTTTGGTATTACTTTTTGTTGTTATTGTCGGTGTTCGTGCTCGCCCTTGTTTTATGTGTGCAAAAGTTTTCAGCTGAATATGTGTGGAAATATTCATCAATATGACGGAAAATAAAATGAGTGTGTAAGTTGAATTTTCCTTGGATATTGCTCTGATCTTTATTTATTATTTATAAATAGGCCAACAACAGCAGCCAAGGTCATCATTTAGCTCAACAATAATTTTTGGAATTGTTTTTATGTCATATTATGGCCATAAAGTGTGTATTAAAGTGCAGTAAATAATGATATTTAAGTGCATTTTCAAGCCAAAAATACGTTCTTATAAAATCGGTCAAAGAACAAAAGCAACAAATTGTGGAATAAAGAAAGACAAGAAGATTGTTGAAAGACATTTACGTTGCAAAAATGTGTACATTGTTTATTTAATCTGAGACAATTTAATTTAAAGAACGTTCGATAAGTAAATAATTCGATTGTCTCATAGATCATTACGATTTCGAAATGGAGAATTATTGTGCAGAATTTAGCGACATTATTTAATATTTGTTTTAAACGGAAAAAACTTTTTATTTAAAATACAACTCTATTAGAATATTATTTTGTATTCAGGTTCGTTTGGCATAGCTTTGGCAGTAAACCGAAAAGTGACGCCCAAAAGTATACTGTTCTAAATTGCTATTCTACTTCACTGCTATACTTGTATTAACTGTTTAAGAAACGTTTGGCAATAATTTAAGACACTTGATCACAGAATGTCTAAATTCAAACACTATCGTATAACATTCGACGGATATTCGCCCAAAATTAAATTCTTGCACTGACATAAGGCACATTGTGAAATTCAGAAACAATCTTTAAATTTGTTTTTACTGTTCTTAGGTTGGTACTGACCCAATTATTAATTAAAATAAAAATCGGAAATGTATAATCAAATTCTTGTTATGTAAACTGTTCTGCACAGACCATTGGCATGTAATTAGTTGCTCAGACGGCGCCAAAGCGCAATTAAGTGCATTCTTATTAAAGTTCCCAAGCCAATTGAAAGCAGTTATGCAATTATGCATTTAATTTTCATAGACAAAAACGTAAAAAAATTGCATTAAACCGCAGCGGCACAATGAACTCAAAACTCAGTCTGACAAGCAGACAAGCGCAATTGTGTCACAATTTATTTTCAAATACGCGTTCAGCTGAAAAGCAAACAGAGAACCGCCACTAGATACAGATTAAAAACACACATACAAACATGCATACTTATAACAATATTAAGCATACGCACCGTGACAGCGACAACTAGAAAAAGAGCAACAAAAATGAAAAAAAAATGAACAGCAAGACTGGGCTACTTTCTGCTCTCATTCATTAGAATACTTATATCTGTGAAAAATATTTATGCATTTTTGTGTACAAACACACTTAGCATACGTCTGATTTCGGAGCTACTTTAGAAGAGTTGACATAACATTTACTCAGACATTTTTAAGGGGAACATAAAGCAAAACTGAGTGCCGATCTTAGAACGCATACGCAAATTATTAAAGCAATCAAAGTAAAACGCAGGCCGAATGCTGACGTGAGAGAGCGCAGAAATCGAAGAATAGAAGTGGGTGGGTTAATAAGTAATCGGTTCCGGTTTATATTCCATAAATACAAACTAAATGGATATTTTTAACAGGAACGCCACTGCAAAAATCTACAAATATACAAAAAGTTTTTAAGCCGCTTAGTAGAACTAAATATTTATTTAAAAACTACTGTGCTGTCAGAGGCCTTTGTTTATTTTGAATGAAAACGTTTTGAAAAACGACTCTGCTGGCCAAAGGTCGTTAAATAAAATGCATTTGTCACTTTAAGATTTATAATAAAATATATTTGTGATACCCAACCAGTAAACGATTCTGTTTAATGTTTTATAATTATTTGGAATAAAGAAATCCCTTGTATTAGCAGTAAAATCTTCAGAAATAATAATAATATCTACAATACATTAACACATTCTGTAAACTTTCCCAAAAGCCAGATTTCATCGAAGTGTAGGATATTATTTGTTTTGAAATATTGAAAATAAAATGATAAAAGGAGTATATGACGAACGAATTTGTATGAACTTAAACGAAAATCCTAACTATGAGATAATATTATTTTTACAAAGCTGAATAAATGTTTTGGCAGTGATATATTTTTCTTGAATACCAAAATGTCAAAGAGCTTAAAAAAAGGAAATTCAGTTTGAGTAAAAGGTAAATCAATTATAGCCTAAACAAACGACTGCAGAAGTTAAATAATCGCTTTAAACGAAAATTAACAAATTTGAAGAACATATTGCCACAAATAGTGGCAATAAATAAAGGCCTTAAAAGAATAATAATTGAAAGAACAAAAAATTAAATGACTTTAAACGAAGTAGGGAAAGTCTAAGATGTTTAGATGTTAGATGATATGATCCTACAATTTCAAGGTGACTAGCTCGTAGTTCTCAGAGCTTCACAGTTGTCAAAAATAAATGCTCTAAAGTCTCTCATCCGCTCGTCTACTGTTTTGATTATTAGACTTTTACAGAAAGAGGGTCAGGAATTTTTAAGACTTCAAACTATTTGTATTTTATTGATATGTTATTCAAAAAAGAGGATGTTTCTTATCCAAAGCAACTATGTACTTATCAACCGACTCACTTAAAGTCTAAGATGTTTAGATGTTAGATGATATGATCCTACAATTTCAAGGTGACTAGCACGTAGTTCTCAGAGCTTCACAGTTGTCAAAAATTAATGCTCTAAAGTCTCTCATCCGCTCGTCTACTGTTTTGATTATTAGACGTTTACAGAAAGAGGGTCAGCAATTTTTAAGACTTCAAGCTATTTGTATTTTATTGATATGTTATTCAAAAAAGAGGATGTTTCTTATCCAAAGCAACTATATACTTATCAACCCACCCACTTAAATAGTTGTATGTAGTTGTCGTAGGGCTGGTCGCGTTACGCTTAAATGCCTCTAAATATAGACGGCTGATGACCTTGGCGTGTCGGCCGTTGTCGCCGTCGCCATCGTCGTCGATTTCGTGGCCGTCATCGACAACGTCAACACAGCACATGCAACCAGTGGCGAAAGTACGCGCCATAAGGCCAATGAGGCAGAGAAGCTGCTGAGAAGAAACCATCGGCGGCAGCAACAGAATCAGTGGCAGCTGTTGCTGCCGAAGCCTCAAAATGCAACATATTGAGCTAAGTGTGCGCCAAATGGAACTGCGACGGCAGCATTTCAATCTTCAACCTTTGAGCACGGCGACGTCGCTCGGCAATTGCCTGCCAGCCAGCCAGCCAGCCAGCCGGCAAACAAACGTAGTCGGCGTCAACGTCAGCGTCGCTGCTTTTGTTGACGGTGTCGCTGCCATCATTGGTGGCAGTTGTTTTGTTATTATTTTTTTTTTTGTAAAATAGTATTCAAATCGCGATTAGACGTCGAACATGTGAAGCTCGAGAGGCGGCTGTCGCAGCTAGAACGCCTCTTTTATATTTTTATTTTTTTTAAGTTTTCTTCATTTTGGTTTTAATTTATTGTTTTTAGTTTATCAAACTAATATTTATAAGTTATTTAGTTTCTTGTGTGCTGTCTATCTAATTCGAATATGGTTTATATTTTCCTGAGTGTTGTCGGCAACTACGGTGAGTGTGTTGAAGCGGCCGTTTAATTGATTTGCGCTTCTGCTTTTGATGTCTTTTTTTTCATCTACATTACGCAATGTATGGCGCTGACAAAGTTCAGCGCGTTCCAACGCCATCGATCAGACGTTGAGGAAAATTTATAAACGAGTACATGTGTAATGGAGGGTTATGTATGAGTTTTATTTTTAGCGTCGATATGCGCGGATTACGTATACGCCACCTGAAGCAAACACACACACACACACACGAACCAATCACACGAATATGTAAATTTTATTGTTTGTTCCGCGTAATGATTCCAAAAGTTCATTACGCGCGTTCGTGAACTTGTCCCATGGCTTTAGTCCGGAATTGTAGCCCCTAAATGGAACTGGAGAGCATATGATTTTTTAAATTTGCATAACTGAAATTGTTTCAAGAAATGTCAATCAACTGCAAACAGCGGCCATGTAAGCCATGCATGGCAGTTACGCTTGATTTGTTTTAGGAATAAACATGCCATATTGCGAATTAAAAGTACAGTGGAAACTCTTGTGAGCCGAGCGAAAAATGTCAAGTCATTAGAAAATGATTAAACTTGGGTGACATGAACATTCATTTAAATAGACGTGATTTCAATCTCGGAAGATCTTGATTAGCAGCAATTTGCATTCATAAGATGTACATGCGCATTTATAATACATAGATTGCATGAATTCCCACAAAACTGATTAATATTGACAGTATAGTATGCCAAAAATAATACAATAAGCCATAAAGAAGGAGACCATAAAAATGTTGATTGCTTAATTTGTAGAAAATTGTCATTTGAAATACTATCAAATAGACCTAAATCTACCGATTCTGTTAGAAATTCGTGCAATTATTGCAAATGGGCTTTCTCAACTACTAACAAATAAATTTCAAAACAAAACAAACTTAATTTCTTATTAATAGATTAACTGCAGGAATATATTTATTTCGTTACAAACGTAATAAAATGAAGGAAAGTTATTAAAAGAACTGGACTTATTTTAAACGATGAATTTAATGAAAACGAATTGTGCCCATTAGTTCATTTATCTAAGTTCAATATCTAAGAAGGAAATCAAATTTTCATGATCTTCAGTACTTAATTTCCTTAGTAAAAGATCAAAAATTAAAAAAATATATCATACATTTTGGAGTTAGAAAAAAAATCTAGCAAAAGAAAACAATTTTCTTCGGCTCTGACTGTAGCTGAGACTGCATGTGTTTTAAAGGAATACTATTTTCATATTTATTACTAAGTATATATGTAGCATTATTAGTTTTGTTTCGGTACTTTGAACTGTTTAATCAGACATTATTTCCTAACATTTTCAAATCAGCGGACTAAAAAAAAAAACAATGTTAGAATTACTCTTTGAACCGTTATTAAAAATTATAGAAACATTTTAATACGCATAATATTTTAATAATATTTAATATTATAATACTATATACTAGGTAGGTTAGTTAGATATGGCTGCGGCGTAATACGCCTCCCTACACTTAGGAGAAAAAGGTCCATTGTGATGCCATTAAATCCTTTTTGTATTTTGATTGTCCCAGCGCTGCGGCGTACTGTCCAGAAAAATAGTTAAAATCAATGATTTTTGATTTATGTATTGCAATTATTCGAATCATGTGCTTTGTTGTTAAGGTACAACAATAAAAAGAATAATTAAATCAAATTAAATAAAGAATCATTTGAACATTGATTTTTGGAACACATAATATTCATATTCTGCTCAAAGGAAAGAGATATATATTTTGTAATGATTGAGCTATAACATATAGTATTTTAAACATAAGTACACACGTCAGCATGTTGTGGGGGAGGGGTCGTTGTAAATCAACGCGCGAAAAACTCAAAAGGCGTAACGCCAGAAAATTGTGTTTTTTCTACAAACAATTTAATTTGTGGGCCTGTAATTTCGTGTGATTGCGTTATATTTATGCGCATACAAAACAATAACACACCATACTTGTACAAACATATTTGTGTGCAAAGCACTAGACATAATATATACACATACTGCTATATAAGACCAACTATAGCCGACAAATTGGGCACATCAAACGCTCAGTTGGGTCTTCGTTGCTTTCAGTTTTTCCGGTGTTCGCCATACTGAGCGCTCTACGAGGCGAAGGCAATTAACTTTTTAATAATAAAAACTAAACTGAAAAATTTTGTTTACGAGAGCGCGTTAAATGCAGTGATTTTGTGGCCATCATGGGACGACTACGACTACGAGTACGAGTAGTTGTAGTTTAGTTTCTAGTCGTAGTTCGAAGGCAACAAGTTCTTCAACGGCCAAAACAAACAGGGGAAAATGAGCATTAGCGGAAAAGCCTCATAATAACAGCAAAGAAAAAAGAAAAAAACAAATTGAGGAGAGCAGACAAAACAGATGAGCAACAAATTTTCAAAAAGGAAATTGTTAAGAACAAGAATATTTGAAAATCAAGCGAAAGCACCCAATTGTTGCGCTCTCTTTTTTTTTTTTTTTTTTTTTTTTTGTATGTGGCTTGCGAAAATTTTACTTAGATCGGGGACCCAGTGCGCCCCGGACAATTTGAATGTACGGCTCGTGTGACGGATTGTTGTTGCTAGAGTACATTTTAATATAATCGAACCGTTTGGCATTAAATTTATATCAAAAATAAAAAACAAATAATATTGAAACGAAAACGAAACTGAAACGAACGAACTAAACCAAAACCTAAGGCTGAACAATTGTGGTAAATATTGTTGAGTGAACTGTATTTGTGCTACAAATATATTTCGTAATTTGCAGTGCAACATTTTCGAAAACAGTTTCGAATTTAAAAAACGCACACACATACAGCCAAGTGACGCACTGCCAAAAATGTAGGCATATCTGCAAAAGTTTTTAATGTTTGAAGAAAAAGAGCCATTGCCAAGAATACAAGTATTGAGCAAATGTTTTACTTTATGTTTGTTTGCTCGAGTACTGAGGGCGAGTGTTGGCTTTTCTTCTTCTAGCTGTTCTTGTTGTTGTTGTTGTGCCGATGTCGCTTATGTAATTTCATTGTCGTCTTTCTGCATTTGCCACAAAGTATTTCCGTGCTGTACTTTGTGTCAATGTCTGTGTGTCTCTGTATTTGTATCTGTATCTGTATCTGCACCACCCACCCACTTATTTTTAGCACCTGTTGTGTACACTAGACTACATGCTAAATGAATGTCTCTTGCAGTGTCGCTACCTGGCGCTGGAATTGGCCCCACTGAGCAGCCGACCATACTATTGATCAACAACCAACAGCAACAGCAGCAGCAGCAGCAGCAACATCACCCGGAGTCGCAATCGCCGTCCCAGCAACTGAACGGCGAAATTGAGGCAGAATCCGAAGCTCAAGCCGGCAAAGAGAGCAAAGCAGCAAAGCTTAAGCTAACGCTCGATAGCAGTAAGAATCAATCGGCATCCATTGATTTGGCGCCCACCACACCCGGCGGCTCACATGTGCTCGACATAGAATCTCATCTTATTGAGGACGCCAACACATACACAGCCACCGAGGAACAGGGTGTGGGCATCAACGAGCTACAACCCATCGAGTACGAGCTAGAACAGGGCACATCCAAGGTAGAGACTGATGATGCATCCCGTGTAATCGAAGTGGAACCGGCCGGTGCCAAGACTAAGCAGATCGTTGAGACACAAGCCCCTTCCCATCAGACCGCCGAGGTAGACGAGACAACGGCGCAGGCAGATTTAGTTAGCCAGCCAGCACCAAATCCGAGTGAAGTGCGCGAGGCAGCCGAGCAGCTTGTGAATGAAATAGAACGTGAGCTAGTCGAGAATTTGAGCCGTCATTTGAATGGTGACCACAAAAATGTAGACGACGAGCAAACAAAGACTGATAGCGGCGACATCAAAGAGCACCTCGAGGCTGTCAACTCGCTCTCCCAGCAAGTGGATGCTCAGCTCAATGAGCTGACCAGCATACTCAAGAACAAGCTACCAGAATCGGAGATTGTGTCGGAGCAGCAACAATCAGCTCCTTTGGTTCTAACATCTGCTGCCAGCAGTGAAATAAAGCTGGTAGAGGTGCCCACGCCCAAGACTCAAGCGGAGGAGGAGCAACGCAAAGCGTTCATCGACTCGCTGCCACAGATCGAGCAGCGCAACTTGCTGACAGATTCGGAAACGGATGCCAATCGTTTGTCAGCCGACTGCAAGCGTGAGTACTATCAGTCGCTGAAGAAGTATCTGTTGCATAGCAGTCAGGATAGGCCGCCGGTGCCTTTGCAAACATACCGCTGGGAGGATTTGAGGCGCGCCAAGGAACGGGTAAGTTCAGAAACTAGCACACCTACTAAACAATTATAGGGAAACCTTAACACGAATACCTCAAAATACTTTAACCCTTTCCAGGGTGGCTACCCGTGGACACATTTGTATAAGCGGCCACTGGGACCAGACGAGGAGCCTGAGATTGTTTTGTTGCTGCGCAAATCGCAAGAACTGCGATTCAAATCAGAATCACCAAAGTCTCTTAAAAGGGTACGCTACGACGAGCAGGTACTAGTCAAGGAAACCGAACGCTATATTCAGGACTTGTCCGAAGACGAAGCGCCTGGCGACAGCGACCAAAGTTCCGAGGAGTCCGACACAGATACAGAGAGTGTAAACGAACGAGACCCACACAACGAGGACGCGCTTAGTGAGTGCATCTCTTGTGTCTCCGATTCGGTCCTGGCCGTTGGTGGACACGCAAAACCGCGTAAGACCAATCGATTAGCTCAGATACGTAACTTAATCAAGCGTAGACGCAGCGGACGTACTCAAGAGGACGCACAATCGCTGCCAGGAAATTCGGCTAACGCAAGTCTTCAGAGCAGCGTTCACGAACTAGCCCCACCACCTGGATCTCTAGTGCCAAACTCTGCTGCGGCTATTGAGCAACGGAAAGCGGAGAAACGCAAGCCCAAGCAGAGCTTTGACATCATGAAGAAGCTCAAAAGCTTGGCGGAACGCCAGAAGAAACGTTTGAATATCAAGCGAATTTCTCTAAAGAAGGATGAGAAAATTGTGCTGGGTGAGGAGCAGAAAATCATGCGACTAAAGGCCTCACCGAAATCGGATCGTGGAGAGATTCCACACTTTATTGAGAAACAGGATTCAGATGATGTTCTCGAGCTGGTTGAATACGATGAGTCGCCCTGTCGCAAGCGCAATAAGGAGGAGCAAGAACAAGCTGAAGATCTGCCCACTTCCAGCAGCAATGTGTTGCAGCCAGATGAAGTCATAGAGCTGCCGCAAGTCACAGAACCGGTTCCACCCACTGTCGAAGTTACGGAGTCTGAAGCTGTAAGCAAAGTAGATGACGAGGACGAAACTGTTGAAAGCCAAGAGACAGCAGACGATTCCGCACCTCCTAAGAAGACACCACGACTCCGTCGCGAACATGTCTACGAGGAGATTGGACAACAGAGTGACTCCCAACAGCCGCTGCTCGAAGCGAGCTCTGTTGATGCGCTTAAGAAATCACTTATGCGTCAGGATAACTTGGCCGTAGATGAGGTTGAAGCTGCCAAATCCATTCCGCTGGATCGGATGGGCAGTAGCGAAGAAGAGCAGGCAGCGGCATTGACTGCTGATAAGTCCAGTGCATTACTGGCACCCATTTCATCCATAGACTCCACCTCGTCGGATGAGGAGCGAGCACGTCTGGCGCAACTTTCACCCGTGGCCGAAGAAAGCGATGTGGCCAGCAATGACGCCCTTGAGATTGAGGAACTACGCCCTTCGATTAAGAAGGAACCATCACCAGCGCCATCGGACAAAAAGGTCACTTTCTCGCATGTGGAAGACGAAGCAGAGCCGCATCGCGAGGACATTGAACTGCCCGAAAATGTACTTGAGGCGGCTACCAACGCTGCCAAGTTAAAGAATGTCAGGTGAGTTATGGAACCGCTTACAATTATAATCCTAAGAGCAATCACCGCACCATTTCACACATGCACATAAGACATCCACTACCCGCTCTTCTCTTTGTTGACTGACCTGGCTGTTGATACTCCTAACTCTTGCAGAAACTCTAACCCCATTGACTTGCTTATGAAATTGTTACTAACTCTGTTGCCCTCTGTGGGCGGCAAACGACGGCGCGTGCGCACCTTTAAATACACACATGGCAGCAAGCACTACCAAGATTACCACTACACAGACCACACAAGCACCAACTACTACTACAACAACAAACTCAAGAGCACTACACACAAGTCCAACAAGCGTAACAAATCTTGGACACTTTGCTGCTGTCGCAACATTAACAATACGCATGGGTAAAGGGTTGCAGAAGGACCACATGGGTTGTTCATGTCATACATGATATAGACCTAAGGTAAGCTTAAAAGAGCGTTCAGGTTAACTCACTGTGTACTGTCCCAACTCATTTCACTACGCCAGGGGTATTGATAAGTTATATGGCGAAGTGATCGATCTGTGCTTTGTCATGCGGACCATTTTAGTAAAATATTTTATTCCATTGTATTTAGTACGAGTTATAAAAATAGATCGAGACAAATCTGAAATGAATCATAATATACGAGTATATGAATATAAGCCCAGAGAGAACGCTACAGTCGAGCGAGCCCGACAGTGTAATACCCTGTACCCAGACAAATTTCCGGGACTGAGTTATATGCGCCCATAGCAGAAGCAAAAAGAAGAAGAATTGCCAACTTGATGCTGCAGTTTGTGGGCGTAGTACTGGTTTTCTTAGAATTGACCGATTTGGATGAAATTTAAATCAAAACTACAGAATTGTATATAGATGTGTGCAAAGTTTGGTTAATGTAACTTTTGAAATGTAGATAGTATTGCCAAAATTCTGTAGCGGGGGAAGGGGGGAAAATTCCCAAAAATAAAATAAAGACCTTCTTTCTTGGATCTAGGAGAATCTGGATACCAACTTTGGTTATTCCAGCTTTTATAGTTTCTGAGATCCAGGTAGACAGACAGACGGAAGGACATGTCTAGATCGATTCGTCTCGTCTCGCTGACTAAGAATACATATACTTTATGGGGTCGAAGATGCTTCATTCTGCCTGTCACCTACTTTGCGCAAACCTAATATACCCTTTTTACCCAACGAGTACAGGGTATAAACATGTTCAATACATACTTGTAACAAACTTAGTGCCAAAAGTTAAATTGTCCTCAAATAGTAAACAACTGACTGAGATTCGATCTATTAATAAATAATAGTTTCACAATAATTAAACTTGGTGAAAATAAATCTACTCCTCAACAATTTCTGGGCATTCCAGTTACGTTTGGTAAAAAGTATAAATACTTTTGGATATTTATGCAAGCAAATAATTAATGAGTGAATGATAATAATGATTTTATGGAGTGGAGTAGAATCATCGTAAATATTACTATAATTACATAATTATGTAGAGAGCAGAAAAATGTATGGGACCATCTGTACCACTTGATATTGCTCTCCAATATCAATGAGATTTACTTGGTGATGGTAACAAACTTATTACTCAGATGGCCCCCATACTCGTACAAGTGGACCAGCCTTAAAGGTCAACTAATGACACCACCATAAACTGTGCTAAAATTTCCGGCAGCTGAACGGCGACGACGTATTGCCCCAAAATAGCAGCCAACAAAGTGCAGGCCGACAAAATGTTACTCCTCGAAACAGATTGCAATTATGAACAAGCCAAGAGGCAACAAAACAACGACATGGCATTTTCTATAACAGAACACAACCACAGCAGCCAAGGCGAAGTCAACGACGAGGAAATCAACTAATCCATGTAGTTGTCGCTGTCGCCGCTGCTATGTACATATCTACATATATCAGTATGTACGTGTATGTATGTGTTTGCCTCTGCTTTTTGCTAATTTTAAAGCAAACACATTTTCATCTTCTGAACAAAATCGTAAAATCGTCTGTCGCAAAAAAAGAAAAGCTCTCAGTCCTGGCCGAAAATCGCAACGATGTGGACACAAATCGCGGGCGTGCGTAGCTCGGAGTGCAAAGTGGGCCAAAAAGTTCTACAAAAAATATTACATATCCAATAAGCAGATCTAAGATAGCGCGATACAGAAACATTAAATAAAGGTTAACATCGTCAGCGGACAGTGACCAGCAGCTGTTTTGTGCCAAAAGTTCGATATTACATTTTTCATCATCGGTTTTTCAAGAATTTCAAAGTAGGCAAAAAATAAATTCAATGTCCAAATGCGAGAGGCGGCTGTGGTGATGCTTAAAAATAGATAGCACCGAACCAGAAAACGAATCACAACGAAAAAACACAAACGAAACTAAAACGACAAAAGAAAAAAGCCCAGAGAGGAACAACACAAGAAGATTTGCGAAAAGTAAATAGCAAATCATCACAGCACAGCACAGCACAGAGATTGGCCAACTACTACTACCTCGATACAGCAGTTAGCCATGTTGAACTCGCGGCGCTCGGCCTCGGTGGGTGCTCTCCCACATGAGAAGAAGCACTTTGTGTCGCGCGTTGAAAGCGCAAGTGGCGCCTCCTTGGACGTGCGATGTGCCTGTCAATATTTTCAATGCGACTCTCTGTTGCCGGAACGTGTCAATCCAGTGGACTCGCGTCCCGGCTCGAAACTGGGTTATCACAGCGAAGCTGGGGAGGTGGAGCAATTCTATCCCATGAATTTGCAGCATCGTGATGACCTATCCGCACAAAGCTTCGAGGTGATTAGCCACAGCGAGTTGGCCCAACACCCTCATCATCATCAGCAGCAGCAGCAGCAGCACACACAGGCGGCACCACCACCTGTAGACTTGAGTTTTGTAGAGCGCTATCCAGAGCTGGAGCAGACGGCACGTTCACGGGGTTTGGTTGTTCGCAGCATTTCAGATGCCAATGAGGCTGATATGGCAGGCGGTCAAAGCTCTTTTATGGCAGGCCATCGTCGACGTCAACTATCGGTGGGCGGTTTGTCCTCCAGTAGCATAGGACGGTTTCGAGGTCGCGACATCGACACCCTCTCAATGCGTAGTGGCACTTCCTTGCGTCGCATCTCCGCAGCTAACTCCAAGGCGGACTTATATTGTGCAGATATCAACATACCCGGTTCACGCGGCGGTGCTGGTCAACGTTCGGCCAGTGCCAGCCGTCGTGCGTCCAATGCTGATTTATTTCAGGCAAATATTTTGCCCTCCGGTACAATGCAAGTACCGCAGCTCAATCTTATTGCAGCCACACCTAGTGCAGCGCTGGCCGATGTGCGTCCCGATTTTCACTCTCACCAAGCCTCGCCAGCACCTTCACAGGACTTTCGAAATGCGCGTCGACCGCTGTCTCCGGATTATATGCGTCCTAGCGATGAGGTCAAGGCTGAACCACAATTGGGCGATGTTTTGCCCCAGAATAGACCCATCGATGTTTCACGTTTTCACGGTGATGCTGTGCGTCCATCTTTCTTAGTGGAATCTGATTTCAAGGCAATACAAAATCCCTATCAATCCACGGTTGTGCCAAATGATCCGTTAGCCCAAACGGTAGCAGAGTTGGAAGAAATTGCCGCTGCTCATGATATTGTGAATATTCGCGATAATATACAAAGTGAGACACATCGACCGCCGTCAATAGCCGGCGAATTGAGTAACAAGTCACTGCACTTGGATGAGCAAACGAAAATTGAAATTAAAAGCGATCTGAATGTCGTGAACATTAATGAGCTGGTGCGCAGCGAGCAGGAGAAGGCGGAAGAAGCACAAATGCATCGAAGCCGCAGTCCAAGGCCTTCGCCACGAAGACCCAAATCGTCGCCCGTAATGGCCACGTTACAGTTACCGTCAAGTCGTCCGTCTTCGCCAACTCAGACGCAATTGGATCCAGTAGCTACAACACAGCAACAGCAACTTAAGCGCCAGCATGCACCTGAGCGCCAGCTTTCGCCAGAGCGGCCAACACCCAGCAAAATGACGTCCACTTTGCAATTTTCGGCTTCACCCACGGACCCTGCGCCAGTTCAAGCAAGCGTTATACCACTTCAGCAAGCCTCGCCTGAGGTGAAAAGTTCCTATGCCTCTCGTTTTAAGTCAATGTTTTCGAATAGTGGACGCCAAAAATCACCTTCGCCACAAAGAGTCCGCACGCCTAGCCCTAAACGCGAACGATCCCCGTCGCTGTGGAGTCGCGAAAAAGAAAAATCGCCCTCACCTAGCAAAATGCTGACAGTATTTGCCAAAAACAAACCTGTACCTATGTCGATTGTGAGCAGCACATCTAATGTGATGAAGAAGCAGGAACCAGAGCCCTTGTCCGTGCGAGTTACCGAAACCTTCTCTCTAAAAGTGGACGAGATGGACCAGTACTGCACACGACCCAGTGCTCCACTGGCACCGCCATCACATGCTCAGACCTTGTACAGCAGTCGTGAGGACTTTGCTGCCTCCGAACGTGCATCGGTGGACATAAGCGAGGCTTTTGCACCTGTAGTTGTGTCTGCTCTACCACGCGGAATGAGTGGGAGTGGTACAGGCGGAAGCATCAGCAGCAGCGGCGGCTTCATGGCCGGCAATCGTAATCTCTACAGCAGTGAAATCGAAATGCCTTGGGCGCACAGCGAATCAGAATTTCGTGGCTCCAGCAAGGAGCCTTCTATCGCCAGTCATGGTAGTCGTCCATTGATTTCAGTGCCCATTAACATTAGCGGAAGTCGTCAGCTGGGTCGTGCCCCTTCCATGCAACGTCTTGGGGTACAACGAAAGTCCTCCTTTCGAGAGCCACGCACTCTGTCCCACGATCGCGCTGCGCGCCTTACGGGATCCCAAGAGCATCTCTATGGGTCTGCGGCGCGCATGACAAAGACGGTTAGTTTCAATTTTGATGAGCGCAAATCGCGCCTAGCGGAGTTTGAGTCTAGCTCGCCCCTAACCCAAAAGCAATACGAACACAGAGACTTCCTCGAGCGGACCTATTTTTCTCGGTAAGCAACAGCTGCCCTAAGACCGTATATGGTAAAACCCCCATGTGACTAGAATGGCGCACGTTCCAACATACACAAGCAACCACAGCGCACACACCAAAGCTTCCAAGGGGTGCTGGCTTCTCTAACCTTCGCTTGCCACTCAAACTATCACACGTGTTCAATGTTCATAATATTATGCTCCCGTGGAAAACTTTTGGAGTAGCACAGTGTAGAGTCATAGAAAGTTTAATAATTTTAAATATTTGAGACAATCCGCATTAAAACAAATCAATAATGCTAGAATATATCACAGTTTATCAGCTTGTGTGATCTATGACCTGCATTGCGCGACTTCAAGAGTTTTATATATTTTAAGCAATAGCAGTCTATCTGCTGCTATGCCTAATTATTTCCATTCATCATTGCTTATTCCCTTCATTTGATTTCTTTTAGTGATCATGAATACGAGCCCATTGGTGTAGCGCCGACTTCTGATGTTCAAGCCCAGGAACCATCATCAGCTACACCATCTGCAGCAGCTGTTGCCCAGAATGGCGCCTCCATAGACAACGATGCTGTGGACGACCGCTATCTTAGTTCCGCTGCTACTACACCGCGTACAGAATCTCGCACAGACTATGAAATACACACCAGCCAAGTGGACTCAAGCGCATTGGAAGAACTACCGTTGCAGCCGGAGAATCGAAAGAAGGGTTTCATGGCAACGGCTCAGGATCGTACGCGCAAAATGCAGGATGGAATCCGAAATCAGGCTGGAAAAATACGCACCAAGTTGCGCCCGCAACCGAAGAAACCCGTCTCAGGTAGCCCTAAGGCCAAGGAGAGACGACGCTTTAAGGCCCCAGAGTTTTCTAAGATAAAAATGCCTGAGATTAAACGACCAGATATGACTAGGTTTAAGGATATGAAGAGACCCGAATTCACAAAGTTCAACAAGCCCGACATGTCCAAGTTTAAGCTACCCGAGAAGTTCCCAACGCTCAAATTGCGTCGCAGTAAATCTTTCAAAGAAAATGAGGCTGCTGTTGGTGACTCGGAGCTACCTACTGAATCCACCGAATCCCCTAATGCAGAGGCTGCGCCCGCACCAAAAAAGAAATTTGAGTTTAACTTTGGCACCTATCCGAGAGCTTTCCGCAAGAAGAAACCAGCCGAACCCGTGGCTGTGGAATCTTCGCTTGGCACTGAGGGTTTGAGCGTTATACCCAGCACTGAAACGCAACCCTCGTCGACGAGTTCACCGCAAGGTGATCGCGGACCAGGACCTGTGCGGTCACGCTGGGCTGACAAGTTTTCTGATGTGAGCTACAACGATAGCGAAGGCTCGCGGTACCGACGGTACGGTAGCGAGCTAGAGAGCTTTGATCGGGAGTCTTCACTAGAACGGCGTATGAAGGAAGATTTGGAGGACACGGGAAGCGAGGCACAGCCACAACAGCAGAAACTTGATTTGGGTATTCTTGGCGGTGTGGCAGATAGCAAACAGTTTGCAGAGTTCGATGAAGAGAACCGTGCCATACATGAGATCTCTAATTTGCGATCGCGTGAATTTAAGCGTCGGCCTATGGTGCATCAAGACTCTGATTTGCGCTCCGAAGATAGTCGTGATGCCGAGGGGTGGACTGAGAAAGACATACAAAAGAACAAGCTTTTGCGCAAAGCTGAATTGGAAGCAGAAACTGGTTACTACAAATACCACAGTGGTGAAGAGGGTCTACTCCAAGACGCACAATCTACGGCTAGCTCGGGCAAAAAGGTGGTCATGGAAGAGATCGACGATGATGAGTTCTTTTTGCGTAAGCGTGGAATTTCTGAGGACAACATACAATTGCGGCAATATATCAGCGCTGCCATCCGCGAGGGTTACGATATGCCTAACGCACTGCAAAACGTGGGTCAGGAGTATGGTGATTACGATGTGCCTCCGCCAAAGCCTCGTCGTCTACACAAAAACTATCGACCGGAATATGGTGATTCTCAAGAGTTTCAACGCAGCGACTATGGGGATGACCTATCTATGTCTCAGAATGGAAGCGATTTTATGCCTAAGCGACCATTACGCAAAGCTCGTAGCCGCAGCAAATACTCAATGGATAGTCAGGACATCCCTATGGCAGACGATGGTAGCCAAGTTCAGTACTTTGACGATGACGAAGAGTATTTGCGTCCGCCAGCACGCGATCAAGCAGAGGTGGAGGAGCCGCAACAGGGTCTGAACAATCTTAGCTTCAATGCCAAGGCATCATCTGTAGATGTACCACGTCCGCATGCCCCTCGGCGTCAAAAGAAGCGCACACGCGACCAGACGTCTGTGGAGAAAGAGCAGGCTGATGACTTCATTAATGGCTTTGGTGGTAGATCAGTATCGAATACCTTTTTGCAGCCACAGGAAGATGTGAGTATACATAGAAATCAATGCCTTAGTAATATGATAAACTTAAGGTAATTAACTATAATCTGAGACATTTATATATATTTTAGTAGTTTATTGAGTTGTGTTGAAATTAGAAAAAGTAAATATACATTTTTATACTCTGTACATGAAATGTACAAGAGTATATTAGGTTTGCGGGAGCTGAAAAGTGTAACAGGCAGAAGGAGGCGTGGCAGACCCCACAAAGTATATATATTCTTGATCAGCATGACGAGACGAGTCGATCTAGCCCTGTCTGTCTGTCTGTCCGTCTGTGCGTCCGTATGAACACCTGGAGATAGAGACACCAAATTTTGCACAAAGATGCGTTATGTGTGTATTCTATACGAGTTTGTTTTATTTTTTTGATTTTCCCCCCCACTTCCCCCCTATGGGGGTTTTCCCGATTTTCCATTCGTATAATCGCCTATATCTCGGAGACTATAAGACCTAGGAACACCAAATTTTAGTCCCAGATGCCTTATGTGAATACGCAGAAAATGTATATTTTGGAATTCCCCTCCCTCCCCCCTCTACCCCGCAAATCGTAACTCCCGTAATTCTTGGAATTTCGAACTAAAATTTTGGAAATACCCCCAGTTGGTTATTATGTGTCCGTATGCCAAATTTCATTATGATAGACCGATTTAACAAGAAGTTATAGCCATAAATATATTTGCTGATGCAGCGCTGCCCGCGGCTGTTGTTGATGTTGCTGTTTGGTTGACTGCGAAAATGCTTACACAGACACGAATTGATGCGCATAGGCATACATACACTCACACAGACGCAATTGCTATGTAAATGTGCAATTATACACCCTTTACGTGAGTTCGAATACCGGGAGAGGTAAAATCGATCAAATTTTTTTTTTTATTTTCTTAATTTTTTTATTTTCTATAATTATTGTAAACATATGTACAGAGTATTTCAAAGTCGGGACACCCGACTTTAGCTTTTTTACTTGTTAAAATTATTCTTTACTTTCAAACCCCTTAGGTAATTGTTTATCGCACTGAGCATGAATATCACATACCGCTGGCCACGCCTGACAACTTTACTGATGGGGCTTCAGCGCGTACTCAGCGCTCTGAAGATGAGCGCACTTCACGGGGTGCTGACTCTTTGGCGCTAGATGCACAAGCGCCAGAGAACGAGCTGCCTCAGGAGGTGGAGGAGGAGCCACAGCACGAGAAGTTTGTCATAGATATGTTGGAAAATGATGGGTAAGTGAAGAGCCACCCTTCTCAGGGATCAGTTTGATGATAACTTTCATTACAGCTACGCCGTTGTGCGCAAGGAGCAAATGCCCAAGCCAACGCCACCGGCACGTCGTAAAAAGTTCACACGCTCACCAGGTGAACGGTTTGCCACATTGCCGAGCACACGCGGTTCACCACCGCCACCAGCACGCCCACCACCTCCGCAGCGTTATACGCCCAGCGATGATTCACCGTTGCCACCGCGAAGACGCTCTCCAAGCATTGAAGATATTGGCCTGGGTGCTGGCATCAAGTCAAAGTAAGCAAAGCAGTGGCGCCGCTTTGTTGTTGTTGTTACACACACTCCCACACACACCAACACAAGCTATATGACATGTATATTTCTCTCGTTTGTTTCGAATGCATTTTTGTTAAGTTTTTGTTTTTTGTTATTAAGTTTGTAGGCTTAAGTCGCATTAAGCTAAGTTGAGCAAATAGTGAGCGGAAGCTTTAACCTAACCCAGACACATGCATACACACAATAAAACATAAAACTAAGATTCAAATACATATGAACATATATTATATACATATGTATATAAACACAAAAAAAACACACTTGAGTTCTGGCTGCTTTCTTTTTTCTGTTTGCCGCTTGCGCCCTTTGACCACGTCCAATGCTAATTCCACCTTCAAACCTTTCCCGTTTAGCGAACCCAGCCAGGCCGAGCAGCCTGTAGAGGAGGAGGAAGAAGAGGATGACTATGAGGCGCTTGAGCGTCCCGAATCGCCTCGCGCCAATTTGCAGTCCGGCGACGTAATAAATAAGATGAAGTATCGACCATTGCCGCCACCACCGCGCCCGCCGCGTGAAAAGCGTCAGCGTGGAGGCAGCACCGTAGACAGCAAAGGCGAACGCACCGACGATGAGCTTTCGTCATATCGGTACGAGGATAGCGAACGTGTTGCTAGCTCCTCGACAGCCGATAGCTACGATCAGCATGAATTTGAAGTCGAAGTCTCCACGCAAACAGATCCGCTACCTGATGATTTCGTGTGCGAGGAATTTGAGATCACAGAGGATATGAAAGTAATTGAGCCCCGTCGCTCGAACGGAACTAAAACCCTTGACGATCTGCTCCGCAGCGCACAGTCCGAGCAGGATGAATTGGATGGCTCCGAACGGCCACTTACAGAAGATGAACAGCTAGCACGTGGTCTTCAACGTTTCCGTGATGCCAACCAACGGAGCATGTCTGAGCGTTCACGAGCCTCATCGCAGGCTGATCGTTCGAAATCGCTCAGTCGACCACAAACGCCATCAGCGGTGGTCATTGAGCGACGGGTGCCTACGCCATCGCCCACTGGGGAAGAGAATGATAGCACGGTGCAGGCGGCACTCATTGTGCGGCCTATTAGTGTAGCCGATTTGGAGGATGATGATCTAAGACGTGAAGAAGAAGCGCTACGACGCGAAGGTTTGCTATCGGATAGCTCTGTTCAAAGTAAGTCCGATGTTGAAACAGCTGGCGAAGATGAGGAACTTCACGGCGAACAAGGACATATAGCACTGAGCGATTATGCGCCGAGCTCAGCAGATTTGGATGCGGCTGTGGAACAATTACAGCAGGCTCAACTGGAGAGTGACTACGAGAGTAAGCTGGAGGATGATGAAGTCGAACGCACACTACGTGAAAGCGAGTACGAAGACGACGAAGTAAAAGGCGAAAAGTATTCAGATCACTATGATGAGGATGAAGAATTAAAGTTGCAGGAGCAGGTGCTTAGAAGGGAACTGGGACTGGACCTGGAACAAGAACAACAACTAACAGACCAAGAACAACAATTAACAGATCAAGAACAACAGTTAACAGACCAAGAGCTTGAAGAAGCTTTGGAAAAAGAGCTTCAAGAAGAAATGGAAAAGGAACTGGCTGCTTATAGAAAAACTGAAGCGCCCTCTAGTCAAATTCAGGAGCTAAGCAGCGTGGAGGCGGTTACTACGCCAGAATACCCGCTGTCGGAAGAAGAGCCCGAAGAAAAAATTGTGACAGAAGAACCACTTTTATCCTCCGAGATCGCCACACAGCTTAAGTCATTACCAAAAGTGGACACCAGCGAAGAAGTTGCAGCCAAATTTATATCGAGTGAACCCCTCGATGATGAAGCTGAGCATGAGCCACCACATCCACCGCCACGTCGCAAATCAACCACCGTACTAGAACCAACATCGGCACCCACGCTGACGATAGCCGAACAGGCAACACGTGAGCTTACACCCGTGCAATCGGTCCAATCTGCCACCACCCAGCCACAGGCTCAGCTTCCCAGTCGTCTAGCTGAACTCGAAGTCGAACGCCTACGTGTGCATGCTTTACAGGCCGGTCAGATTATGGTCTCACAGCTGCATGGCAGTCAGATCAGTTCTGATGAGCTCGAGTGCAAGTCAGGTAATCTGGTCGTAAAGAACATCGAACTTCCGCCCGGATTTATTGAGGATATTGTGGAACGAGTGCGCAGCAGCGAACCACGTGCCAGTTTGCTTACCACCGAAACACAGACTAGTCGTCAACCCAGCAGTGAGCCAGCAGCCAGTGAGGAAACTGACTTGGAGGTGGAGAAACCATTAAAGCCACCACGTCAAAGCAAGCTGACAGAAACAGCCGCACCCACAACCTCCAGTCACAGTAATCTCGATGAGCAAACACAAACTGATGCTGCCTTACTGCCGCTGCCGCCACCACCAACTGTGTATCCTAGTGTGGAGTACCTGCAGTCCTTGGCCCCACTTGCTTTCTACAATCTACAACGCAGTGGCGAAGCGGAACAAGCAGCTGATGCATCTCCCAGCAGCACCGCCGATCGTAAAGCGCCGCACAAATGCCGTCGCCGTCACGTGCAACGCCGCGAGGAGCAGTACGAGGACGACGAACAGCTCGGTTCAGGCTCTGACCTAGACGTGGAGTTAGTGGAACGTCCACGATCCCGTCGTTCACGCACGCGCAGTGGCACACAGCCATCGGAAGCCTTCGACGAGCACGAGCCCAAGACTGTGGTGCAGGCGGGTCGCCAATTTATCTCCGCCTGCAGCCTGGAGCTGGTTAACATTATTAATCAGCTAACAAACTATGTTCGTGGCGACGTTGTCGAACAACAGCAACAACAACAGGGCCGCAATTTGCCTGCACTTATGGTGCTCTTTATCCTGATTACATTTGGGGTGCTCGTCTTTTTGTTAACCGGTCGACAGGTGCATACACATCATTGGGATTATTTCAATCCACCAGGCAATGAGGGCAGACAGACGTGAGGTTAGCTTACAGCGTTTCTGTTTGGGCCAGTTGTTGAAGTTTTCACCCTAAAGACGACAACGCATAGTTTTGCATTTTGGAATTAATAATTTTTTGCTAATGGCTAAAACGAATTTAAAAGGCGGCAACCCAAGGGGAATGCGCGCCAGCAACTAAAGGCCTTAACCCTAATGATATACAAAAATAACAATACAAACTAACAATTACTTTAGCAAAAAAAAGAAGCGTGAATGGAGAGCAGAAGCTGAAGCTGCAGCGGCATGTAGCACGTAAGCAAAACAAATAAATCGTAACTAGTCAGAAAATCAAAAAAGAATCCCAGTTCAGGCATTAACATCACAGTTGACGCCAAAGGAAACATACCAATATATAACGACGTTTTCATAAAGAGCAGATGCATACACACATATATAAACATACCTACCTACATAAAATCAAAAATTTTCACATACTAACATACATAATTGATAACGAGAGTCTACCACCAACATTTTGGGCGCAGCGTCACAAGTCAATTGCATATACCTTAACTACGATTATGTATTACGTTTACTAATGGTACTTAAATATACAAAGATATATACTTTTAGAAGCTGCCACTATATGTGTACATACTAGTAGTGGGCGGCCAAAGGGCTCAAGTTCGTTTGTGGCAACTATAATATTTATATTGTTTGCTCATTTTTCTACAACATATTTTGAACAAAGTGAAGAAATTCATCAAATTGTTAAACATTTAAATTGTTGTTTAATTTAGACAAAGTCGTAGAATTAAAAATTGAAACCCTTTTTTCATGGAAACCATCAAATGTTATTCACTTTTCATTTTGTGAGAAGTAATTTAGGAGAAAGGTGAATATCAATAGCGTATTTTCAATAAAGCGAAAATTATATTAAATAATTTGCGTTTTTATTTAAATGGGAAACTAACTAAACTTTACTTGATGGTGATGAACTTACATACGTAAATAATGTTATGCGCTAATGCTTAGAAAGCAAGAAATCGTCATTATAATGCACCATTTGGCGGCGATCTTTATGGCTACCCTTTTGCGAATTACTGGCAGCTGTAAGAATGCGGGAAAAATATTTCATATATGTTTAAATATAAATATGTATGCCTCATACCAATCGAAGACCACACTGCAGACGATGATGCATCATTAATAGGTTCAATTTGAGGTTGACGACGCGCCAATTGCACTTGTAAGTTGATGCCATTCACATTTTTACCATGCATTTCGGCTATGGCTCGGTCTGCGGACTCTGGCTTAGCAAATGAAACAAAGCCTCGACTGTAAAAATTAACATGATTAGATTTGTAAATAACTTCAATGGCAAGAAATTGATGAAATACCTCTTTTCTATTTCCATAGAGACATTGACTATAGTTCCATAATCGTTGAATGTTTTCTTTAAGAATTCCTCGGTCACTTTGTTGCCCGACACAAATATTGTGTTGCCAGCCCGTGGCTTTTCCGGTTGTGCGGTATCCAAGGTTGCTTTCTCGGTTAGGCCACGCTCCTCGCGATCCCTTTCGGTGGCAAAATGTTGATACAAGTTCTGACGACGTGGTTCCTCCTTGATAATTTCACTGATGATGGTCTCCTGTGCCACATCATTTTGTGTGGATGAAAATGGCTGATAGGCGGCCACGCTTGTCTCCGATGTAGAGCGTTTGGCGCGTTCCTGTCCTTTTGGACGTTTAAACGACGTTTGATCTTGCTTCGTCTGTTGTTTTTGAATAGCCGGTATAGCACCACTTTTGATCAGTTTGCGCGCCACTTCACGTGCATCGCGTGCATCTGTGGGTCGTTTAAGTGTCATAGGATTCTCCGGCTCTTGTTTGGGTGCCTTATGCGCCTGCAGCGCTTTTTTCTAATGGTTTGCAAAAAGTGTCTTATTTATAAGTTTATAAATAAAATAAACTTGTGAGCATTTACCTTCTTCTTCAATTTCTGGTATTTGGCTTGCAGCATCTGCTCCTCCTCAGTAAGATTGGTTGGAAAGTGTATGTACACCATGGTGTATATATTTGATTGATTTTATAGCAATAAATATGCGATATTTAGTCTTATAGTCTTCAGTTTGCCATTTTCTGCGCCAGCGAGGGAACCACTAACTCGACCAGGGCTGCGGTGTCACAGAAACCGCAGGGTCGCATTTCAACGGGCCAATGCAACTCCGGGCACATTCAGCCATGTTGCCGTCGAGCTGTCAAAATTTTTCTCTCCTTCTCTTTCTTTCCGGTTAGCGTCATGGTAAGGGCTCACTTATAATTCGTGCTTTAATGTGAAAAATCTACAAATTAAATGGTTAAAAGTGTGCGCGTTGAATTAAAGGACGAACAATCTTAAAGTGGACAGCACGATGAATAACTAAGAGCATAAAAGAAAGCAGCAACAAACGCCAACGCTGCTGAAATGAGAAGCCAAATATTTCACGTGGTGGCTTGAAAGTCGTGCTGGTCCGTGGAGTTGTTTGCAATGCTTTTCATATAGAAAAAGAACTCTACACGTGCTTATCTAACAACGCAATTATTTATATTCTGCAGCCTTTCGAGAGATTCGTACAAACTGGTCGCATAGCCAAGGCCGCCGCTGGCCCCTTGAAGGGCCGTCTGGTCGCCATTGTCGACGTCATTGATCAAAACAGAGTAAGTTAGATTCGAGGCGGCAAGCTGTTGTGTGTGCGACGTGCAATTGCGCATGATGATTGAAATGAAATTTATCTTCTTGATAGGAAGTGCCAACTGACACATAAATGAAGCTAATTTTGTCCACTGAAGTTCCGCAAAATGCCAAGCCACACGATTGTTGCTATCCTTTTACTCAAATTAAATATGTTTTGTTAAATAACTATCTATGATTTACTGCTTTCAACAGGTTTTGGTCGATGGGCCACTCACCGGTGTTCCCCGTCAGGAATACAGATTGAACAATCTGCATCTGACGAAATACCGCCTCAAGTTCCCATACACTGCACCCACACGCATTGTGCGCAAAGTGTGGACTGAGAGCAACCTGAAGGCTCAGTGGAAGGAGAGCGCCTGGTCCGTCAAGGCACAAAACATTTGCAAGGTATGTGGATTTTAAGAATCAATGGAGAAGGAATTCAAACTTAGGATACGCATATGATGATAATTGAAAGTTCTTGATAGGAATTGCCGGCTGATACATATATGAAGCTAGTTTCGTTTAGCACTGAAAGCTAAAATGCAATAGTTAATAATATATATCTTTGGTTTATGTTGTCTAATTTTTTGTTTGTTTACTTTTAGCGCTCGCAATTGAACGATTTTGACCGCTTCAAGCTGCGCTATGCCAAGCGTCAACGCAACAAGCTGCTGACCATTGCCTTCAACACACTAAAGAAGCGCACCAAGGCTGATGGTACCCCACGTATCCTGAAGAAGGACAGACGCGAGCGTCTGCGCGCTGCAAAGGCCCAGGGTGGCAAGAAGGCTGCGGCTAAAAAGTAAAAAATTTATGGACAAAGTAACAACTTTTTGATAATGATGAACATCCAACAAAAAGGAGTAAATAAAAGAAGTGTTATTTTTAGGAAAAACACACGCTGACCCGCTTTCTATTTGTTTTATCACTCAATATTTATTTTGCTTTTAAGAATCAAAACTTAAAAACTCGCATCTTTGAAGCTGAGCTCAGTCTACCAATTAAATAATTTAACACTCCCGAATCCATTATTGAGCCACATTTTCAAGCCTTGCTTTTTCCATATATCATTTGCCAATTGTTGGGGTGATTATAGCCCAGTAGGATGGGCAGATGTAGGAACAGCGTGATATGTTCGGCCTGTATAGATGTCGAAACCATAACCCATTTACGCAGCCATTCGATCATGAGTTCATTGCTCAGGTTGGTGGGATTTAGGCCGCGCAGAAAGCAAGAATAGCGCAAGGCATCCACACTCAGATTATGGACGCCGCCCTCTCGTGTGATGGCTTGGTCCATGTAGTGCACCAGAAAGGCGTGCTCATGCAGGCGATGCCGCTTAAACAGACTGTTGGGCAGTCCGTGCAACTTAAGTAGGCATTTCTATAGGCGGACACAAAATTGTAATGGAGTTTAAATTGTTCTGATCCTAAACTTACGACATGTTTGCGGGACATGCCCAGCAGTGAATAGGGACCCTCGGCGAATATGTCCTTGACATCGATGAGTGCCTCGGGCGTGGGATGAAAGCCGCTACCAATTTGACCAAGAATGCATTGAAAGTCAGCATGCTTGTGATGACCAGCCATGGATTTCAGTTTGCTCTGCAGGCAACGAAAGACGGGTTTGTTGCACTGCAGGCGCCGTTTCATGTAGTAACTCTGAAACTCGCTGCGCTGTTGTGCAGTCCAGAAGTGGGAGGTGAGGAAAGTGCGTGGATACCAGAAACTTAAATCACATACAATTCATTAGTTATATACACTTGATCTGGATATGCGCGAAGCTAAACTTACACCAGCGGAAAGAAGGCATAACCCACCATGGGCAGAGAGCAGCCAATGAGTGCCGGCGCGACTTTCATCATGTCTCGAGGCATTTGCATATATAACTCCAGTTCTTGACGATTTAGAGCGCGAATGCCCTGCGGCGAGTCGTTGGCAATGCGAGAAATTTTTAGGAAACGCTTCATGTCGCCAAAGAAGTCTTTGACACCGTCAAAGAAAACGCGATACAGTTGCATGGCCTTTGGGAAGTTCTTCTCCAGCACCTTATCATAGTTCTTTACATAGTTGAAGTATCGTGTAAATATATAGTCCTGCACATTGTCGCGCATCTGTTCCCGTTTTGTCTTCTGACAATCACCAGCTTTATCCTTTTGTTGTTCATCCTTTTTTTCGTCTGGCTGCGGAGACGACGTGGCTGTTGTGGTTGTTGCCGACGATGTTGATGTCGGTGGCGATATGTTATCCTTTTTCTGCAGATCCTTTGGCTTGTTAGCATCCCAGCCTGTCTCGTAGATGACTTTGCCGACGCTCGTTATTTCTGCGGCAACATTTCGCTTGATCTGCGGTGGTTTACCAGCCGGTTTCGTTGCCTGCTGCTGTTGTGTGGCATAGTTGGATTTCTGCATTTGTTCGCTGCTGTTTTGCGATAATAATTGTCAATCACCATTAATTAAGGTCTATATGATTTTTTGTCTCTTGCTTACCCAGTTTTTGTGCTGAAAAGGATTCGGCAGTTGTGTTGAGGCCAACGGCGCCCCTGAAAGGTGCGATAATAACCATAATTGGTGCAGGTGCTGTGCGTTAAACGCGCCGCACGCAATGCTAATGCCATCTTTTATTTGCGTAGTTACGCAATTGCTACTCCGTTGGAGCACGCCCGCGACTTTCCCAACGTTTTGCTTGCAATTGCACAAAGTATTTTTATCAATGCTCCACGTTCGTTGGCCTGCGACTCCATAACAGTAACAGATGTTTTTGTGCACCAGGGCTGGGCAGGCACACAACATGATAAAACATAGTGCTGCCACCTGGCGTCAAAAAGAGCGACTTTTAAAACATTTTCATGCCGAAAAGTATGTTGCAGTTTCTTATTTTAATTTTAAGCGCGGTTTTAATTTAAGTTTCTTGCACTTAAGTTTTTTTTATAAAATAATATCAAGTGATAAATATTTAAATTGTTTATATTTGAAATCGGAAGCACTGTGCACTGCATTATTGACAATTGTCTCTCCGTGTTTCAAACACAATTCAGTTCACCCGGAGCCGTCTGTTGCGTCGGTTGTCTGTGTATCGCTCGGAAGTTTGTCGCGCGTTTCAGCTGTTTGTTTTTCTTCTCACTAGATGCTGGCTGGCAGGCAGGCTGGCTGGTTCGCTCGTTGGCTGCATGTGAATTCTTGCCATTGTTTTACTGCCCTCAGTTCAATGAAGTCGCCACGTCGGCACAACAATATAAATTAACTTGAAGGAAATTTTGTGCGATTTGAGGTAAACATTACACGTCAATGGCTTGGTCAGCCATTTTATAGCTGCGGCGGAAGCGGAAATGTGCTTTACTTGTACCGAAGTGTTAAACGCAAGTGCTGTGGCGCGCATTGTGTTGTACATCTGTGTGTGTGTCTATGTTTGTGTGTGCCTGTGTGTGTGTGTGTGTGTGTGTGTGTGTGTGTGTGTGTAGGAAGACCTTCAGCGAGAAATTATAAAACTAAAAGCATGTCCAACTTACTTGACTTTCAACTTGTGGTGCGCAGCGAAAACAACAAAGATTGCTGCATGCTGTTTCTTATGCTCCACATACAAACATACATACATATATATTTACACGTATGCATGTATGTACTTGTTTTTGTGTGTATATTTTTCCTCGCACATGCTCGACTGCTCCTGATTAAGCGGTCTACATACGCATACTTATTGGCGTCGTCTGTCTGTGCGTGTGCGTGTTTTTCCCTTGTTTTACTTCCCTTGTTACTGACTGCCAACGCTTTATTTATCTGTGGCCCAAGTACTCGGCTCCTTCTTTCTAATGCTTGCTCCTACAATACCCAATACGGGTGGAATGTACGCACATATTTATATACAGATATACATAGTACATATACACGTATATACCAACTGCGGCCAAATGGCGTCAAGTTACGCTTTTGTACATTTTATTGACACATGGCAAGCGTTATGGTATTGCCGCCGAATCGAACTACTATACGTACTATCAACAATCGTGAATGCACGTCTGTTTGTGTGCACAGCTAATGCTATCAACTAAACTCGTATAAATAAAAAAACAAAAATAACTTCAAACCGATGGGAGTCATAAAGTTCCTCGTGCATGCGTCAATGCTGGAAATTCAATTGAACAAACGTCAATGGGTGAGCTGAAAGGACTTTATTTATGTGGTCGCGCATAGAGACGTTAGTATCGTGTGGCTTTAAATAAAAGACCTGTCTGACAACTACATAGAAGTGGAAAGAAAATATTTCGCTTTCGTGAGCGGAAACTTGTATACTCTAGTGGGAATTTAAGTAGTGATTGAGTTCAATGTTGTTATATTTATATTATTTTTTACACAACATTTAAATAAGTTCATGTGTCTGTATTATATATTAAGGTCATACTCAGTGCATTTGAGTTCTCTAGGGCTTGGCTCATTCAAACAAAATATTTGTGAAGCATTACTCGGGTGTAAAGATTTTCTAGTTATTACTATGTATTATAATAATAAAAGTAATAAATAATATGCACATAAATAATACAATTAAAATAATAGAAGGAATATATTTTCATTTATATTAAACATTTTATTTTTTCATTTTATTTTGAACGGTTGTTTCCAATCGTTGAAAGATGCGCCACAATCGATCAAGTGGCTTTGACAAAAACTAACAAACTATATAGTATTTTCGCAGTATGGTGTATCGATTTCTAACGAATCCAATTTCGCCTAAATTCAGAAATCTGATCCGGCTTTATAGAGTTTTCCAAAAGTTTGGTTTGATTTCAAAGTGTAAAATGTGAATTTGTTTTTTCTCGTACTTTTCATCACCTTAAGTTAAATAGCTTTCACACTGAGAGTCCAGTTTGTATAGAAGTTCGAAGTTACGTCCTTCAACTCCTTGCAAAATAAGTGACTGCAGTTATAGTTCCCTTTGGAAGGGTATAAGGACAAGAGAAGCAAAACGTACACCTTGACTGCGTAAATATAAATGGCTGACACGTTTAACCATTGAAGACAAGTTCAAGGCTTGAGTGTTGAATATTGGTAGGAGGGAAGGAGACAAAAATTGAACGCAGACCTTGCCACAAACTTTTGTATGTGCATTGCCAAGTGAGTTTGTGTGTGTGTGTGTGTGTGAGCTCTGGTGGAAGCCAATGTTATTACTGCCACCTCGGCCGACCAGTTGCCATATTATATTTTATAATTTATGTGCGTTATTTGCAGATGGCAGCCATTTCAGCTTGCTGAAGCAAACGCTTATTGAATAACTCGGAACGCCACTCACAAACATACAAATATGCATGTTTACTCACAGCAATGCTTAATACCCGTGCATATTACTTGCTGTCGTGCTAAAAATAAAACCAATTTAAGCAGCTTATAAAGCAAAATCATTGCCAGCCTGTGAGCTGAAGCGTGAATATCTGCACATTTCGTTAGAAGTCGATTGGCCGTCGGAGGAAAGTGTCAGACGATTAAATCCAAATATTTCATTTAGTTTCTGTTTGTTTATTGGAAATGCGCTTTTGGGATTCATTGAAAAACGTCAAAGATGTATTTTTGATTGAATTAAATTTAGTAGAAAAATGGAAAATATATTTTTGAATATTATTTAGAAAACAGATAATTGATTTGTCAATTGTGTAGAAATACGTAAAATGGTAAATATGAAATAAACGACACGTGCGTTTTCCAATACTTAGATATACTCGTACTATACAGGATCATTTCCTTTTACATTTGGGGGTCTTTATAAATTTTTTATCATCATCAGATATGATATGTGTTGACACAAAAATGTTCTCTCATTGAGCTCAAGCTGGGACGAACTCTGTTTATGGTTCTCCGCGTTTTTCTTGGAACGTACGTAGATATGATGGGAATTAAAGCTTTCTAGCTTTTACAGCCTTTGTTTAATGCATATATGTTTCTTACTTGGAAAAAAAAGAAGAAAAATCATAAAAAGTAATTATAATTTAGGAACATGGAAGTTGAAGCTTCTTCGAACTCTCAAACCTCTACCAAGGAGTGTACTTTACTAGAGATTTTTAATCAAATATTGGGCCAGAGGTTAAATTTAACCGGTCTGAAAAATTTAGACAAAAAGTACGCTTTAAGGGGTCTAGGAAAAGGCTTTAAAAAAGTGTCTTATAAAATGTAGTTTAAATTTGCTGCGATATGAGATTTTAAAATGAAATAGTCTTCAATAATAAATGCTCAGTTCATTTTAGTTTCAACATCTAGCCCTAATTCTGTTTTCACACGGTCTTTTTTACACTGTTTTGATTTAACACGGTTTGAAAATTAAAACTTTTGTTTATGGTTACACGACATTCTTCCATTTAGCACGATTTAAAATAACATATCAATGTCTTTTTGTACACGACTTTTTCTGAAACCAATCTACCGTTTAAAAACAGAATTAGGTGAATTTAATAGACTATAAGGATTATAGTCTATGTTTATTGGAAATGCGGTTTAGGAAATCCGAATAGCCCTGGGCGGCCATCTCTAACCGAGCAGTTTGAAGGACAATGTATCTAAAAGCAGCATATAAGTTAAATTAGCTATTAGGTAGTTAATTAAATGATGACTTTGCGTCATTGATTGATGGATTCAGATATGTGTGGTAGGCAGATGGAGTAGGATAGATAGGATGAGTTAAATGGAAGGACAAAATGAATGACAAAATAAACAATCCACAGATATCAACAACACTAATCAAAGCCAAGAGTGAAAGCTCGAACAAATTACCGAACTATTTCTGTACTCGCATTATAAGCAATCCACTTTCAATTAAGCTACGAATAAAATGTAACTAAGAACAGCTGCATATTAGTTTCTATAGGCGAGCTTAAAATCGACTAAAATGCTAATTTGGAGCACAAATTTTGTTGCCGTTTAGCCAGAACATTATTGTGTAATCAATAAGCACAATGTGAAGAGGCAAAACAAATTGGACATTTGCAAGGCAGCAGTCGCACCAGCAGTCACAACACCATTGGTAGTACAATAAACATTGCCATGCTTTCGGAACAGCATAAATTTGCATAAATTAAAATAGGACGACTTAAAGCAGTTGGCAATGTGTTGCACTAAATGTGTCTGCTGTTAACTCGACTGCACTTTGATGGGGCAATGGCAATACAAAGCCTCAACTCGTGACTTGCTAGCTATAAAGTTAATCATACGCACCGTTGAACCGACACAAATTTCATTCTACTTACATCAGCTGCCAGTTGGCAGTCACCACTTACCGCCGACTACCACGACAAATTGTTGCGCACGCCAAACCGCTTTAAAACTTGCACCCTTTAGCCATTTCCACGTCCTCTTTCTTTCATGTGAGAGCGAGCATTTGCAATTGACGTGTAAGTTGTTACCAAGAGTGAGAAAAAGTTAGAAAAACCATATAAGTAAAACATTGAAATAGTTAATGTCAAAGTTGAATATATAACGAGATAAGTTCAATTTAGTTGCAGCGCTCGTACATATATAAAACTTAAATAACTTTGTTGCTCACCATTTTTTCTTTTTCCCAAACTGACTTTAGAATAACAAACTAACTACAGTTTGTTAATATTAAAAGAAACTGGCATTTCAGACAAAAAAAAAAACATGCTGATCTCAATTTTAATTTAATACGTTTACGAGCTCGCCTTTTATTCTTCTCAGCAAATGAAATAAATTCGATCGGAGCCACCTCCATTCTACTACATAGTTTGCAAGGGACTATTAAATAAAAATTCTAACATTGTTGTTGAATTTTCTTCATTTGGGTAGATCAAGCCTTGGTTATATTATAGCAGCACCAATTAAAGCTTGCTAGTTCAAAAATTATTTTATGAGCTTCCTTCTTATTTAAATACCAAAAACATATATTTATATTCCTAGCGAAAAAATGTACTAGTATCTATAAATAAATCACATATAATGCAGAATTTTTTATGCATGATTACCATTTTTTTTTAAATTTATTTTATATAAAACTCTCCACTAATATTTGCTAAGCATGTAATGCCAAAGATAGTGCTAAAGCCCAGACTTCAATAACTAAGCACTAACGAAGTGAACCCTAATTAATTTCACAAAATTGAATTATTTTTGGATTCATAGGACTAAAATATTTAAACATTTAAAATGCTATAAAATAGTAAAAAAAAAAAATTTGATTTAATGAGCTAAAAGATATAGAAATAAAGTCCAGCTCGAACTTACATATCATAATAATTTATTAGAAAAAATCTAACAAAAAACATTTTATATTTTGTTAAGGGAAGATATAATTATAAAAAAAAATTATTTATGTATTTGAAAGTTCATTTTTTCTATCAAACTTTTTGTTTAATTTTGTTGAAATTTTATTAAAAATGCCCCAGGTTTCTAGATTTAATTCTATTTCTATTTAATTTAAACAAACTAAGACTTTTGTAATCGAGAGTAACATTCTAACTTCAAACGCCCATAGTATTGCTAAAGGATTCACACACTTAATTAGACACTTGTTAGCGCTATTGATTAAAATCGGTGGCTAAACATTAATGAATGTGTTTCAACACAACCGCATTAATGTTAATTGTGATTGATTGAAAAAGGTTGCAGAATGCAACACATATAGAGCATTTTTTAGTGCGCTGCAGGGTGTCCTTTAATCAAGGGAACTTTCGAATTTTTTAAAACTATTTGTCATGCTTGGCTTAGGTTGTGTAATTCCAGGCAAATGGTCGAGCAAAGGTGTGGCGGCAGCACACGGTAAGACGCCAAAAATGCCAACCATGCGAAATTGTGTTTAAAAGTGCCAAAGCTGGAAAACTATTTTTATGGCTCGGGGGCTGGGGCGTCACGTAACGAAATTCTATGCAAATTTGTGTTGAGACTGCGAAGACAGAGCAACAGAAAAATGCACACACACACACACACACAGAAATGCATGCCATGCATTTGCCTTATAGGCTTAAATGCAACATTTCACACACTCACTCACATATTTATGTTTGGATATGTGAGCACGCCGACTTGTGGTGAGTGTGTGAGTGACAGTCAGGCAGGCAGGCAGGCAGGCAGGCAGGCAGGCAGGCAGGCAGGCAACCAACCAGTCAGGCAGACACCTTGTCAATGTCTTGCGGCAACAAATAACCCCAGCTTAAGAAAAGATACAAACAACAAGAACAACGGTGTGTGTGTGTGTGTGTGTCTCTGGAAATGCAAAACAGCAACTGTAACAACAACAACAACAGCAGCAACAACAGCATCAACAAAGCATGGCGTGTCATGTCATGAAAACGAGCCAAGTGCCACCAACAAACATACAGCTGACTATGCATTATATGTATGTATATATGTGTGTGTATGTGTGTGTGTGTGCGTGCTTATATACATATGTATTCGCTTGCCAGTTTTTGTTTCTAGGCCTTGAACGCGCCGCAGGTGTCACTTTAACGAATGTTCGCGCTGCGTACGAAAGACAAAGGCCAAAAAGCGTAGCATATTTTTTTGGGCCGCGTGCACTGCATCACAGAAATTGTAAAGTTGATAAATAATTGAAAGCTATTTGGCACCAAATTGCAAACAATAATAACAATAAACACGCTGCCAGCACCTTAATAAAACAAAACAAAAACAAAATTATGCTTAAGCCTAATAACTTGCCAGCGCGTTTGCTTAACTTTAATTCCCATAAGACTGACAGACTACAAAAATACAAATTGAAGCCAAGCAAAAATTTAATGCTTGCTCAGCTGCAACACATAAACCATAAAAAGTAAACAAACACATACACACACTCACACAATACAGTGCTAGTTTTTAAGCTTGTAAGTGAGGCTTGTGGGGTTGCAGAACAAGCAACAGAAACAGAGACAGCAACAACAACAGCACGATAAAACTGGCTAAAATGACTTGAGCCGAGCCCAGGTAGCATGACTTTGTGTTTACACACATAAATACAGACACACACACAGACACACATAAGCCTGGTATTTATGTCTGTATGTGCATATTTACAGAGAGCGCACTCTTAATTTAAATGGCAAGAAGTGGACCAACGCAGACTCAGAGCAACAGCAACAGCAACAGAACAGCAGCTGCCACATTGCTGGCTCTTGGCTGCTGCCTGTTTCATCTTGTTGTTGTTGCTGTTACTGTTGCCTTACTTGTGCCTCTTCTTGGATGTCCCCAGCGACTACAAACAGCAAACCAAAGTGATTTAGTACGTGCTTCATGGCTAACACAATGGGATCTAATCATCTTTTAACGAACGAAAACTCATATTGCGCATAAGCTATCAGGTTTCGCGTAAGCTAATCTTTTCTCAGGCGATTAATATAAGTATGTAGATATAGTAATTAGGGCTGCCCATGGAAACACTGCAATATTACATTACGGACACTTATAATTGCTTTAAAATGTAAAGCAAAGCACAAAAATAAATAAAGCTAATTATAATAATGGAAAGCGTCCTTTTTACATATTCTTCTAATTGCAAATTGTTAATACTAGTAAAACGGAAATCTCATTATTCTAATTTGAATTTGTCTGATAATATTGAACACATTGAAAACAAGCCAGGTGGCCCTATTTGTACATCCATTACAAGATGACAGTCAAAGCAGTTTTAAGCAGAAACGCATTAAAGATTTAGTTTTTGTATTTAGCATCATCTTGAATTTTGAAGCTTTAATGACAGTATTTAATAGCTACTATATATTTCTTTATTTTTCAATCAAATATTCTTTTATTAATTTTTGAAAGATTAAATTTCAATATTCTTGAAAAGTGTACTTCTGCCTACCATTAAGTTCCTTTTCGGATTTTCTTGGCATTTTTTGCTTAAACTATAAAAATATGCTGTTTGTTTCTTAATAAATGCACAACTTTCCTTAATTCTCCAAAGACTAGCGTTTTTAGATAGTTCTTTTATTTCAGATTATTAAACATTTTAATTTTTGTACTGATTGTTTTTTTCCCAGTGTTATACAAAAATTAAACATAAAATAATTTATCGTTTCAGATACTGGGAAAAGTAATTTCATTTGTTACGTTAGAATTGAAAGACATTTAATTAATGTTTTAGTTTGTGCTTGAAAAGATTTTAATTTATACTTATCTTTGAATTTGATTTTGTCATTTCCTTGTATACCCTGGATTTGGAATAGGCCCAAGTATTTTCCTTGTCATTACAAGATCTCTATCATTTGCGCCGCTTAATCTTCTCCTGATGGTATCTAAGCCAGTCAGGCATCCTAAATCTTCGGAGAATATGTTTGCTACCATGCTTTCTTCTGACTTTTAGCCATTTGTGTAGATTAAAAGTTCATCCTCCTGCACTTTCTCATACCAATAAAATAGCTCTAAGGCTATTCATAACAGCCATATTTCCACTTTAATTAATATGAATTGTTAATTAAATAAGAAAGTCGTTCAAAAAAAGCGCTTGATTAAATTCATAAAATGGTTGCTGTTTGCTTATAAATTAAATAATCTTCTGTGGGATAATATTTCTGATACGTTCCACAGTGACAAGCGTATGAGGCATTGAAGTTGTTGTGGCAATGCCACAAGACAACGCCGCGCTCCCTGCCTTCCATGCGTCAGCGATGCCCTGGCAATTGAATTAAGTTTTCATTAGGCAAATAATTCTTGAGCTCTGCTGCCAGACGCAAACATAAATTTACAAATTGCATTATTTATTACAGGCCAGCCTCGAATGCAGCAGAAACGCCAGAAACGCCAGCAACAGCAGCCACTTGTCGTCCTCTTGAATAAACAATAATAAAATAAAAGCAAATAGACAGAAGTACACACATAATACTTAAAAAGCGACGCTTTGGCTGGCAGCCAAAAAGAATATATATAAGCGAGAATGTCGGTCCATGTTAACTCAACTACCACAGGATTGAAAAGTCGCGCGGACGTGCAGCCAACGATGGTGGCAGCAACGATGTGAAACTCAAACGTTTTGCATTATTTAGGACGGACAACGCTAGCAGCACTTTTCAAAAAAGTGGGTCTGTGTGTCGACCTGTTGCTGTAATAGGAAACCGTAATAGATATAACAACAACAAAGACAACAACAACAACAACAAAAGACGACATGGCTGTCAACATACTGGACTACGACCATTTTGCCATCAGTGCCATCGTAGTTGGCAGCATGCAGCTGTTCTTCTTTCTAATTAACTCGATACTCCATATGGACAAGCTGACGGACTTTGCTGGCGGCGTTAACTTCATGATTATATCCCTGCTCACATTCTTTTTGGGCCAAATTGATAGGCCGTCGAAGGTGAGTAATTGCTTTATAGCCAAACACTCGCACACACACACACACACATAATTATGCCCAGGATGGCAACAACAGCTTAAATTCAAATTAAAATTTAAGCAATTTAAACAAACGATAAACATGTCCCAGCCACTCACTTGGCTGCCAGCCCTGTTGCTTGGTAGTCTCGTGGTTTTTGGGGTCTGACATTGAAAACAAAATTTCGCATACGCATACACAGACACAAAAGCAACATCAACTACAACTACAGCGACAAAAAACAACTACAACAACAACAACACCAATTACCGCCAAAGTGCTGCATGCTGGCAAACAAAAGTGGGCGTTAAAGGCCACCCAAAAGTTTTGGTCTGCTCTTGTTGTTGTGTTGTTTAGTTGGCCTCCTTGGAAGGGCGTGTACTGACTGACTACGGCATGACCTTGCTGGCATGCGCGTATACACACGTATATTCCATCGTCAACTGCCTGTCCATCTGTCTGCCTGTCTGTCTGCCTGCTTCCCTGCCTCCCTGCCTGCCTGCCTTTCTATGCGCCTCTAACGCTTTTGAAATCTGATTTTTTTTGTTTTTCCTTTAGTACGCTGTATTGTAATGGTGACAGTGGAGCAGTTGAATACACAAACATACACTGACAGAAATCATCATCATTCATATCCCAATAAATAAATGATCAATAATCTGTTGGGGGCAAGTGATATTGAGCTGTAATCGCGAAAATAGCATATGCGACATTTTCTGATTGATGGTTTGAATTCCTAACGAAAATCGATTTAAAACCAGTTGAACGTGCATGTCGAGCCAATTTACAGCTTTATGTAATAATGCACGGATTTTGATGTAATTTCGGAATATCTTGAGATGCTCATAAGAGATTTTCCTTTCCTCTTCCTGCTCCTTATAGTAGAACATCTTAATAGACCTTAAGTAAATATTTTATTTAGCTTTTTATGTCGATAATGTCTCTGACCACATATAGCTTTGAATTGGGACAAAGCTGGACATGTAACAAATAAACGTGTCGGAGGCATTAATAGATATTACTGTATATTACTGTTATTTTTTAGGCTTTCTTATTTAAGTTGAAATTATAAAATAATATCTCTGTATATATAAAACAGTTTATCCCGACTGACTGATTGGCGATTAACGCACAGCCCAAACGATGTGCCAGCGCTGAGGTACTTGGTATGAAAATCGCAGAGGAGGGCGCCCGCAATATTTTAATTTAATTTAGCAGAAATTTCACAATTTAAATTCACAAATTTATTATTCAATTTTTTAAAAAAATCACAATTTAATTCTGGATTTGCCAGCGCTTAGGTACTTGGTGTGAGAATCGCAGAGGAGGGCGCCCGCAATATTTTAATTTAATTTAGCAGAAATTTCACAATTTAAATTCACAAATTTATTATTTAATTTTTTTAAATATTCACAATTTAATTCTGGATTTGCCAGCGCCTAGGTACTTGGTGTGAGAATCGCAGAGGAGGGCGGCCACATTGTTTTGATTTAATTTATTAGAAATTTCAAAAATGTAATATTTAATTTTTTTTAAATTCACAATTTAATTCTGGATTTGCCAGCGCTTAGGTACTTGGTATGAGAATCGCAGAGGAGGGCACCCGCAATATTTGAATTTAATTTATCAGAAATTTCACAATTTAAATTCACAAATTTATTATTTAATTTTTGAAAATATTCACAATTTAATTCTGGATTTGCCAGCGCTTAGGTACTTGGTGTGAGAATCGCAGAGGAGGGCGCCCACAATAGATTTATTTTAATTTAATTTATCAGAAATTTCACAATTTAAATCCAGAAATTTATTATTTAATTTTTTAGAAATTTCACAATTTTATTCTGGATTTGCCAGCGCTTAGGTACTTTGTGTGAGAATCGCAGAGGAGGGCGCCCGCAATATTTTAATTTAATTTAGCAGAAATTTCACAATTAAATTTCAAAATATTATATTTCTTATTTTACAGAAATTTCTATACATACATACAATATACATACTACTATATATGTACAATAAATAGTACGTGTATGGCCACAGTATGTATTGTACTATATACAAGCCTTACCTTACGGAACGTGCCAAAGTAATTTGCTATTGGCAGTTTCTTTAGAAACTTTAGAGAGTGTCGGAAGAGAAATAGCTTATTGTAAATAACCGTATAATTGCAAGCAAAAATGCTGAGCCCATCAAAGACGGGGAAGACATGCTAGTTATCCATATCCTTATTGTAATTTAATATAGAACATTTTATAGTAATCTGTATCGACTGCATAATGAGTTGATTTATATATAACGTATTAAAATAACTAACAATGCATCCTTTTCCATAAACCAACATTTAACAGGTCCTGCAAGCTATTTTATTATTAAGCCTGCTCAGTATTTTGGAAGTGTATAATTTTGTGGTTGTTGGCTGCCAAATGAACTAACTAGACTAGAAATCTAAAAATAGTACAGTTTTCTAATAACAAAAGTAATTACAAAAAATAAACTAAATATACATACTATACGTGTATGTACATATATACAAAAAAGGTTAATAAAAAGGAAGTGTTTATGTATGTACGGCCGATGTAATACAAGTAGTCTGATAAGCTATATATTTTAGATGAGAGAGATGTTTAAAAATGGTGTTTTAAAATTACGAAAAAGAAGAGGGCGCTTGAAATATTTTTATTTAATTTTTCAGAAATTTCACAATTTAATTGCACAATATTATTATTTAATTTTTCAGAAATTTCACAATTTAATTCTCGATTTGCTAGCGTTTAGGTACTTGGTATGAGTAAGAAGTAAACAAATTTTCGTCCAACCTAATGTCCAGTTTGACTATAATGTTATTGACGCTAAGATTGTTTTCAATAATTGAAACTTCAGAAAAAGCTAACAGACAAATTTTTATTTTCAAAACATGGTAGAACTAGTTAGCTAAACCAATATTATTTGTTATTTGTCGACCTGCGAACTGACTCGAATTAGCAAATTAGAAATAATAGCATATGCAAGTTTGCAGACACAAATGCGCTCAATAATTTGGAAATTCTCATATTTGAGGGTTTTTTAAGAGTGGGCATAAAAGGTTTTTAAAATTAATTTGCTAATTAGTCATTGATATAAATAGCAAGAAAATCGAACCAAAAAACTTGTAAGCTGGCCGTTTGGCAAATAAAATTCCCCCACCTTGTCGTATTCGTTATTAGATATTTGTGTCATTTTTATAGGTCTATTTATTTCTTTAGTTTTATTTAGTTTAAGTTCTATTGTATTGATTTTTTTATGTTTACAAATTTTTTGTCGATGAAATAAAAAAAAATAAAATAAAGGCATGCATTATTTATTATTGATATAATAATCTCCTCTTTCCCTCTTCTCCCAAATTATAGTTTGATTATAATAAATATATTTAAATTGATATTCATTGAAATATTGAATGGCAGCTTTAAATTGAAATGAAAATATAGATTCCGTATTGCTCTATTGTTGGCAGTGTATCTCATAAATTCATCGATTTCGAATTAAATGCAAATTAAAGTGGCTTTATCTCGATACTCGGGGCTTAAATGCTTGCATCCACTATTTTTTCAGGCACGCCTGTGGGCGCTCATTTGCACAGAGCGGCCATAGCGGCCATAAAGGCTGAAGCGGAAGTGCTACCATTGCTTGTAACTGTTGTTGCAGCTCTGTTTCTTATTTTTTTTATTGTTTTTGTTGTTGCTGTTGTGTGTGCGCGCCATTAAAATGCTTTATTGCTTTGTGTTGCCTTGCAGTGCTGCTGCCTTGCCAGTCCCTTTCTGCACGGTCTTTTAATAAATCGACCGATAAAATTGCTTATACTATGACTTAATAGCCCTACATAGTAACGAGCGCAAGCAGTATCGTCGCTCTACACAGAGATAGTGCACAGTGCACATTGTATTCATAGAACGAAAGATGTGAAAAGTTCGATAATGCCACAATAAGGAGACAAAGTTTTGTAGCTTATTATAAATACATGGACTCTGGCATGACAATGCACTATAAATCAGATTGAAATAGTTTGGCGCAATCCGAGCATGGATATGAGAACGGATTTGCTTTGCAAACTTTTAATTGAAATGAATTTAAATGTATAATTTATAAGTTAATTTCTATAGACCCATAAAAATATATGTATAGTTAACGATGTGGACATTTTGCAGACTTTGATTTATAATGAGCTGAAATTTATAGTTCTGTTCATTTATTATTCATATCGAAACTTTTTTTATATAGAAGTAATTGAAATCTATTGAATTTTTAATTCTGCAATTTGGGCAAAAACGAATTTGTACAAACAGATAAATAATATGTATAGTTTCTGTTTATTTTAAGTTTTTGCGCATAACTTTATTTGCAATTCAAGCTGAAAATGGTTATTTGTACAGATTGATGAAGAATAAATAACAATAGTTTTTGCGAGCATTTTATCAGCAATTTTGGCTCAATAGTTTTTAATTCAACAGTAAAAAAGGATACACAGGATACGTTTTTTTTAAAGGCTTAGCTACTTATCGCTATATGTATGGATCTTTTAAATATAATTTTAGAACACATTGCCAAGTTTAAATTGTAATTAAAAATGCATATGCGTAATTTTTGAAAAACGTTGCCTCAATTAATTCCTAAGAGAATTTTAAGTTAAAAACTTTATGTACATTATTTTATCACTCTATGGAAATTTGTTGTCACTTTGTACTGCTCGATAGAAAAATCTCTTGATACTTTTAGGGATATTTTTCTGCCTTATAATAGATTTAAATGTGCAGTTTTATTTATTTATTTAAAATAAATTCTTATCAACCGTTGCCTAAAAATCATTTCAAAAACACACATTATTTAAAAAAGGAAATAGGTAATTTAACGAATAAAATATAATTTACAATAGGTTCTGGGGAACTTTCAGTTCTAATGTAATTGAAGGAATTACTCATTTGGATTCAGAAGGTTAAAGATTTTTAAAATAAATGTTATACTCTGAAATAACTTTTTTTCCGCTTGACTTACACTGCTTTAAAATTCCTTAAAACTACTTCGTGATTCAAAAAAAAAAAAGTATAAAAGTATATTTTAATTTGTTTTTTCCAGCCTTGCTTAAAAAACTTAACGGCTTACCGTTGCATTTATATATTTCCCATTGTTTTTTGTGGTTGCAACTATAAGCTACATCATGTAATGACCCTAACAAACTGGTGTAAACTGATGGGGCTTGACGTGGTAATTCAACTTGTTTATAGCCCTTTATCCACACGACATGGTAATTGCGTTTTTTATTGTTATAGGGCCGCATTTTCATTGTCATTGGCGGAACCGCAAGCTTAATAGCGTGCATTTTTCATGAGTGCTTCGATTGTACTTAAGCTCGTTCTTTATATATATATGTATGCCAACGATGCGTAAGTGTCACTGTAAATATATATATGCGTGCATACACTATATACATACATATACTAATGAATATAAAGTGCAGTCTGGGTCAGCAGTGGCCATGAGCCATTATTTGGGTTATTTAACAAATGCTCGTCAACCATAGGAAATCCAGGCTAGCCCACTAACGAGTGGTCGGCCATGCCATTCATTTTGCCAAAATGCAAGTATGCGTGTATGCGTGTATGCGTGTATACACACATACATGTATAGACTTCTGTATGTGTGTGTGAGCTTTATTTATGCAAAATTTGCATGACCATCGAGCGTGCATTACAAAAACGCAGCAAGGGGCATCAGCGAAAAATTCGTGCAAATTGCTCGTTCGTGGTATTTATTTGGCAAAAAATGCCAAGGAGTAGATTTCCCTTTGTATACCCTTTTTAAAAAGCCTTTAAATGTATATAGTTGATTTGCAAAATCAGGCCGTTTCTATGGCAGCTATAGAATATAGAAGTAGTCCGATTTGGTCAAAGTAGTAGTTGAAAGTTGTTCATTTATTGGTCCTATTTTTTTTTAAGAATAAGCTTATAAGAAAAAGCTAATGGAAGATTGTCCGATTCGAATATATTGTAGGTATATAGTATAGCAACAACAAATTAAATTTGATGATGATAACTTATAAACTTTAAAAAGTTTGATTTGTTTCGAATTTGAGTATAGCTTGTAAAAATTTGTAAAACAACCACATATAAAAATTGGTTGGAATAAATTAAAAAAAATGTATTAGCCTATATTTTGTAACATTATAAAGTCATATAAAAATAGTAGTCTGATTCAGCTAGTTTTGGCAAATGATCTGGCTGCAGGAATTAGAATCATTTTAGCGTTTTGACTTCGAAACTGAGAGTATTGAGTTTGCATAGAATAATATATACTTGTACATAGAATAATATATATAATATGATAATTTGTATTTAAGGAATGTTTATAAGACATTTCGATTGTGCGTGTTATTGTTTACGTTTGTTTCTCACATTCTTTCGCGGTTCGGTTTACCGTTACTTGAATTTCTCGAGAATCTTCTCAGTTTTGTCAAAATAAGCTGCAGAAGTAAGAAGACAATTAAATTAAAAATTAAAATAACAGAAAATAAATAACAGAAATAATTATTAAATTTTTTTAAAATTTAAAAAACAATTTGTATATAATCCCTTCCATTTCAATCAATAAATAGACAGAAACACAAGAACACTCGTGCAGCTCTGATCTCACATTCCCTTTCAGCTCCTCCGAATTACACTTGGTTCAAGTACCGATTGTAAAATACTCAGCTACTAGTTTATTCCTAGGGGCTAACTCAACAAACAACAACAAAATGCTTTGCACCTAAAATTATTAACGGCCTGAAAATCCATGAACGATATTAAAATTGCGAAACCTAGACATTGAGAATATCTTTATAAAATATAAAGATCACATATTTAGAAATGCAAAAATAAACGCATATACCCTCTCTAAGGGTATTAGCTCACATATAGGTAGGCGGTACCAATGGGTGGGTTGGTACAAGCGAGTGTGGGGTCCCTGGCGTGCCGACCTTTTGGGCGCACATTTTAACTGCTGCGTCTATATGTTAGTATGTCTGTACTTGTAAATTGCTAAAATTAATGCAAGGGCTCATTGTCATGGTAGCTGGCCTATAAATGTATGTTAAATATAGACTTAATCAATGCATATTAAACTCATTTAAACACAGCATGTTTTGCAGCTATAAAGAATTTATAATTAACATCAGATAATTTATATTGAGGTAAAAGTGTTAAAAAGTTATTTGATGATTATACGATGTTATGATTAATATTTAAATTGGCCTTCCTGCTGAGCGAATATACAGGAGAAATGCTTTCCGAAAATGTTAAATATTGTAAAGATTCATCACAGAAATATGAATGAAATTATTTTCAACAATTTATGGTTGAAGTATGTTTCTCGCTTTTGAATGAATTGAACTGACGGAAGTAATTCGATTTCGTTTGTGATTGTGATAATTCAAATCAAATTAAAATTGCTTTTGAGAATAAAACTAAATTGAGTGTGCATATACTATATCAAAATATTTGTATATAGACTAATTTCATTTGATCAAAGATTATTTAAAATATATTCTAAAGTGTAAATTCAAATGTGCAGAGGTAATACGTACGTTTTAGTTGTAATAACTGCTCTGTGACTTCCAGAAACTGCCTTGTCACAAATGGAATTAAAAGCATTGCATACATCCAGGGTCACGATTGTGAACTTATTCTTTGCGACACCGAAACATTTCCATTTTCTTTTTTTGCGATAACTGACGTTGCCAGTTTTTAAAATCATGTTTCTGCTCACTCGTGTAGTTGTAATAGATTTGTCACAATGATGATTGATCACTTAATCGCTTAGGTGATAAAATGAAAGTTAAACGAACGACAGTCGTATATTTTGTAATCGATGAGTTTTTAAAAGCGTCATATTTTGAATGCAATGCCTCTTTCTGCTCTTGTCCATCAATAGGCCTACGACAGTCGACAGCTGATGGTGACGCTATTCGTATGCCTCTGGGGGGCACGGCTTTCAGGATATTTATTCTATCGCATCATCAAATTGGGTCGCGACAAGCAGTTCGAGGATACGCGTCGGAACATAATACGTTATGCAGTATTCTGGACGTTTCAGGTAAAGTATTCGGGTTTCAGCGAACAGCCAGCTCAGCCATTTCATTTTCAATGACAGCCTTCAACTTGGCCGAACACCCATCTACACCCACACATACACATACACACATACATGCATGTTGAGTGCAAATACAAAAATCAATCAAAGTACGAGCGTCGTTTCTTTTTCCTGTGTGCAATATTCGTAATTGACATGTGCAGAGCTTTATGAATATTTCAACACGTTGGCGGCTCAGCACTTGACACTGGCACTGGCAGTGGTAGTGGCAGTGGCCATGCGAATGGCCATGATGGTGAGATGTGAGATGGGTGTGGGTGTGGGTGTGCTTGGGATGGTTGCATGCAACTAGGCGTTGATGGCCAGCAATCAAAACGACAACATGGCCAACAATTAAAGTGTCAGTTTTGTTCTCTGACGCATGTGGGCATCAACCCGCACCGCTCCCTGCTAAACGCTGCAACGTTGGAGGGGAGTGCTGAGACATTGTTCATTGTCTGTTGTCTGTGGTCTGTTCGTGTCGCATGTGGCATGTGCCGCAGTCATTTTGCATGAATTTATTTCTTGTTTGCGTCCATTAAGCGCAATCACTTGTTGATGCAGCCCCTCTCGCTGTCTATCTGCCTGACTGTCTGTCTGTCTGTCTGTCTGTCCGCCGCTTTGTCTCTATCACTGGCAGCCTGTGCGTCCAGCTGTCCTTCATAGTTTGACTGACTGAGTCAGTCAGACACAGCGTGTGTTCGTGTGTCCGTTTGGTTGCAAACATGCGCATGACAGTTCACCAAACACCCACTGCTCTTGTAGCTCTAAATTGAATTCCCATCCTCACAATTCTCCTCCTCTTCCACCTCCTCATCTTTCTCAGGCTATTTGGGTGTACATCGTCTCGCTGCCCGTCATTATCATCAACTCGCCCCGTCACTCACAGCCCCGTGCGCCCAAAACTATGACCACACTGGACTCAACGGGCACGGGCATGTTCATTGTGGGGCTTTTAGCCGAAACTTATGCGGACCTGCAAAAGTTTTCGTTTCGCCAGGATCCAGCCAATCAGGGCAAATTCTGCAACGATGGTAAGTTGTTAATTTCAAATTAGTTCGAAATCCATTACTGCTGCTTATTATATGCTATATGGAAGGAATTTCCGTGAATAGTTTTTGCAGCAAGAGTTGAATATTAAAAATGTTAAAAAAATAGGAAAAGCTGTGAATTAAATATACCCTTCTAAGTCTACTATGAGTAGAGAGTAGAGTTCATGATATTGATTCAGAATTACACAAATACAAAAAAATATTTGTAAACCTCATATGTTTCTTGTACTTTCCAAGGAGCGATTTTTTGTTTAAATTTGGTTTTGAGCTGGGAACGCAGCTAAATTAACAAAAGCTTAATATTAAGATAAATCTCCAAAACTAAAAAGTTGCCAAATACTTTCAAAATCAATCAAACAAAGATGCATTTAATTATGAACAAGTGCTTGATATCAACAGCCGACATGTCTCAATATTTTCCAATTTAAGGCCAAATTTTCGGCTATAATCCATTGATTCGATCAATTTTTATGTTTCGATTATTTTTTTGTCTATGTATAGAAGCGTATTATATATTTGTGAACGTCTTTCAAATAAGCGCGAAAAACTGTAAAATCATTCCAAATCGTAATCAAGTTAAAAAGAGGTTAAGGGCTTTATACTACTTGTAGAATATTTGAGAGCTTTTTCAAAATTATTTCCATACTTTTTACGGATTAAAAAAATGTATTTAAAAAGTAATTCAATAATAATTTAATAATTGTCCTTCTTAGAACAGATCTTAAATAATGAATAAAGATTTAAAAAGAAAAAGTATATCTGAAGATATATACCAACAATTGATTTGACAAAGGGTTTAAAAACGAAGGAACAGTAATGTTTATGCTAATTATTTTTGTCGAGCTAATAAAAAGTATTCGGTGGCACAGCAGCTTTTGCAAAGTAAGCTATTAAATCATCCGAAGAATAAATAATTTGTTGTTGTGACTTGCCACTTTGTTTTCTATTTAAAATCGTTGACAGTTAGTTGGTACACTCTAATTTTCAATTCATAAAAACTTATCATTTAATTGAAATCATTCTTTTCTAACTTCCCGACAGGACTGTGGAGACTTTCACGGCATCCGAACTACTTTGGCGAGGTAGTCATCTGGTGGGGCATATTTGCCATTTCCCTCAATGTCATAAGCGGGCACGAGTGGGTGGCCATTGCCTCACCAATCTTTACGACGCTCATTATATTGTTTCTGTCGGGCATTCCATTGCGCGAACGTTCCGCTGATGAAAAGTACAAGGAGTAAGTGAAGAGCAACAGCTTGAGACTGAGAGGAGCATTTCTATAGAATTTCTTTCTTCACAGTCAACTGGAGTATCGCAAGTATAAGGCATCCACTTCTCCGCTCATACCTGTGCCGCCGGCGGTCTATGTGGAAGTGCCCAGCGCCCTGAAATTTATACTTTGTTGCGAATTCCCCATTTACGACACGATGCGGATACAGGAACTCAGTCCCTATTCGCTCTCCATTGAGCGCTCCCACTCGCACATATAGCAATCAGTGGCCCACTCCAGCAGCGCTGGGGCTGGCGTGGGTCAGTTACACACCTATTCTGTGGGTCACTCGATGCACAAGCATGGCGAGCATCGGGGTCACTGCTATGGGGCCAATGGAGGGGATGCGGAAAGTCATCATAACTGCGGTGGCAGCTGCCGCAATGTGCACGTTAAGTCTAATCCATATCAGTGTGAGGCTGGATATGGTGGCTATACGTTGAGGCACACAGATGATGATGACACCGACGATGGCATTATCTATATAGCGGGTCCAACCTGTTCGAAAGCTGCCAAAACAAAGACGCACTATTTCCATGGTGCAGCACCGCTAGCCGTTGAACTCGAGGTGGATGAGGATCTAGATGAAGAGTTGCTTCAGAAACCGCATCTGCCGAAGTGCACCTATTTGGCTGAGGAGGAGATGGCCTCGGACTATGATGAGGATATACCGCCCATTGATCTTAGCAAGGTCAATAGTATGGAGAGCTTTGTCGCGCGCGTACAAACGGAAAAGTCCGTAAATGCTGAAGGAATGCCTGTGACAGTGACGACCATTTTGTGATGCTGCTAATAAGCTACCACTGAGCTTTGTTGTTGCCCTCTCCTGGGATCCTACAAGGATTCGGGGCACATTTGTGACGCCGTTTTTATAACTAGTCCTAATAATGCAGTTCGTGTACACATACTAATGTATTCAGTACAAAAAAGGACGGCAAATTGCTTTTTACACTCATATATAGCTTTTGTAGCCATGAGTTGGCCCCTCTGGTCCACGGACAGAGTTGAAACTCTGGAGGAGTATGCGAGGCATAGTCAGGTGCCAAATAAACGTTTATAAAACACAGGAAAAATGCTTTCTGCTAACTGCTCAAATAACTAACGTGCCTCTTAATGTACTCCACTCGGATTGTTGCACACTTTCAATTTATGTACCTAACTACCTAATTACCTACGAGTCTACTTATTTCCTTCTTGATCTTTAACCTAATACGAGTATACAAGTATGTATGTATGTATCTTTTATGCCTATTGCCTATGCCAAGCAAATAAGAGCAATATCTAAATTAGTTTATTATCTAATATCTTAAATACTCGTAGTACACAAGCATATGAGAACTCACCCCACCAACGATTAATTCAAGAAAACGAAAGAGCATATTCAAGTCATATTTTAAATATTGAAACATATCCCAAGATAACCCAAAAGTTCGATTTATGTGACATTGAAAAGTACAAGAAAAGATATATATGTATACTATATATATGATGAAAGAACTATATACAGTTTTATTTTGTATACCGTACATACTAATATTTGTAGTAGCTAAATGAAATTTAAAACAAACAGATATAGTATATATTCATATAATATTTAAAAAATGATGTATGTATGTAACTTGTGTTGTACGCATCTGTGTCTAGTCTATATCTCAAATTTTAAGCAGTATTACAACGTCGTATATCGTATCGTGTTTATCACAGCAATGCATTGTACCTAATTATGAATATGAATATGAGCATGAATCTACTATAATAAAGGACGGAGAAAGAAATACTATATATTTCAATCTTTTAACAACTATTACGAAAATACAACTGTTTTTACTACTGTTTTAATGAAAACAGTTAGTGAACTTTTTGTTAAAAAGCGGCTATATGCATAGAATGCAAAGAAAACCTTTCAGCATCTGAAAATAAATTAAATACCGTTTGAATTCCACTTGGGCTGACTAAAAACAGCATAACAAATGCATAAAACCTAATGATTCAGGTTCAGGCATTAGGCGAAGAAGTTTTCCACAATTATATACTAATGGGAGCTTAGGACCAATGGTCAGGATATTACGCGTATTTGGAAAAAATAAACGAGGAATGCAGTCTAGTCTTTGTCTTTTGTCTGCCTAATAGTTTGCTTGTAGTTCTGTCAGAGTTATTTATTTATAAAGCATAAAGAAAGCGGAGCTTATTTTGAAAGCAATTTTGTTTACCACCTTGTCCAATTTTATTTCTGCTACTGCTTATGGACTGATAAAGTCATTGTATGGAGCTGATTTTTTTTAATCCACTTCCTAGAACGATTCGGATTTGCTTAAGAAAATTCTCAGCTCAGAATAAAATCATCAATCTCCAATTATCGTGTTAATTGCTTGATACATACATTTTTAACATAAGATAATGACTATTTATTAAATAAACGTTTATAAAACCCAGGAAAAAAAGTATTTAAATAGTATTTAAAGATCCTTTCCGGTTATGATCAAGTAAGCAAAGTAGGCTACCAATTTGGATATAGTAAGCTTTGGAAAAACATTCGTTGAACTGTCACCAACCTGGGCAAAACATAGAGTTATGTTTTTCAGTTCTCGTGAGCGTCTCATAGAGTAAATACCTCAAAAAAATTCGTAGTCCTGAAAATTCTATGTTAGTTGGAAATTTTTCTGTTCCCCTTTTTTTTCGTTTTTAAAAACAATAAAAATTCCAAGTAAAATTTCGTAAATTTTCGCGTTTCTGTGCAACGCGTTGTCCTTTATTTCGGTGCCATGTTTGGACTATCGCGTCAACTGTTCTTTCGCGTCGCCCGTCGGACGCAACAGTGTCGCAGATATGCATCGCAAGCCATCAACGCTATGCTGCAGCTGCAGCAGATGGAGATCTGTGCGGACCAACCGTCCCGAGGCCTGGTAGTAGGGGTCTATGCAGATGAGAATGATAAGAACGATGCTGGCATCCTGACGCCCGCCGGCTGGCGATACAACTTGACGAAGACGAACGGACGCATGATCGAGGTACTCCGGATGTCTGGACCCATGCCGAAGCGTGGCGAGGCACGCCTACTATTTGCCGTTGAGCCGGACCGTGTACCGTACTATTCGGTAGTGGCTGTTGTGGGCCTAGGCAAGGAGTGTCTCGGCTACAATCCCTATGAGGTTCTGGATGAACAGAAGGAGGCAATAAGACGCTCGGTGGCTGAGGCTTGCAAGACGCTGGCCGAATTGGACACAGATCGTATTGAGGTAGAGAACTGTGGTCATGCCGAATCCGCTGCGGAGGGCGCAGCTCTTGGTATCTGGGCTTATCAAGAATTGCGCGACCCCAAGTCGCGCATTTCCGTGCCAACCATCGATTTGTATGCCACAAAGGACGACATTTGCGACCTTGAGGGCTGGCGCATAGGCCTGCAAAAGGCAGCTGCGCAGAACTTGACGCGACAGCTGCAGGAGATGCCTTCGAATCTACTGACGCCCACCGCATTTGCACAGAATGTTGTCGAGGTTCTGTGTAAATCGGGCGTGAACGTAGAGGTCAAGGTGGAGGGCTGGGCCGAGAGTCAGTCCATGCATGCCTTCCTGGCAGTAGGCAAGGCTTCCTGCGAGCCGCCAATATTCCTGGAGCTGAGCTACTATGGCACCTGTGCCGAAGAACGCCCCATTGTTCTGGTCGGTCAGGGAATAACCTTCGATGCAGGAGGTCTTTGTCTGAAGAAGCGGGGTGAGCTTTTCCATATGCGTGGCGATATGACCGGAGCCGCTGTGGTGGTGGCCACCTGTCGTGCTGTAGCCGGTCTGCGACTGCCAGTCAACATTCGTGGCTTGATCCCGCTGTGCGAGAACGTAATTGGTTGCAACTCCTTCCGCCCCGGCGACATGGTGAAGTCCATGAACGGCAAGACCATTGAAGTTCAGTGCACGGATCACGAGGATGTTCTGGTTCTGGCCGATGCTTTGCTATACGGACAGAACTTCTGTCCCAAGTGCATCATTGACATTGGAACCTGCTCGGGCTATATGCGGCAGGCACTCGATGAGGCGGCCTGTGGTGTGTTCACCAACTCAGAGATTCTCTGGCAGCAGATCAAGCACGCCAGCATGCATACCGGAGATCGGGTCTGGCGTTTCCCACTATGGAACTATTACAGCAAGGCAGTCCGCGCAGGTGGACGCAGTGATGTGCAGAACTATGGTATTGGTCGTGGTGGTCGTCCCTGCAAAGCCGCCGCTTTCCTGCGCGAGTTCGTGCCTTGTGGCCAATGGATGCACATCGTGAGTTCGCAAAGGTCTCACTTTACTGATGGAAATTAATGTTAATTTTTGTTTTTTGCAGGATGCCACCAATGTCATGGTAACCAACGGCAAGGACTTCGAATACCTGCGACGTGGAATGGCCGGACGCCCAACACGCACAGTAATTGAGTTCATTGCACAGACGATCTGCAAGGACACTGCACCTAAAATGGGCAAATAAATGGTGGGCAAATGAATTTGGACAGCGGGAATCTAGGAAGTTCAAAGAAGCCGTAAAGCGCTAAGAAATACGAAAAATGGCAAAGAAACAAATCTCTTGGTGAATTGCAACTTTTGGTTTAAATAGTAAACAATGTCAATACAATTTTCCAAGTTCAAAATGAGGTGAAAAGTATCAATAAAATAAATATGTTCAATATGTTCAAATAAAAGTTATCATTTATTTTCCTTAACTCTTGTTTCAAGTGATTTTCAGCTCAAATAAAAAATGGCTTTAACAGGTGGAGTCGGTTTTCGAAACGGCTAATTTGCTTCTAGTATCTAAAGAAAACTGGAGAAATACCGTAACATCCGTAAGTAAGTGCCTCTCCGGAGAAATCATGTAGTGCTGAGTCAGAAAAACCCAGGAATCTTCAGTTCAGTCCGCAGCCATCTACAAAAGATGGAGAAGTTACCTAAATCACTATTTGATAGTCCTCGTTGGGGCTTAACGATTTTTGAGCGTGATTTGGAATGCGTTTTTGGACCTGTCCATATTTTACAGGCAGAATGGCGCGTGGCAGACCTTATAATGTGTATATAGTATATTCTTAATCAGCATGGCAAGTTGACAGCCATGTTTGACTGTCTGTCCGGCTGTATCTCAAAAACTATAAGAGCTAGAGACACAAAATTTTGCATACAAGTAATTGCACATAATTTCTTCTTCCCTCCACTCCTTCGCTACTAGTGATTTCCTATAGCTCCCGTAATTCTTCGAATTTTTCACCGGTTGTTGTTGTTGATGCTTTGGCGCAACTCTTTACACACACACACACACATATTCACACACAGCCACGCAAAGACACACAACCCCGGTGTAAAAGTGCAGTCAAACCTGAGTTCTAATCCCAAAGGAGGTGTCATCGAAAACACCCAGTTTTTTACAGTTTTTATTATAATTTTTTTCTCAATTTTGTTTGTTTATATTAAACGTAAATAAGTACAGGGTATTTCAAAATCAGGGCACCCGAGCTAAGCCTTTTCATTTGCTTAATGTACCGTTTTATGCTTTCACCTTTCGGATACAGAGTATTTGCAGATTTGATCTCCTCGCTGATGGATGTATATATTAATTAATTTTTAAAAGATGTTACGATAGTAAGGAAAAATTAAAGTGCTATGATAATCGACTTTATGAATATCTATTTTGAAATCATTAGCAGGCGATATTATTTGAGACTTCAGCACAACAAAGCATGATATGAAAACAATGTCATCTGCGTGTAGGCAGTCAAGTCTTTCCCAGACTTATTTGTATTTGTTATGTGGTTGAACATACACACTCCAGAAAAGGTTTAGGTATTTGATATAAAAATTGTGCGATATATTTTAAAATATTTCCACCAGAAAGGCACGCGCCTAAGCCTACTTGGTACAAATTCGATATTCTTTCGAAACGTTTAGTGGGAATTCAAAAAAAATAATATGTTTGGCTTAACGCGTCGCTTGGTCTTACAGGCCACTCGGTTTCGTCGCCCGCTAATATCGCGTTCCTATGCATCGCAATCGATAAACCAAATGCTGCAGCTGCAGCAGATGGAGATCTGCGCTGATCCTCCGTCTCGGGGCCTTGTGATTGGTGTGTATGCCGATGAGGAGGATAAGAACGATGCCGGTATCCTGACGCCTTCAGGCTGGCGCTACAATGTACAGAAGACCCATGGCCGGCTCCTGGAAGTACTGCGCATGTCGGGACCTATGCCTAAGCGCGGCGAGGCGCGCATGCTCTTTGCCATAGAGCCCGAACGTGTGCCGTATTATTCGGCGGTGGCAGTTGTGGGGCTGGGCAAGGAATGCCTCGGCTATAATCCTTACGAGGTGCTGGACGAGCAGAAGGAAGCAATAAGACGCTCGGTGGCACAGGCTTGCAAGGAATTGGCGGAATTGGATACGGATCGCATTGAAGTTGAGAACTGTGGACATGCCGAATCGGCTGCTGAAGGTGCGGCCATGGGCATTTGGATTTATCAAGAGCTGAGAGATCCAAAGAGGCGAATCGCAGTACCCTCAATTGATTTGTATGCCACAAAGGACGAGATTTGCGACATTGAGGGCTGGCGCATAGGCCTGCAAAAGGCAGCTGCGCAGAACTTGACGCGACAGCTGCAGGAGATGCCTTCGAATCTACTGACGCCCACTGCTTTTGCACAGAACGTCGTTGAGGTCCTGTGTAAGTCGGGCGTGAATGTGGAAGTCAAGGTGGAGGGCTGGGCCGAGAGTCAGTCCATGCATGCCTTCCTAGCAGTAGGCAAGGCCTCCTGCGAGCCGCCAATATTCCTGGAGCTGAGCTACTACGGCACCTGTGCGGAGGAGCGACCACTGGTCCTTGTTGGTCAGGGCATCACCTTCGACGCCGGTGGTCTGTGCTTGAAAAGGAAGGGTGAGCTTTTCCATATGCGCGGCGATATGACTGGAGCCGCTGTGGTGGTGGCCACCTGTCGTGCTGTAGCCGGTCTGCGACTGCCAGTCAACATTCGTGGCTTGATCCCGCTGTGCGAGAACGTAATTGGTTGCAACTCCTTCCGTCCCGGCGACATGGTGAAGTCCATGAACGGCAAGACCATTGAAGTTCAGTGCACGGATCACGAGGATGTTCTGGTTCTGGCCGATGCTTTGCTATACGGACAGAACTTCTGTCCCAAGTGCATCATTGACATTGGAACCTGCTCGGGCTATATGCGGCAGGCACTCGATGAGGCGGCCTGTGGTGTGTTCACCAACTCAGAGATTCTCTGGCAGCAGATCAAGCACGCCAGCATGCATACCGGAGATCGGGTCTGGCGTTTCCCACTATGGAACTATTACAGCAAGGCAGTCCGCGCAGGTGGACGCAGTGATGTGCAGAACTATGGCATCGCCCGTGGTGGTCGTCCCTGCAAGGCTGCCGCCTTCCTCCGAGAGTTTGTGCCTTGCGGCCAATGGATGCACATCGTAAGTCCTTCATTTGCACCACGAAACATTGTCACTTAAACTGAAATCTCTCCTCAGGATGCTACGAACGTTATGATCACGAAGGGCCATGAGTACGAATATCTACGTAAGGGCATGGCAGGCCGACCAACTCGCACCCTGATTGAGTTCATTGCTCAAACCATTTGCAAGGACACGGCGCCCAAACTGACGCAGAAGTAGGATAGAATATTCGTGCACTGCAAATTTTGTTTTATTTTTTACACGACGATGCCACAGTAACACTCACAGAGCAACTTTTAAACGACTGACCTGACCTATGATCTATTTCTCTATGCGTTTTATGTTTTTAAAACGGATTTTACTTATGGACTACGACTTGTTAAAGTTAACGTTCGTTTTTACATTTTTGGGACTAATTTACGGAAATTCTTTGTTTTATAATGTAAAAAAAAACGTATAAATAAAAATTACAAGTTCCCTACTTATAAGAAAAATAAATACCCTGGTAATTTATGTAAATGGTAGGTATAGGATTCGGATTGTGAAGAGTTCTTAAGTTCAGGAAACAAAATTCGAAACCATTTAGATATTTGCTTCACGATTTTAGTTTTAGTTAACGCTACCGAAATGTTAGAAGTTTGATCAATTGCTCCTTTATAATTTACGGTCATCAATAACTCTTTGACTAATTTATTTAAATTCTTTGTTTTATAATATAAAAAGTATATAAAAGTTACAAGTTAGCTGAAATATTAAATTCTTGGTACTTGCGAATAGTAAGCATTGGATGGTATCCTGAAGTCTTTAGGTACCAAATAAAATATGAAACCATTAAGAATTGTATTAGCTCTACAAATTTGTCTTCAGTAAGTGATATTGAAACTTCAGGAGTTTGAAGAGGAACACAGTGTTTCTTCAGTAGTGTCGGCGACTTCAGAATGCTTTCCTCTGCCATATTTAAAGGTGCGTTTGCAAGATTTGGCGATAGCTAAGATTGCTTCATGGATTGCTTATTTATATTATCGGTGCCGGTCAGACTATGGGTTCAGGTCAAATATCATTGGGATACGTGCGACTGGTCAGCACGCCTCGATGGTAATTGTTACGTCAAGGAGACGGCGAACGTGAGAACAACATTAATATCAATTGGCGGATAGTTTTGCAAAAGTTTTACATTCGATGCGAAATCGTTCTCCAATATAGCTTCGCGTTGGATTCTAGTGGAATGACATTACATTGTTATAATAAATAGGTCAATGCACACACAGACTTGTAACTCACAATATCATGGAACAGCATATTTTGATGAGGAAATCGAAGCGTTGTTCATCGGAAAACACCGAATCCCATATACGCACAACATCGGGCAGTGGAAATTCCTGCGAGAGTAACAGAGTTAGCCAACGAAAGCTGTAGTATTGTGGATGCAGCTCCTGGCTTCTCAGATGCTCGTATATTGCCAAGTCTTTTGATTTAAGCATATTTGATAGTTTTGCCATCATGCATTTAATACCGCCTTCGGCATCATCCAGAGTCTTGATGAAGAAGTCTCGTATTTCGCCCATCAAGGCAGTGAAACAAAAGAAACAATCCGCCTCGGCATGCTCGCGAAACTTGAGATCAGGATCTGAAGCCATAACAAAATAAATGGGACCCACAATTTCGTTCATGCCTTGTACATAACCCTGACCGGGATTCAGTTTGGCATACAGAAATAAAATGCGTTGCACAACCTCCCAGTGTGCTTCCTGGCCTTCCTCCATAGCCTCGTAATTTTCTGCCGAACGCTTCGTTATCAGATTTATCTATACATTTAGAAATAAAGTGAGTCACTGTGGGATCAATGTCTATACGTCAGGCTGTTCATCATCACTTACTTGCTGCTAAAGTCCACAAGTCAGCATTATAGTAAGGTATTTAGACTAAGAACTATTTTACTGCATCGTCTCTCTGCGGACTTACCTTCGTCATGCCGAGCCCCTTGCGTTCCACATTTGCCGAACTCAATACGGATGGCACAACACGCTGATGCAGTCGTCGTTCTCCTTTGCTGTGCACCACAATATCGCAGGGATAGTCTGTGGGCTGCTGAAAGAAGGAGATGTCGGGACACAGCCTGCGCACATCCTTGTCGATTTGCAACAGAAATTCGTTGTCATTGAAAAATGTATTCCATTTACTTTCGGGTCCCTCGCTCAGCGGATGATCTTGCAGAGCAACGCCCCTCAATTCGTCATCATCATTTTCGTTATCACCATTATGTCCGGGTGGTAACACCAGCTCGACTATAAATTGGCGATATAGCGCCCGTTTCTGCGCCAATGTTGTGGCCCATGTATTGCGTTTGGGTCCCAAATAATTGAGCAACAGTTTCCAGCTCAGTGCGCGGAAGCTTTGCACATCAGGCACACCTGTGGATATTTACAATATTCATTCCCCTGAATATAAACAAATCAACGCCGTATGACTTGCCATTGAACGTCAGCTGTCGCAGTTCCTTTAAATCGATTACATCCTTTGAGAATATGTCCTCGAACTCTTTAACACTGAAAGTGAAAGCTTTTGTTTACATTTTCTTTCTCAATTATAACTCGAGTTATAATAATGTACCGCGCCTTGAATATGGACATGCTGTGAGTCCACGTTGTGCGTTATCCCTGCGAGGACGCTGCCTTTAGTTCATAGATTGTTGTCAAACTTATTTTAAAAGTAAGTTTAGCTTACGCGCAGCGAGGTAAGCAAATATTTTGCTAGAGCTGTGACGGTTCTGGTTCATTCGGAAGAAGTTCAATTCGAAGGTTCATTGAACTGAACCAGTCGACCAATTCAATAATATTCTATTAAATATGAATAGAGGTTGGTAAGAAGACTAAATATTAAGATTGTGGGTTTATTCATTTAAATAAATGTACTTAAAAACATTCATTTCGGCAGTCAAAAAATGAACAATCAAATAAAAATGTGCAGCCCTAGTACTATCGATAGAAAAATATCGATGTCTAAAATACAACATTATGTATCGATTGTTTTTACATTGCTTAGAGAGCAGTTCAATAGTGTAATAACTAGTGTTGAGAAGTTTAAAAACTGTTGCTTTCAAACAAAACAAATGCAAAAGTTTTCAATTGCATTGCTAAAAATGGGATGATATTTGATTCAAAAAAATAAAAATACATTTATTCAACGATTTACTCTTATTGACTCACTATATCGCCGAAACTGAAATGTTTGTTATTACATGCAAAAGGACCATATAGTATTGTTTGGTGAGTGGTCTGTTTTCATTATGTTGTTTGTTTCGTGGGCTATGTACTATATATGTACGTAGATGTATATAGTATTCAATTAGTCGAACGCAAGAGTGCCCGAGCGACGTGCGGTGCGAGAAGACGCAGCGCGTCTGCGAAAAGGAAACCGTGTGTGTGCGCCGCATTTAAAGAAAAAATTGAGAAAATTTTTGAACTGTTTATACACGTACATATGATTTTTGCGGCGCATTTCTTTTGTTTACGCTAGTCGTTAGCAAGCAATGACGACCACCAGACCGTCAGCAACATCGTCGGCGGCATACAGGCGACCGGCATTTTGGAAGGTGCCCAGTTACGTGAATGACTTCGTATCACCAACGTTGATACCAACAATACCCAGACCCACACCCTCGTCCATACCCCCTCCTTGTCGTTTGACACAGCGAAGGCGCAGCAGTGTCAAGAAACGCGTGCATTTTGCCGACGAGCCCACGCCACGGTACTCTGGGGTAAGTCAAGTGCGCTATTAGCCCACACATACCCACAAACAGCCAGAGCCACAGTCACCCACTCGCAGCCCCAGAATTATGTATGGCTTGTCAATTGGCACTTGTGTGCTCCCAATTCTTCGGCCTGTCAGAAATCAGTTCAATAACATTTTGAACGATTCGCCTGTCTGCCAGTCTGCCACTCTGCTCGTAAATTTGTCAACCGAAATTTAATTAATTGACCACTGCTGCAGCATTCATGTATTTATCATAAGAAGAAAACAAAATGTTATGGAATTTTGCTTTCGAAAATGCACTCTAGCCGCAATCATAATTTGCTTAATTTATCTATATTGCCAGAAATTGACGCAATCGCCAAACTTTTGGCTGCAATTTTGAGAGTGCATGGCTAAAAATAACTGCCAATATAATTTCTTGCTGTTTACTCGAACAAATTTATGGAAATTATTTTTGCTTTACGATCTAATTGAATGCCTTTTGAGCATTTAATGAGATGCGGTTAGGAATTATTGGGCAATCCAAAGTCAAAATACTTTATTTGACCTTTAAGCTGACAAGCTGCGCACCTAAGGGTCGTTAAATATAGTTCTCAAAGTTTTAATAAATGAAAAAAAATTAATGAACTGACAAGCAAAAAATTGGTTGAGGCAGGTGATGCAAGAAAGGCAAGGACCTCTTTCAATTATAATTAGCTTTTTGACAGGCAATGGCTTAGCTTTTAACATTCATTGGTATTGCCTTTTTGCTCTCGGTTGTAAATAATGTGATTTATTTTAATGTTTTTATTACTTCTTGTTAAAAAAAAATTAAATAGAAATAGAACATTTTTAGATATATAAAGATGCATACTTTTAACACAATACTCAGCACAAATATAGAAAGTATTATTAAGTTACAAAAGGACCCACTTGCTGCACAAAATCGAACTTTGCTGGAGAAATGTTGGAGTATAAGTCTGATTGATTTCATTTCTGTATAACGCTATGCCAAAAATTTTAATTAAAAAATACATAAAAAACAATAACTAAAGAAGTAAATTTACTTATAAATGAGGGAGAATTTTTATAAAAGGATTCCGTTAATTTCGTTAATCTGTCTGCCTTTTACTGGGAAATTCATTGCTTCAATGCAGAACACGTCTAATCGATATTTCTTTGTTCATATTTTGTATTTAAATATATTCTAGAAATTCAAATTCCCGTTGACCACAACTGCAGATTTTATTTTTTACATAACAACGACATTTTCTTAGCATCATAACAAATTTCTTTGCTTGCATTTGGTTGAATATCTTGAATAAATCGAAAAGTTTTGTAACCACAAATAGTAAAAACATTTCAAGATTGTGCCCAAAAAATTTTGTTCACTTACAACAAATGTAAATAAACAAATTGCGAAATTTGTACATATGTTGATATGTGTCTACATATATATGTTTATGGCACAAATGTATCAGCAGTTGCCACTAAATGGCAGGAAAATTCGAAAAGTTGTAAAAAGTAAAAACAACACAACACAAACAAACACATATGCCAAAATGTTGACTATTTCCGTTGCAGACTACTTTAATTTTTAAATCGAAACCAGACATTGATTTCTGAATCAATTCAAGCCAAATCGAATTGTAATTTTGTGAGTTTTCGTTTGCTATTTCAATTTTAAAATCAAGCAACTTAGACTTGGGGTGATGTCTATCTGGAAATGTTGACAAAAAACACGATGTTTTTTAAAACCCTTAGTATTAATATTGAATTCATTTGATGACCATATTTTCTAAAAGAACGGTGCTGGTTAAGGTTTTTTGGGAAACATAGTATTCGGTAATTTCGGTGGTGTAATGAGAAAAAATTGTACTTGGATTTTGGAGATATTGAAATATATATTATTATAAATATCTCAAAATTTAGCTTGAAAACTGAATTAAATCTGAAATATTCATTCATACTTGTATTTATTTAGCAATTTTGACATGAGTAATGATCCGACTTCTTCTTATATAATCTTCCGTTATTAGACATTATACGATTACATAAGACAAAACATTATTACAATTTCGTTACTTTTTACCATTTTTTAAAAACTTCTATTATTATGCTACACATATGTACAAATCATTTCAAAGTCGGAAAACCCAGCATTAACTTCTTCACTTGTCCTAAGATAATTTTTTGATCATTTTTATGTTTTCAATTTTAGTTTTAAATTTTATTTATGACCAATCAATTGATCATAGAGTTGATGGTATTTTTATCAAAATGTGTAAATGTTTCAGCAGCAGATCATATCATAAGGAGCATAGCTCTGATGATGAAAGTTTAACGAGAGTTTAAGGATTTCTTGAGGTACACTTTTGAAAAACACCTGTCGGATGTTTGTTTTTGCAGGTGTTTGTATTTCTAAGAATCTAAAAACAAGCACACCTGCTTTTCAGGTTGATTTTGGTTGCCTCAAAACAGCGTCTACCTTCATGCAAAATATTACGTATACGCCTCGTCAACGGGGCAGTATACATTGACTCCGGCGGGCAAACATTTTATTGTTTTTGATCTACCTTGATATTTCAAAACACATATAGATATATGATTTTATGTATGAGCCAAGGCATCAGTGCTGGCAATTGTTTTGTTTAGCGTTTTGCAGCAACGGGGCCAGTAAATAAATTTAATTACACCCTCTCATTTTCTTGGCACAACAACAAATTATGTATCTAATAAAAACTGCCGAGAATCCGATACATATCCACATACATACTAAATTAATATACACATATATAGCTCAATATATGCAGATGTATATCAGAAAACAGATGCTCGTCTCTCGTCAGCCGAATCATGATTAAAATGTCCGGGGCTTTGACTCATGATGACATGCCGTTGAAATACCCAAAGGAGACGCATTCAGGGTCAAAGTGTTTCGAGTGCGTTCAAGTGGATACATTTACATACAACTGGATCAAGTGAGAGCCACAAAATGTGGCAAGCACCTATGGATGTGTGTATGGATGTAGCAGAGCGCAAAGCTACACGAAAACCCACGCAAAGGCGAAACGGTTAAGAATTGCTGCTGAAGAAAGGCAGCAAGAAATTGAATTGAAATTATTTCATGTTTCGCAGCATGTAGCGAACAACAACAACAACGATAGCAACAACTATAATACCACGATCTGAAACGACGAAATGCTGCAAAATGTATCTCGTACAAGGAATACGAATTGTATTTTAAATTTAGTACTTCAGCAGCTTTGCGATCGAGCTAAACGCGAGCGCGATCGCAACAATAATAAAATGCAATAAAGTGCGACGTTTTGCAAAATTTGCAAAAAAATAAATAATTACAAAAAAAAAAAAAAAATTCAATTCAGTTGAAGTCAACAAATTGCAAAGCTAACTTCTTGTCTGATATGTGCGCTTGAGGCGCCAGAGCTGTGAAGAAATTCAAAAAATTAACATCAGTGTGGAGTGAAGTGTCGGACCATGAGTCCAAAATTGCACGAATTTGCGGTTCTGTTGCAACGCGATGGTCAGGCCACGCCCTGGGGCATCCGTTTGGTTGGTGGCAATGATTTGGATACGCCATTGATTATTACAAGGGTAATGCAGACGGATAAAAAATAAATTACAAATATTACGCATACGTCACTTGGTACCTGCCTTATGTAATGCGAGCGTTAAGAGTGGCTGCTGCAGTTGTTGTTAGTCGCCTCTTGCAATTGGCATCAATTGCTCAAAGTATCAGCATGGTCGAGAACATTTTTGTCGCTTTGCGGCGTCGTCGGCTCATTCATCAAAACGTAAAGACAGCCACAGAGGCAAATGCATTGGTTTTAGCCATTATCACGCCGCTTGCCAAACCGTTTTGGCCTTTGGGCTCTGCACTATTTAGTTGCAAAATAAACAAATCAAAATGCTGAAACTGGCACAAACAGCAACAGCAACAACGAAGACGACATCGACAACGACTAAACCAAAAAAACAACAAACATGCAAATTAGGGACAAACAAGCTGTTATTTGCGTTGGCGAATCAAGAATACTCTTTAGAATTTACAGTTGATTTTGGGAGGAAAGTTCAACTAATTATTGAGCCCCAACCAGAAGTTTTTAATTTCTGAGTTTAAACCATCTATTTGTCACTGCAATAGTTTTGGGAAGGTAAATCGGGGATTTGTTTGAAGTAAATAAGGAAAGAGAGTGAACTAAAATTCGGTCATCATCGATCAATCATTTCAGACTAGTCTTCTGTAGTAACAATGTAAGGTTTAACTCTACTGCTAAACAGAACTAAAGCAAAATAAAGACAGACAAGATAAATTGAAATAATTATTTTTATGAATCAGCACTTAACACTAAAAATGCTTATACACTTTAAACAATTTTAGCAACTACATTTAATATTGTAATTTGCTTAGGTCATTCTAAATAGTGTTCAACACTCTGCAAACACTGCCTTTTTTAATGTTTAAATATAAGATAATGTTGGTGTTTTAAATTATTGAAAAACTTCTCTCGATAGCTTTTCCATTTGAGAACATTTAAAATAAACAAAAATAGTAGTTAACCGGATGTAAAGTTGCTTATTAAAATGGGTGTATAAAAAAACCAAGCAAGGTTTTTTAAAACTGTTATTTTAGAAATAGTCCGTGGATGTTTTTGCGCTCCAATTGGAGGAGGAATCCACTTGCGACAATATAAAAGGATACAATTCTAAAATGTAATTAAATGTTGCAAATAAATTAGGCTGATTATAAAGTTTGTTTAAATCATTTCCAACCATTTCAGATTTTTAGTTAGGTAATAACAAATTCAAATTTTCTTATATAGTACTTATCTATTTAAAAAGACAAATGCTTTGGTAAAATAGTTCACAAAAGTTTCATTTAACAAAAGATTCATTTTCATACTTGAGGTATTCGCGAACTACTGGTATAAACGTCCTGTAGTTTCTTGAAGCCCTTCTGTGGAGCTCAAATTTATTTGGAAACATTTCAAATACAACTTACACATGTGCTTTAATTTCATATTACGTTACAACAATTTTTGCACGTCTAGTCACATGTAAAGAATGCCTATTATGCTCATCGTATATGCTTGCTTTTCCTCAATTAATGAGATAGAAAAGTTCATAATACTCACAAACCCGAAGAGTATGTGCAATGCAGCGAGGCATACAAAATAGTTGGCACCAATTTTTCAAATTCAATGCAAATTGCGCGCGACTCAGCTATAGAGCGTCATGTAGCGTCGCGTCTCCTCGAGTCGCCTTGCGCCGCACATCGCAGGCTAGTAAAGCTAATTGATGCACAACAAATGAGGCGCATGTAAACAATAAGCAGACAGATATAATGCCATAAAGCGTCGTTATAGGAGCGTGTGCCTAACCCACTTCGCTGACACAGGCACAGACTCAACAGACTTGGCCTTGTCAAAACGTCTAGCCCTAAAAGCTTTTTGCAATATTTAGTTGTACGTGTATATAGTATATATATTTCTCTGACCTTCCCAAAGGTGCAAGTTGGCAGTCCATCGTATGGCGAGCTATTGCGGGGCGATATCATAGCAAAGATTGGCGAATACGATGCACGCGACTTGAGTCACGCCGATGCCCAGCAGCTGTTCCGTACAGCGGGCAATGAGATCAGGCTAGTGGTGCACAGGTGAGTGGGCAATGCGAGAATGGGAAAATTTCTCAATATGAAATAACATGGCTTACCCCTTTTCATGCAGGGACAATAAAATTGCCTATACACAGGGCGTCAATCAGGAGAGCTCTTCGCGCAGCAACTCGACGCTGCCGCTACCAGGTAGCCCCGAATTATTGCCACATCGCGGTCCATCGCCCTTCTTGCCCGGCCCCAGTCACTTTGAGCGAGCGCTACAGCTGCCCGTCGATACGTTGCCACAAACGGTTTTCCCCCAATTGAATGCCTCAGGCGGTTATGTGGCACCGCCGGCCGGATCGGACATATTTTCGCCAAAACCGACGCGCGATCATCAGCAGGATGTGGAAGAGGAACAGGCAGCTATTGTCAATCAGGTGAGTGAGTCAACAGTTATAGTTACGATTATGGCGGCCATTTTTAAATTCATGGCCGTCGAAAGTATGCTATATTTTGTGTAAAATGTAGCTCCGAAAAGTAGGCTAAGCAAAAAATATACATACATATTTCGTTTTTTACATTATTTTCATATCATGGGTCAACGGAAAGATTTGTTTATATCTTTTTGAGAGCGTTAAACAATTGAACATTTGTTTGTTTTACACGCACAAATAGTCTAGATTTTAAATGAGTGTACATCAGATTGGTTTTTGCCAGTAAATTCTGGTTTGAAAAAGAAACAATATTTTCAATTTTGCCTCAATTATATTTTGAAATTTTTCCTGGTTGTGGATATTGTTTAAATTGGAATTTCAGAGCTTTTCTGTTAAATCTAGCAGACTGTGTGCCTTAAGTTTTTGTTTTTCGATGTTTGCTTTGTCGTATAAGGTTTTAGGGCTTTCCTATATCATACATACCTATTATCAACCCACAATTTGGAATTTAAAAAATAAGGAGAGGGTTCTACGATAAAAACAATGCACTAAAGAATGAATATCAATAAGTGATTGACTTTGGAAGTTTAACAGTCTTTTATGGGGCTTGAAAGTAACATGATAAAAGAAACATTGATTTATTTCAATATTAAAATAATTATTTATTAATAGTTAACAAAGAAATGCTTACTTTGCAAAAACAAAAAAAAAGTATAAATATACAAGAATTTAAGATATTACATAGCATAACTTAGAATAAAATTTAAAATGTGAAATAATTAAAAGAGTAAGATAGGATTAAAGATTGTTTGAATCAAGATGCAAGTATATTGATGATGAAATAGAAATAGATCAGAAAAAAGGTTATAATTGCGTTCATGTGTGGCAAAGTTAGATCTACAAATTGGCAAACGAAGCGTACGAAATGCACGAGTAAATCTGAAGGAAACTGCCAAGACTACCAGACAAGAAGGAAACAGGAAGTTATATCATCGGTAATTAGTTTGTGAAGGACGGCGATACCTGAACAAATTCTACGGCGATGATCATCTATTTTATTTATTTGGCCTAATTTAAAACGGTTTTTTATTTATTTTATGGAGATATTTTTTATATACTTAAAGTATTTAAGTATATATATATATTAAAGTATAAAGTATTTTGCGAACTGTGCTATTTAGCAGGTTGTTAGAGAGTAATTCACGCGTTTGCTGACATCAGTTCAGAGCGATTTTATGGTCAAGGCTATGCTGTTTACAAAAGTTAATTATAGAGCGGTGTATATTATAAACATGAACAGTGTTGGGCGCTAAACAGGAAAGGGTTATGACGCAGTATTATTCACAAGAACAGCAAACAAACAAATCCACACACAGACAGTCTGATCTCTCCCCTATGTGTGTGAGTGAGTGTACTTGTATGTTTGTGTGATTAATACGACGGCAGCATTGCCAACAACGACACAAATAAACAAAAATAAAGTGAAAAATATTTCAGCCACCTTGCCAGCTGCAATGCAGGCAGGTGCGATCGCCACAAACACAGATCTTCATAGGTGTGATATATCCATGAGGGTGGAGGCGTACTTTATCTTGTGATCGTCAAGTGCTTGGGGAGACTTGCCTTGCCTTTGATGACGTTTCTAATGAATCAAAACATCGAAATTGCTACTTTCCAAGGCCAAGGCATTTCGATGTCAATGCAACCCAAAAATAAAATTCAAGGTGTATATTTTTGGATTTGACGATTTGTCATATTTTAACCTCACGAGCTCACACACGAGTGTTTTCTATTTTATGTTCTTATATCAGGTGGGGGAACATAAGTATAGATTTTGATAAAGCTATTATTTCAGTATTTATAAATCTTTACAGGCGCAAACTTTATTTTCAAATGAAAAAATCGCATTTGTTTTAATCAGATTAGGGTTCAAGCATCCTGATATTTTAGCCTAAGATATCATTATTATAATAACTAAGAATATTTTGATGCTCTAGAGTAAGGTTTCTTCAAACAGTCATTGAAATAAATACAACTTCGAAATGTAAGGTGAATGGACTGCAGTCGCTTTAATGTGAAATCTACCGTAGATACATATATGTATAGCAAAAAACGTTATCTACTTTCAATTATATAGGCATATTGTAAATGACAATGACTACAAACACAGTTCATTTAAATTTAAAGAAAATAACAAAATTATATTTTATCCTTCGCTTAGAAAAAAAATTGATAGCTTTTAAAGCAGTAGTAGTTTTTGTTTTACTTTTTCAATATTTACAGGATCATGCCATTTAAACTCAGAACTTTATGATCAGCCCATTAACCCGAAAGTTTCTCTCGAATTTGTATGTAAAATAGCCTTCGTCTCAACGAACTCAGTCCAGCCTTCACGTAAAACAAAAATAAACATGCTCGCATTAGCCCTGTAAATGATGAGTTCAACTTGATAGTTCGTCGACGTCCAAGGCACACAAGAAACTTGTGAAGGTTAATTACACCTGTTTTGATGTTCTGTGCCTTGGTGTGGGCGATTTTACACTTCCATCCATACAAAAAACGTACACGCCTATTCCAGTGTCAAGTGGCTTGACGGCAATTAACCGAAACATAAATGCCAATGCCAGCAAATAGAATTAAAATAGAATAAATAAATGCAGCCATGAAATAGGCACAAGTACTTGACAAATTCACACACCATTTTGCAATGCTTGGTGTCAGCACAAATCAGTTTAAACAAACTGAACCCATCAATAATGTTTCATACACATTTATTTCAAATATCTCGCGCAATGCTTATTTATGTTTATTCATTCGGGCAAAACAATAACCTCGAGCCTGTTAAATTTGCGCCTAATTTTCTGAAATATGTGAATTGAAAAACACAAAGCGGCAATTAAAAAGTATATTGCTGAAATATTATTTTGTTGCGGCTGTTTAGCATTCGAAGGCAGGACAAACAAAATGCCAACACATACGACCCGTTGACCGCATATAAAGGGTGTTTTTTAGGGTTTATATATTTGAATATGGCACCACTTGCATTAAATACTGTAACTGTTAATATATTTTATATAAGACAAAAAAGAGTAACGTATATTCAGAGAAAAGTATACTTAAATATATTGTGGGAAATTATTTTAAGAACCGCGTTCTAGCAACAAAATTGTGGAAAAACTACGGGTGGGTCGAAATCTATGTTATAAACATACCTTCTATATAGCTTAAGAAGAAACAAAAATGCTTTTAAAGGTTTTGTTCAGTATATTCTTCAGATATAACTACAAATTTTTTTGTTTTGGCATTGGAAGTTGTAAAATAATTAAAACTGATTTAAAACAACGTCAAGAAAATGAGCAACCGGTACAGTGAAGCTCCAAAAATAAATAAATGAGGCATACAAAAAATAAATTATTCGATACTGATGCCAATTTTGTGTGTGTTCTATTTTAATATCTAGTCCTGTGGCTCTTAAACGAACACCCCTTACAAGCAGCAACAACAACACCCAATACTGGGGGCTATGTACGGCGCGTGGGCGTACATGAAATAATTCTCATGGCACAGCATCCAAGTCCAAGTTTATATTTGTGCTGTTGTTGTTGTTTGTGCCGTTACGCTCTGTGAAATATCTATTTGTACAGAAAATTTTGTTCTTATACATATTTTACATATAAAAAACATTTTTTTTTTTTTTTGCCGCTCTCTCAGAGTCAGTTAGCATTTTGATGTGGGCGCAATGGCTGAACGAGAGAAGGGGGGTTGGGGAGTAGCGAAGGGGATAATCATTTTAGACTCATACGAGAAAATGAATTTTGTGCGATGGTGTGCGTGGGTCGTACGGCCTCTGACCGTCAGAAGCAGTACACACCGATATGCTTCTACAGATGTTGTATATAGCGATTTATATTATATATTCCTGTGCATACATATAGACGAATTGGAATTCCGCGCAGTCGAAACAGCAATAATTCGCCAGCATTTGAAAATTTTCAAATCAGTTGCGTTCGGAATATTGAAAAATAAACAACAAAAAACCAAGCGAATTATATCCTTTCAATCCTAGTAGTCGAGTGTTATAAAAAAGCACAGCGAAGCGATCTCCGAAAGTAGTGAAAGAAACCGAGGAGGAGTGGAAACGAGCGTTGATTTAAACGTGTAATTAAAGCAAGTTGTCCAAGAAAAATAAAAAATAAAAAAAATACTTTTATTCAGTAAATAAACAAAAAATATTTCCTAACCTTATTTAAAAATAAATGAGAACTTGTTGTGCAAAGAACTTTAGTAAAAAAAAATTGATTGACGTGCTTTGCAATTACGTAATAATATTTTCTAAATTTTCAATTATTTTAACCTGTATATTCGTTTGAATTTTGCATAAAAAGGAGTTTAAATTCAAAACACAAATCATTAAAAATGGAGTACGTTCAATTCAAAAACGGATCCCCCATCTACTACAGGGAGCAGCCAGACCTCAATGAATGCATTCAATATCAAGTAAGCATGAAATGAAATGAAGAATTAAAAGTAAAATCAAAATTACGGACATCAAGAATTATTTGTATACAAGTATACTGTGTAATACATTTACATATTTAAACGTATATAATTATAACTTTGTTGTGGTGAGCTTAAAAATAAAACATTGCCTTTTTTAATTGCACAAATTCAGAATAGTTTTGAATATTTATATAATATAAATGCTTGGTGTAAACAGTGAACAAACATTAATATTTTGTCTAAATTAGTGAAGATTGGAAATATTAAGAAACGCTGATAATTAATTATTGTACTATTTATGTATCAAAGAATCCTTACGAATCTTTAAATAAAATTTGTCCAGTTGTAAGAAACTTTATATTAATCAATAGAATCCTGTGAATCTTATTTTGGAAGGAAGTGTAAGGCATCCATAATCCATAGAAGTAGCTTCCCTAAGAAAATGTCTTTTGTAATCAGATAATTGATAAAATACATAAATTGATTATCAAACACTTTCGCGTTTCTTTTGTAAACATTTAGTAGATTTTAAAGCAAATTTTTTAATTAATTTTAAAAAAAATTACATATTTGATTCTCAAGTATATAAGTATCAGCAGACATACATATGTATGTATATGTATGCATTCTATATAGCCATACATGAAACATTTCAAACCTTCTGCCAAACATAAATTCAAGTTCAAATACAAATTCCGTCACATTGGTGACATTTGAAATATTTGCTAATATTTGTGCTTTTAAAAAAGTCATGAAATAATGTCATGAAAAAATGAAATGGCAACCATTATATAGCAAACTGTTATATATTCTTAATTTGTCGGCGCTCTCCCGCTTTATATACACTCATATATCGCTTATTATTCAAACATTTGTTCACTTTTCGTCAATATGCGCTGAAAGCAAAACACAATTTTGAACAGAATTTGTTGAAACATATTTTCCGAAATTCTCTTTTCGCGCTCAATGTAATTCATACCGTTTATATTTTTAGAAAACAAAAACAAAAAAAAGAGAGAAGAGCGCGCAACAATGAAACTGAAAAACAAATAAACAAAATGATTATAACTCAGTAGCTATGTATAATGAATTTAATGTTAAAGACATTTGGGAGCAACTCTCGCGCAAATTAGACTAGAGGCGATCTGCTAAGCTGGCTAATGAACCCTTTTGTTGCCCAAAGCCCAAACAATTGCATTGTCATTTTCCTTTAGTAGCAAGGGGTTAAAAGTGCTTGGCCAACATTTGGCAATGCATCAAAATTTTGTTGCGCAGCGAAAGTGACAGAAAATTATTTTCACTTTTAAGACAAACAATAAAAGATATAGTATGTGCTATTACAGCTAAACTATTTTATTGTTAAACACTTAAAGTCAAGATGAATTTAAAGGGCGTACATTTGTTCGCATTTCCTATGTATTTATTATTGCGCACCTGACCTTAGAAGCGCATTCTTGTAATATTTTCCCCCATCAGTATTCTTACTTACATTTCCCTCATTAGGTTGGCTACATTTATTCAGATTTACGATGGCCATAAAATCCTGCGGAACAGCGCATATAATTTAATTAAAAACTAAGCCAAAATGTCGAAAGTGACCCTCAAAATGTTATTTCAAAATATTCTTGTGCAGAGGCTTTTTTAAATTTAGCGCACACATGATTTTCTCGTTTATTTCTGTGTATCTCAAAATTATATGTGGCGTCGTCTGTACGTTTGTCCACTGCGTCTCAAGGTGAATGCGTTATAAAAATAATTGAAAACTGTGAGAAATGCGCAATTAACTAAACGAATTGTATGCATAAATATATATATATATATGTATAAATCTAAATACAATTTGCAAGGTGCATTGGCTAAGGTAAGCAGACACACACCTTTGCTCACTTGCCAAGGCAGGCGGTGTCGTTCAAGATCGAAGCGATCAGCTGCTTATCGCTCAGTGCCCCATGCACTTCCTCCTCGTCCCATTGCAGCACTACTTTACTCAAACGTGGCTCTTTTTTGCGCATAATACGCAGTATGCCTCGAGTCTCCACCAGATCCACCGTGCCAGCAAATTCAGCCTGATCGAGGGCTAGAATGTTACGCTTGGCACAGACACGTCTATAGACTTCGTGGAGGCGACCAATGCTGATGTCCTTGTTGCGTTCATTGCGCAGCATCAGCACAAGTGAGCAGAGCATGAGCTTCTGCTGTAGTGGAAAGGCACCTTCTATGTCCTCGTCCAAGTTCTGTGATGCGCCATAGACTTTGTTCAGAACAGCCGCCACTTGCGTCACCTGCACGGGTTTTAGAGTGTCTGTAAGGCATAGAATATCTTAATAACAATTCTCTTTAGAAGACAAAGCAGACTTACCTTCCTTGGCTTTGGTCTCACCCTCAAAATTTAGCGCTTGCATATTGAACTCACGTTCGCCGACTCGCTTCTGCTGCTCAGCTATTTCCACGACACGTCTGCCAATGTCCAACGCACGTCTCACATCACCACTCACGGCGCTCACCTTGGCCGCCAGTAGTTGCAGCGTAACCGGCGGAAACACATCCAGCACATCGGCTTCGGCCAGGCGCGCTTTAAATATATCAACAATCTGTTGTTTGGTGTAGGGTGGAAAGTGCATCAGTCTTGGTTTGAGTTCGCAGCGAGCATTTAGACGCATCAGCGCCCGATCCGTGAGATCCAAACTATTGGCAATGCCAACGAGTAAAATGCGAGCACCCGCCAATGAGGGCCATTCGAAAATTGTGTAAAGCACCTCTTGACGGGATGTGCACAACTGATCGATCTCGTCCAACACCAGCAATAACATGCGCTTTGCCGTACGCAAATGCTTCTGTATAGCCTCTTGATGATCGCGCTCAGTACGTCCAGCGGGTTTGATATTAAGCTCAGCGCACAGCTTCTTGAAGACAGCACCCACACTGGCAATTGAGGTGCAATTTATGTAGACGCGCTGCAAACGTTGAGCGAACTCGGGCGCGCGCAATAGCAGGGAAAGGCAGGCAGTCTTGCCTGTACCCGGCTGTCCGGAGACATACAAACTGCCCGAAGTCTGTGTATCCAAATGGGTGGTAAAGAATTCCCGTAGCTCCTGCAGCTGCGACTCTCGTCCAGGAAGATTTTGTGTCTCGGCACTATTAAGCACGCGACGTGCATTTTGGTATTTGTTGCGTGTGGGGGAGGGAACAGGCGCCTCTGTTTTGGCTTCTTCCTTATTTTGCTGCTTATGACGTGTGGGAGAGGGCTGTGGTTGCGGCTTAACTTTAGCATCGGCTTTAGAAAGAGTTTCTTCTATATTTTGATCGTTGTGGCATATGGGAGAAGCTAGTACTTCTGGCACATCTTTAGCCTCAGTGTTTGAATGAGTGTATTTATTTAGTGTCTTGTGGTGAGGGTTATCTTCAGTCTTGGTTTCAGATTGTTCTTCTTTGCGTTCATCAATGCTTAGTCTATCTAGAAGTCTGGTGGGACTTATCAGATGTTGTATAAGTTGTTGTTTCTTGCGTTGCTTTGGCGGCGACACATGAGTCTTGGCATCGTCCTCCTCATCATCACTGCTTTTAATTGTGCACATTTTTTGCAGCGAATTATGTTTTTGTTGCATTTCTCGTTTCGACGAGGGCGTCGTCGTTGTTGTTCTTGTGGGAGTTCTGCTAACTGATGTTGCTGATGTCTTCTTGCTGCTGCGTGGCGTCTTTAGAATCTCGTGCTCTAGCTGCAACTGGGCTTTGGTTGCGGCTGCAGACGCGGCGGCGCTTCTCCGTCTTGAGCTACTTCGGTCCATTTTATTCAACAGATTCCTGTTTTCGTTATTTTCTGAAATTACAACTATACAATCATCTTCGTCGTCACTGCTTAAATTCTTCATCTGCCGTCGACGCCAAATTTCTGAACGTCGTGGCGTTGTTGTTGTTGCTGGCGATTGCGTTGCCTCCGTCTTGCTGACGCTGCTGAGACGCGTGGAGCGGCGTACGGCAGCCATTTTTAGTACTTTGCGGCGCAATCAAATTGGTAATAATTAATTGAAGCACTTAAACTTATTAACTTTGTTAGTTTAATTCAAGAAGCCAAAAAGGCAGTCAATAAAAAAGCAGTAAGCTGTAAAAGGCGCCAAAAAAGTTGAAACAGCTGTTTCGAAGATCAGCTGAATATGCAGTATGACAACACTGGTCGCTACAATACGCAGCGTTGCATTCACTTTTTTGACAGCGCGCGTGGCCGTGCAATTTTGAATAATGTATTGAATTACTTACACACACTCGTGAACGACTGCGTGTGTGGCCGAATCTTTAACAAAAATACCACAAGCACAAAATGAATTGCTTGCGGGCTGGACGATGTTGGACGCTTACGTAAGCGCCTATAAATATATGTTTTTTTGGGCTGAGATATTTTTAAAGTATATAAACGGGCGTTCAGCGCTCTGAGCGTGTTCTGCAATGTTTTAATACATAAAATGGAATTTTGGTAAATAAAGTTTATACACACACACACACACATCCATACGAACACACATTGTATATTGTGCAAAGAGAAATATATTGATTGCTGAAATGTTCTCGAAACATTTAGAATCTTTGATCGTATGATGTGGCCTCAAATTAATGATATAAATTTTAAATAGTGAGACTTTTTGCTATTAGTTTGGTACTATTGTTTATATATCAGTACGTTGGCATATGTTTGCATATGATATTGGCATAAACAATGGGAAAACTTATTAATTTTCCGCATTTTTTGTTCTCTTAAAGCCATACCGAACAACTCCACTGGTCTTGCCCGGTGCTAAAGTCAAAAAGGATGCGCCCACCACAGAGTCCTACTTGAGACACTACCCAAATCCAGCTGTGCGTGCTCATCCAGGACATGACTACCATGACAGTATCATGAAGCAACGCGTTGCCGATACCATGCTGCACAAGGTTGTTGGTCAGGATGCCGATACCGGCAGAGTATGTTTGGATTTTTTTTTTTTTTAACTGAATTACTAGTAATCGTTGCTTTGGTCAGGTCTTCCACAAACAATTCAACTCGCCCATCGGTCTCTATTCGGACAGCAACATTGAGAACACTATCAGACAAACAGTTCCGTAAGTTGCCCACAAACCCATATCTACTCTTTTCGGAGTTGTTTTACGCAAATATAAACTGACAAAAAGAGCTTATAGTCAAAGAAGACACATTAACCCTAACTTTTTGGATATTTACGCTGTTAAACAAAAAATCAAAAGAATTTTGAATAAAAACAATAATTTCGTAGATTTTGAAATGGAAAAAATTAAAAAAATGTATGCAGCTTTATTTCGCCCAATTGCTAAGTCTTTTAGATTAGCTTTTGAAACTAATTATGAAGCGCGACATGATTTTGAATAGTCTACAGTTTTTTGACAGATGGTTGAGAAATAGTTAAGTTGCAGTGCTAACCCACTAATGCTAGTCACTTCTTAATTTTTAATAAATGATTACTAACTTGAAATTTAAACACAAACCAAAAAACAACACACAAAACAAGAATACGCAGCACATTGATGTTGTATGTCTACTACTTTTTCTCTGTTTATATATACTATATATCTCTACCATATAAATATATATATATATACCTCTATATATTTTATGTATATTGTTGTAGCTTTGCCACAAACGATAGTAATCGTTTGAAGGAAAGTCCTTTGCATCGTCCTTTGCCAACAAAACTTGACGGGTAAAAGTAATCTTTTGTGAATAGCCTGTGATTTCTTTCCAATATTATTATTTTCTTTTAAAAATTTAAAAAGTTTTGATATGAAGCATCACACAGACATGAAGGCCAAAAGCACTCGATTGAAACAAAATTTAAACTTATAGCAAGAATTATTCTCAATATTGACCATGAATGAGTGACTTATAAGGCATTATTGAACACTGGAATGTTTGCTACTATCTGTGTTAATTACTCAACACTTCCTATATACAAGACATTTTGTATAATATCCTGCCTGTCTACAATGTTTAACTATTTTGTTGTTGTATTTCCACCACAACAATCGCAACCTGTGTAAAGTTCATAAAACGTACAATACTCGAAGTTATTTAAAACAATTTTTATTTAGACATATTCAGTCGGCACAAACACAATACAAACAATCGAAACACTGCATGAATTGTGCTGTCTATAACTATTATATTATACTCAATATTCTTAATACTTATGGACTTGCAAGAAACAACTTCAAAGGCCTGAAAAATATGCATCGGACATACCCAAAGGCACAATACTCGGTCCACAACTATCAACTTGTGTATACATATATGTTTTTAAAGACCATTCTGTATAACCCTGACCCAAGAAAACTGCGTCTATCTGTGTAGGTTCCTGTTGCTACCAGCGTTATTATTTACCTATATATTTTAATAATTAATATTCCGGTAATGGCAAAGGTAGTATAAACGATAAAAGGTAAATGAAGGGGTTCTAGGAGAAAACTGTAAATATACACAACTGATTTTCAAATATAAGATCAATTCAGACATTTAAATAATATTGCTGAAAGATTTATTCCTAATAACAACAATTCTATAATAAATGCCAAACAATTTTAGTGTTAATGAATAATGTTTAGAACTTAGCTGCACGATTAATGTTAGAATTTTCATCGATCTATCTTTCCTGGAACAAAAACGTAAAATACTGGAGCAACAAAAACAAAAAGATCAACTTGCAGAGCAACAACGTCGACAACGCCAACAGCAACTGCAACAACTCTATCAACAAAATAAATAATCACAAAAACAAAGAAACGAAAAGCACAACTTTTTATAAATGAGCAAATAGCTAAATTTCATAGACAAATACCCCAACCAGAACTGATACGACCCCAAGTCCCAAAAAACAAAACAATACCAAAATGAGTTCCTATAAAACTAACACTAACAGAACATGTTTGCTGAAATTATTTACTCTGTACCTAGGTATTTAGGTGGCTTTAAATATAAAGGCGAAGAATTTTAAATTCCCACCTTCAAAGATAAACTATATTTGTCAACACGAATAGATATCTTTATGAAGCTATGTTAAACTTGTATTTCTATATCCGTCCGTAAGAACTTTAATGTTTCTAAAGCTAAGATATCAACAGGTAGTCAAATTTCTAGATATCAACATAAATTTTAATACCTAGTATGTATCAGATCAAAATTGGCTGTCGTGAGGATTATTTAACTAAAATCAAATTTCGCCAAGATGATTTCTTTCGTTCTTTTTGATTTTACGAAGGGAATTCCTTACTTAGAAGGCGAGCACATTGTCGGCTTAGAAATGAGTTTCAACCGCATGAGTTTCCAGATATTCTATCCAATTAGTATGTTCAATAGTTTAATGTCCTCCCGAAAACAGTTTTACTAGATTTTCACAATGATATAGCGGTCAGTCTATTAATTAGTCCATTAACACTTTTGAAACGAAACTTATTTAATGAAATGAATAGGATTGAAGACTTGAAAAATTAGTTAGTTTCAAATCGCATGGGTACAGTGTATTGCATAGTCAGGCGGGCACGACTATAGCATTTTCCATTTTAATGAGTGTGAAGACAACACACGGAAGTTCCTATTACCGATAACGAATTCCAATGCAACCCCACAAATATACTAACCACAATTAATTACAACTAACTAAGTCACCCAGCGCACAATTAAACACAAAACAATACAAGATTGCTTGGCTCAATGCTTTGCCGCAATCCAAAACTAATTCATAAATTTAAAAAAAAAAAAACATATTTATGCATATTATACAAGTATACTTTTTTTAGGCTAATACTTTTGTTATGCAGTTCTGTTCAGTTATAATAAAATTAAATTAGTTCTTAAGCAATTTGTTACTGCGTTTCGTTTTATTTGATTAAAATTGTTTATAAAGTGTCGAGTTTGAAGACAACAAGCACACTACAACAATTTGTACGTCCATTTGATTTGATCAAACAAAATAATTCTAACGTATTTTGTGCACATCCTGTTTTCTCTTTCTATCTCTCACTACTCTGTCTCACGCTACTCAACCGATGTAAAAAAAACTATATATACATATATATGAATGAAATTAATTTAAAAACAAATAAATTTACCAATTAACCTACGAAACTCAACAAAAAATAATCAATAACTATATTTCATAACCCATGATAAAAACAAAACAAAAAATGGCGTTTTCAACGATCTCAAATAAAATAAATAAATAAATATGAAATATACGCGACATGCAGTTATAAGAAAACTGTCGTATACGATCCAAGGAACAGCGAAACATACAGAGCCATTCAAGAACAGGACAGCTACGGCGGCTATGGCAATGCCTCACCTCGGGAAGTAACCATACCTGTACAGACTAAGGTCTATCAGCCCAATAGATTGGTTCCAGGAAAGGTAAGATCGTGCGATGTATACGCTGCTTGTAAAAAACTTCAGTCTTCAAACGAATCGAAATTTATTTAAACACACAACAAGCACAAGCAATACTCTCTATGTCCAGATATCAGACAAGATCGCTCGATTTTTAAGACTCTCATCTCTCTATAAACTTTGTGAACAATATCTCTCTTGCTCTCTATCTCTTTAAATGTCGTCGTCTCATGTACAGTCAATAAACCCAATATATAGCCAATATATAGCCAGTCACAGCATTATTTGTGTCCATGTTTGCGCATTAATGTTACATAAAAAACGCAGCTTTTATGCCAGTGTAATGAATACTAATCGAATATTATTGCATCTCCTTGTCTTGCCAATAAAGTACATGGAATTATACCGCAAGTTGAACAATCCATCATTAACTACATCTATGTGTATATTTTCCGAATCACATGCAAATCATAGTTCTTAGATAACTTTAAGCATTCTAACATGGGACCATTAAAACCCAAGAAACGCTCATAACATGCTAAACTAACTATTAGTTAGTCTATCGATTGAAATAATTTGGTTAACATTCCGATTTAAACGCCTTACAGAAGCCAGTATCAGCGCCAGTATCCCGGCCGCCGTACAATGTAAGTAGTACTGTTAACGCGCTGTTAACATAATGTTAATGAGTGATCTATTAAATTCTCAGGTGGTAAACACCCACGATGAAAATATACGCCAAAGTGGCTCCTTCAATCGTTTGATGTACAGCGTTATTGGTGCAACTGACTATTAAATAAACAACAGCCAGATGAAGAAGAAGAAGAAGAATAGCAACAATAACAACTTAAAGTAACAGCAAGCAACAACAACGACATCATCAACATGAACAGCACTTAACATCAGTTGTCTATAACTCTCTATCATATATTTAGCGGATTTTATGAAATTCACTTTAATAAATAAATTTATATGAAAACGATAAAAAAATATAAACATACTATACATATAACTAACAGGTTTAGAACTTGACAAATCGGTTCACAATTGTCAGAATTTGAATAAATTTATGATTAGAATTATCTTATCATAGTCTCTTGTCTAAATCTCTTTGTGTGCAATAGGAAAATACAATGAATACATATTTAATTTATCAATTAATAAACCAAAATATAAAGAATAACAGAAACAATTACGAATCCGATTTTAACTCTAATGTATTTATTCTACATTTTAGTTCTGTTATGTTGAATTTTATGTTAACAGCCGTAGTGCATGTTAACAGCGAGTGGTTCTAGTCTTTGCTGACTGCAGAAATGCTGATGCAGCCTTTAGTTTAATGGACACGCTATATATGTACACTGGTCGGCACAATTATTTTGACGAGAAGAAAATCATACATTTTTGTCAATAACTGGTTATTGGTTTAAGATATCAAAGGAAACTTTTTTTCTCAATTCCATATTGGTATTACAAACTTAAAAATAATTCAAAGGATATATTTTTATAAGAACTTTTAAAATTATAAATCAAGGTAATTTTCATGGGTTGGCATAAGTATTTTGACAATGGATATTAACAAAAAAAACAAAGCTTAATACTAAACAAAACATAAGAAATTGATGGTAGATTAATAAAATGTATACCCGCCTTTGGCTTCGATAACTTTTTGAAGACGTCTTGGAACTGAGTCCACTAAATTTTGAAGGACCTCTAATGGTATCTCTTTCCAAAGAGAAGTGACCTCGGAAATAGTTTCTTCTTCGGTTTTATGCAAAGACGCATTTCTTTTACGTTTTACAAGAGACCACACATTCTCAATAACGTTTAAGTCCGGACTTTGTGGTGGCCAATCCAGAGTAGTAACACCAACATCGCTTAAAAATGCTCTTATCATTTTGCTTTTGTGGCATGGGGCGTTATCCTGTTGCAGGATAAATGATTCTCCAATCAGCCTGTCACCGGAAGGGAATGCGTTTTCGTTAAGGGTACTCAAATATTGTTGCTGGTTCATTGAGCCGGTGATGGGAACGAAATCACCTAACCCATTGTACGCAATGCATCCCCAGAACATGACTGAGCCTCCGCCATGGCTCACTTTTTGACATACGGGGATATTTTTTTGTCTTTGAAACTGTGGGAGCCTTACAAAAATCTTTGTTTTTGATGAATTATATTCAAAGGAGCTTTCATCTGTCCATAGAACGCTTCTCCAAAACTCTTTTGGCTTATGCAGATGCTCCTTTGCAAAAGCCAATCTTTTGAGCTTGTTCACCTTTGATATGTAAGGTATGTCCTTCGCTTTGTATGTCTTAAAATCTTCTTCTTTTAGGCGTCGCCGAACAGTACGCTCACTGATTGGAGTCTTGGTCGACTTATTCCATTGATCTGCAGCAGCTTGCGGCTTTAAATGAATATTTTTTTTAAATTCCCGCAATAGGACTCGATCTTCAATGGGTGTTGTTTTGCGGTTAGCACCTGATCTAGGCAAGTTTTTGACGTCATTGTGGGTCTTATATTTGTTAATTTGATAGTGGACTGTTTGCCGCGACAAATTATATTCATTTGCAATGTCTTTTGGTGCTACGCCGGCATTAAACTTCGCCACTATTGAGGCTCTAACAACATAACTTAATTCTGTCTTTTTTACCATTGTATCGATTACTTTTGAATCAAATTTTAATGAAAATAATGTAAAAAGGTCAACAAAAATTGTTACACCAAAGTTATTTTAGTATCACTTGATAAAACGTACGCGAAAACGGCGACAAGGTTTGGTCAAAATACTTATGCCGTGCCTGAATCCGCAGTCAACTCACATTGTCATTTGTAGAAAAAAGGTGTGAAGAGTAATAGACAAAATATTTTGCCTACATATTGTTGTTGCTATGAACTCAATATCCCGTATGAAAATTGTACCGTTATTCCTTGAAACTAAAAGCAACCAGCACCGATAGTCGTGAGTACAGTTCGTCAAAATAATTGTGCCGACCAGTGTATATGTATCGTATTTGTCAAGGGTCCAGTTAATGTACTAAAAACAAAAACATATGCTAATTTAATTAAAATGAAATAAAAAACCAGATATGATTGGCAAGACAAAAAGTCATTTGGATTATTTTTGTTTTTGGTTTAAGAACCAGGAAGCTAAATATTAAAAGTTTATATAGAAATATACAAATAAAAATCAGTCTGTTTGTTTGATTGCTTGTTTGTATTTCCTCTACAGACATTCTTAATTAATTGAAATAAAATAAAATCAAGGTGTGATAGGCAAGAAGTACAATAATGTTGATTCTTTTATTGGCTTTTTAAATGATAAACAACCATTTAAATAGAATAGAGTTCTGAAATTCTGCTAATATGTGGACTTGGAGAAAACATAACAGATTTAATGTTTTGCATATTCAATGCAAGAGAATTGAAATCCGTTCTTGCCGTTTGTTTGAGAGGGAAGGGAAAACAACCACCTCGTATCACTGTCTCTGAAAATCCACGTTCTTTATTTCATTTTTATTGATCATATTAGCAAGTTAAATAAATTGAGTTGTCGGTAAGCGAATAGTAGAGATGTTAAATGATGGGTCTTATGTCCTCTATTCTTATATTTCGAGACCAACGTTTTAAATGGATAAATAAATGTAAATGGGATAATACTATTTATTTTGATACGAAAATGATCAATGTAAAAATAGTCTAGAAAATGTAAATAGGCAGCTTTGGCCAATGCGTTGTAATATTCTGGGCAAAGGCATCAAAGCAAGAGAAGTTCGTAGTACTATAGCTCGTTAGTTATTATTTATAATTTTTCTATAATTTATCGATCATACTGTTTACTGTCGATGCTTGGTTTGATTTGCTTTCTTCACCTCTTATCAGTTGAGTTGCTAACCCCTTTTGAATTTACATAACATGAGGCAGCAGTAAAAAGGTTAGCAAACACAAGCAAATCAAACCAAATCCATCAATCACACAAGCAATTAAACATGTGCCGAGTCTGACGAATAAAGAAGAAAACGAAACGAGTGGCCAGACAGACAGACAGACAGACCGTCAGGCAGGCAGCGCAAATTTATGCATATATACATAAATTTGACTTTAATTTGACTGAAGTAAGGCATTTGTGTGCGAGCAATGCATAATGTGTGTAAGCCGGTACGTGTGGCCATAACAATTGGCTGTTACACATAATGTACTTTCACTTTGTTGCATGTTGCTTGTAGGTTGTAGGTAGGTAAGCCGTTAGCCAGGTGGTAGCCCAACAACTAACGAGCCGACAATGTCAGCCCCCCATTAAATGGTCAACGACAAAGCCGAGCCCCGAACCTGGAGCGCCAAACATCGAACATTGAACGAAAAGCGCCAAGTCAGCGTAAGAGAGCACAATAAAAAATCGGGCGTGACCTTGCCAACCAACCTCTATATGTCATCAATGCGATAAATCTGCCGTGGAAAATGTTCAAATGCAAATTAGGG